TAAAAATGAGACGTGTCACTTCCAGCTTTGCTTTCCCTGCTCACATCTCCCAAGTGGCTTGATACAGCAGGCTCACACAGTGCCAGCCTGACAGCTACAGGATGGGACTGTGCATGAAATGGAGTGACTGCAGTTTTCATTCAGAAAAGAGATGACGCCGGGAGGCTTCCCACCACGTGTGAGCACACGCTGTAACACCCAGGAGGTGGAAGACATGGGTCTAAACCCTCCCTCCTTGCCTCAAAAGCACTGAGATTGACACTTCCCTCTCTGATGGACTGAGTGCCAGCTCTGTGCTTGCTCCTTCTCTCTTGAGGAAGTCATTTCATTTTCCTGAAAATAAATTAAGATTCCCTGGGCTAAGGAGAGAAAGAGAAACCTAACCTGAAGGACCTGGTTTCTGGTCCCTCATCTAACACAGCTTATGTAATTTTACTTGACATCTCCTTGTGAATCCAGCTGTCGGCACTCATGGAAAATGCTGGATTACAAAGATCACAAATTTTCTTAATAATTTAAGCATAAAGAATGACTACAGTTGCTTTTACTGGAGTGTCAGAATAGCAGGTCTATAAATAGGAAGCAGTATGTCCCAGAACAATTTATAATGTTCATGCGACTTGAAGGAATCCTCTGCACCAGAACGAAGCTCTTGTTAAAGGCACGCAGACGCAGTTCTACATCTATATGCACATATGGCATCTGTAGAAACAAATGCCACACGAATAACAAAATGGAATTAAACACTAGGTGATATAAAGCTCAGTTACGTATTTATTTCAAGTTTTCCTTGAACTGCCTTGAACAGGCAGAACTGTTTTCTTTAAGAAGAAAATCTCCTGTGCAAAGCAACGTTAATACACGTTATTAGTATGAATCATTAAACTTCAGAACACCTTCCGTGGAGGCAAGAGGTTCTTCTCACTTCTCTTGCATTGGACCAACACCAAAAAGGCATAAAACACAGATGAAGCAACTGAATCCCACCTCTAAGTTTGAGCTTAGAAGGACATTTGGGTACCAAAATTATTCTTTCTATTACCAAAGATTTTAAAGTAACTGCAAATAGGAAAATTGCAAACCTGCATGACACCTGTCACGCGCAGACTTTTAGTAAGAAATGTCCTAGCGTTTCACTGAATCTATCAGTATCAGGGACCCTAAAATGCCAATACTGAAACTTGAAATATTTTTCACATAAAATTATGCAGTGCAGGAAAGGCCTGGAACTCCTGCTGTGTCAGTGCCTTAAAGAATAGATAACGCACCAGTGAGGTGGCAGAAATGCCATCTTCTGAATCACTACCATAATTTCCTCTGGCACCTGGACCTTTCTCTGCAGGGAGCCTCCTGGTCCAGCCCTAGCAGCGATCCTCCAGCTCAGGGTGGCCGATATCATACTGTAAAATGGAAGCTTCAAAAAAAGCTGAAGCATCTTCTAAGCGTTTACAATAATGACAACTTTGACCCCATTACCTGCTCTGTTTCTCCTCGTTTTGCCTGTCTGCACACAGCTTTGCACAGTCATCTTCTGGCAGCGAACCCAACGAGGGCCCCTCTGTGCACCAGGACCTCTGTGCGGAGGCAGCCTCCCTGCAGCACGTCCCCGAGGTTTCGGGCTAACGCGCTAAGCACAAACCTTTCCGTACACCTCAGCATGCAGGCAGCGAAGCGCTAGGCCCGTTCCGCCAGGCGCAGGCTCGGAGCTGCCCGGTGCTGCGTGCTCCCTCCTGCAGGAGCGGGCGGGCAGCGCTCCCACCCCGCCGGGCTCCTCTTCGTGGCCGGCAGCCGGCGGGGCGGCTTCCTCCCGACACGGCGACCTGCCGGGGGGCGAGGAGCGGAGAAAAGGGGTCCGCGGGGAGGGGGGGAGCCCACTGCCCCCAGCCCAGCTCCGCCGCACGACGGGGACGAGGGGAACCCATTGGAAGCAGGAAGGGCCGGGCAGGGCTCTGCCGAACGCAGAACGGCCCCAGCCCCGCGCTGAGGGGAGCCGAGGGGCCGCAGCCCGCGCCCGCCCGTTCCCGGCGCGACCCCGCCGCCCCCAGCCCTCACAGCGCACGCAGAGGGGCAGAGCCCCCTCAGCCGAGGCCGCGCTGTCCCCCCTCCCCTCCAGGACCCGCACGGCCCCGGGGCCGGCCGAAGGGACGCGGCGGCGGCCGCTTTACCTGGCCGAGGGGCCGGCGCGGGCGGCGGGGCCGCCGGCTGCCCGGTGGCGGTGCCCGGTGGCGAGGCGAGGCGGGCGGGCGGCGCTCAGGCGGCGGCCATGTTGGGGCCGCTGCGGGCGGCACGTGGGGCCGCGGCCCTCCTCCTACCCACAATGCTGCTGCTGCTGCTGCGGGCGGCCGCGGCCGGGGAAAAAAAATAACGGCAAAAAGCTACTGGCAGCGGTGGGATTCGAACCCACGCCCCCGAAGAGACTGGAGCCTTAATCCAGCGCCTTAGACCGCTCGGCCACGCTACCGGGATGTCGGGTGTTGCTTCGGCGCCGCTTTTAGTGCGCACGCAGCATAGCAGGGCTTTTTTTTTTTCTTAAATATTTTTTTTGCTTTTAGCAGCCCCTACATCTCCAAAAGGAGGAGCCCAACTGCTCCCTCTACGCACCATTTCCACATTACAAATAAAAAACCTTATTTTATTTTTTAATTTTTTTTTACATCCCCACCTCAACATCCCGTCCTGTCCCGACCCCCCGGAGCTGTGAGGGCCCGGCCACCACCCCCCGCTGCTGCCACCTTGGCACTGCCGGAGGCTGAAAGGCTAAAAAATAAAAAAATAAAAAAAATAACAACATAAGAGCCACGTGTCAGGATGTGCTGCTGCAAAGCTCAAACCCCACTTCGGTTGAAGAGTGAAAGCCCAGACTTGGCAGGATGTTTCCCCCCGGCTTTGCCACAGCCCGCACAACGCCCCAGCAGGCCGAGCAGGCCCCGGGCCCCAGCAAGGTGGCTGGGGCAGGTTCTTGGGCACTCACACAGGTCTGACCCTTCACTAGACCCGAGGGGCTGCAGTTGGGAAAAGATACCAGCTTGTCTAGGGTAAAACGGCATCTGCTAACGCAGCCCAATTTAATGCTGTAGTTAGAGCAATCCACTTAAACAAGAGAGCAGGAATAACCCTGCCTAGAGCTCCTGGCCACCTCAGCTCATTGCCTCCCAGCAGGCCCAGCTGCTCCCAGAGCCCCTGTGTCCCTGTAACGCCCCTCAAGGGGGCTGCCAGGCCTGACCCTGCCTGGCCAAAACCTTCCTGCACTGCTACAGGTACCGTGGAACAAGGGTATGGGCACATAGGTGTGAAGGGGATCCTCACCCCTGCCACGGTTTTGCACATTCAGAGAGGTTTAGGGAGCCTGAGCAAGCTGTCCTCCAGCACATCCCTATGCAGCAGGGGGCACAGCACCCAGAGATGCAGTTTTTTTTTTTTTTTTTTTTTTTTTTTTTTGGGGGGGGGGGGGGGGAGAGGGGAGGGGCAAGAGGCTGTAGGCAGGATCACAGCTCCTGGGTGTTCTTGTAAGGGCTGCTTGGTGCCCCAGAAACTTTTGTGAGGTACCAACACCAGCCCAGAGAGGTGCTGGCTCCTCTGCTGCAGGCAAGCTCAGCCTCTGCCCTGAAACATCTGCCTTGGCTACAGAGAAGCTTCCCTCAAACACTGAAGAAATCTGTGTACCCAAAATTATTCCGTCAGCCATGGCACTTGCCAGGGCACAGGTCCCCCCCGAAGCTGGATCACTAACTTTATCATTTTACTTGTATCAGTTAAGATGACGATCATGGGTCTTTTTGCAAATTAAAAGTGAACTTACTGGAAAACTCGAAGCTACCTGCCACATTATATTGCTTTCCTGACACAGGAGTTAGAGAAGACCAAGGATTCACCCCTTTTATTATGCCCAGACTCTGGACCAGACCTCATAGTGAGCTCTCCATAAAGTGTTCAGATCTCCCAGAGGGGGAGGCACATGAGCCCCCCCTCCCTTCCCCCAACTTAAACCTGAAAACAGCCTGACTCACCACCAGAAGCACTGGCCTAGAATCCAACTGGAGGCTCAAGCAAAATCCTCCCTTTTAAAATGCAGATGAGAAGTCCTGGTTTGGCTCACCTAAACTACACCTTCATCTGTTAGCAGCCACTCTACTCTCAGAAGTGAAATTACACCTGTGAGGAAAATAGCAAGATTGAAGTCAGTCCTACAGACCAGTGATTAGGAATCAGACATTTCTTATTTATATTCTTCAGCTGGAAGCGTTGTCTCCATGATTTCTGACTGATGCAATCCCTGCTTCCTTTGTTCCACTTGCCAAACACTCCAGCTCTCAGAGACAGCAGCTGAGGCATAAGACTTGCAATGCCAAGTATCACTATTTTTCTACCTTACTGACACTAAGAGCGGAGTGAAGAGGCCCCACTAGGGCTTTTTTGTTTTAAGAGTCTACTATTTCATATTGTTTAAACTATACAGTTACAATGAATTACACCTGTCCAATTAAAACAAAAAAGCAACAGTAAGTTTTAACAGTTTAAAAGGGCTAGTATCAGTTTATTCTAGAACATAAAGGGGAATAAATCAGACTGAAATGACAGTGTCATTAGATATTATATCCATTACAAAGAATTCCCACCTTGTATCCCCCAGACCAAGTATTTCCAATTTTTTCTCTGGACCAAGCAATGACTGGAAGCATACAGATGTGTCTGAAACAGTCCTGCCAGTGAGTGCTACAGTCATTATTTTATTCCATATTAGTTACAGATATTGCAGGAGTAATCAAATGTAAAGAAATCAACACATCGACCTTTTAGTTTTCTTGATAAAATCACTGATTTTCTTGTTACACATCTAGTGATTTCCTCTGAGTTATTCCTTCAAGTGTTGAAAGTGAATGAGAACAGGGATTGAAAAGAACAAAATAAAAAAGGATTTCTGGAGGCTTGCAATAGTAGGATTGAACTTTGGCAAATTAAAACAAACAAAAACACCCCATGTGCAATGACTAAAACTCTACTGAGAAAAGTGACAAAAGAGAACAACTTTATTGACCAGCCAGAATAAAAACAAACAGTGTGATGCAGGCAATTAGTATTCGCATGCCTGGTATACAAACAGAGGCTTCCATCTTGCTGTCCTTACCCAAGCAACACTCCCAATGACATTCAGAAATACTACACCCAGGTAAATTATGTCAAGCCTCAGATTTATTTTCACATTTAAAAAAATACAGATTTATTCATTGTGAATAGATTAAAAATACAGCATATAGCAGTATCATTCAAGAAGTCTATCAAATAGTTTCTCTTCAAAAGAATGTCATAGAACAACTTGTGCATCTTTCTGTAAACAATTTTAATTTTTGAATTATTGACAGTCCTACTTATTGTATAGCTAAATAATATACCGCCTTAGGACTCTGTAAACAAAGTATTAATCACGTGTATACATTTGCATGTCAGATCTACAGAGAACTATCAGCAAATTTAGCAACTACTGAACTGAACAAATGAAACTATGTCAAGAAGTGTCAATAATTATACTCTAGAGTCCTTTACTTACATATTTCGGATGGTCACATTCAATCTCCTCTCCTCCCTACATAGTTGGTGGGGTTGCACATGCTTCCTTCTCTAGGAAAACCTCAAACACTTGGCATTAACACCTTACATGGAAAACAAAAGGTTTTGTCTGCATTAGTTATAATGCCTACACTGTATCAGTTCTGCACAAAACACTGACTGTTCTTCAGAAGTTCTTCAGGAGTGGCACAATGCTATGAACTGAAAGAGCAAAAAGGCCACATCCAAAACAGACTTTAGGTACCTAAAGCAGAACTTTGGATAGGTACTTAAAGCATCCAACCAGCTTGTGATCCCACTAACTCCAGCTCAACTTCAGCATATTATGTCCAAAGAATTTGGTTATTTTAGTACCTAGCAATACCTACCTAAACCCAACTGAGGACAATCAGACATTTAGTAGGTGAAGAGCTTCACCTAGTACCCTCACAGAATCAGGCACTCTCCCTAAAACAAAGAAAAACAAAAAACTCTAAGTATTTATTTCCTGCACTCCCTACATTTTATGGCAAGAAGATGTGGCTGCTGCAAGGCCACACTAATGGCTGCAACTGCTTTGTGGTTACTCAGGAGTACAAAATCCAAGGATTCTTCTCTCCTGCAAGAGATTCAAGTCTTTCCATCTCACTTCCTTTACCACCAGCATCTCTCTTTCAGACAGTGACAGTTGTTACTAATATCATGCTTAGATATGGTTTAAACAATAATTTAAGATCCACTTGCCAGAAAGAATAAATGGGGAGTGCAACTTTGGGCCCAGTGACAGGGACACTCACAAAGGAAAGGAAGAACCAATTTCTGTTTCTTGAACAGTTTCTACATTTTACAAGAAGTAGTCCTTGGATGTGAATGCAAGGAACCACACTGAAATGAACTACATCATCTAGCAGCTTGTTTAATTTTACGCATACTCTTAAAAGCTGTGCTAAAATGAGACTGGCTAAGCATTGCAGATACTCAGCACTTCATAAGACCTGCCCTTTATTCATCCCAGTCAACATCCTCAGGAGACTGTAGGGCCAAGGCAGCATGAAGCTTCCATCATAATCTCCTGCAACAACTAAAACAACTTAACCAAGATGAAGAAATAGGAAGAGCTGCTATGTCCTCTGTACAGATGGCACTGGGGCTTTGGAATAAAATACTGGAATTGGAAGAGATTTATATCTGTGCCATGATAAGTCAACCACCACCATGTATTTGTCCTTACATTACTCTTTTCAGATTATGCAAACAGGATATAAAATTTCAAGTGTTTGGGGATAATGTTTTCTCCTTAAAACCAGTAATTTTCTGTAACTGACATTTAAAACCATTAAACCATCCTCAGTCTCTTCTGAAGAAGAGAACTGTCTTTTAGGACATTTAGTTGTAAACTGTAGAAGATGCTAAAATTCAGATGAGAACTCCCAAACACTAATTCCACAGAGAATAAGCTTTGTAATGTATGGTAGCATTTAATAAATTACCCAGCATAATCTGGAAATTTGTAAAGCTATGTGTATATCCTTCATCAATCAGCTCAAATCTATCACGAAGTATCATGTGAAGTTACTTCATGAATCATAAGACAGCAGATAAAACACACAAGGCCATTTAAACCAGATAATTTATCTTGTATAATAATGGCTGAATCAACATCCCCTAAGTTTTTCAAATGTCCCTCTGAAAATGAGAACACACTTTCCAGCATTTCAAATGAAACTTCTTAGCTTTGCTGAAAATTGAGATGTCACTGTAAAAATAACTACACATTATTAATATATTATAGATCTTGCTATTGTACATCACTGGGCAAATACTGTATGAGATCAGTAGAATTCTACACAATAAGGTTATTATATGGTACAAAATGTAAAAATGAGAGAGGTAGCTGGATTCCTCACCTCATCAGGAACATTAGTGATTTTCTGAAAATACGCAATGCTGGTAATCACACATTGTACACAGAAGAGCCTCACTGCTAATCTGAAGCTTTTTTTTTTTCCCCTCCTCCTCTCCAAAGCATATGGATTCTACCTGGAATTTGTTTGAGAAGGAAACAGTGCCTATTGATAAAGTGGGATTACTTATTAGGAGTAGGCATGCTTGGCATGCTTAAATCGAAAATCTATATCCACACACAAATTTGGTGAGATACACCAAAAATGAAGAAATGCTGTGAATCTAGGAAAAAATGAAATATTCTGTGTGTGGCAAGAAGAAAAATGCAAACAAACTGATCATTTGCTATGTGAAAAGCAGGACATGTGAAACCCAAGCAGACATCAGCTTCACTTCTCCCAAAGCAAACAAGAAATGACAAAATTCAGGCCACTCAGTTCTAACAGTTCATATATATATGTATATGTATATACATATATATATATATATGTAAAGGTCAAGTGTGTCTGTATTACAGCTTTAAAATACTGACAGAAGTGCACTATGGTACCCTACATACTGCCTACATTTGGATTTCCACCCTCAAAAAATTAGAAAACTAAAATACAAAAAATAAACTGGTAACGCCACATAAAAATATATCTTTTTAGCTGCAAACACAGTATATAAAAAAAATTATATACAAGAACTGCTTAATTGCAATGTCATTCTTCCATCATCGCCCAAGCCTCTTCTGCTTTTTGGTAGTACTGATTTGCCAGTCTGCCTTTCATAGCTTCCATTGCTGCTTCTGCTGCTTCTGTGTAGAGCTCACCTAGAAGAGGAAACAGCATCAAGTCATGTTGACAGGGTAAAGTAAAACCATCTGTTTATCCTGAAGCAATTAAAGGACAAAAAGAGAAACTGAGGTCAAACTACACAGCCAGATCTGAGTGCCGCTGTGTATTCTACTGTCAGCAGAGTTACACCAGCTGGGAATCTGTCTTTCCCTCTACGTTCAGAGTTACATGCCTAGCTGCTGATGGCTCTTCAATATATTTACAAGGATCATAAACATGCCTGGCCCGTGTGAGCCCCCAACAACATCATAAAAACTTAGATGCTTGACATATAGATTTATACAATAAATAAGACAATGCTATGTACGACCTGGAAGTTACGGGTGCAACTCAAAATACAAGCAGCAACCTGCAGTTCTGTGGCTTCACAGGCAGTGAAAGTGCTTGCTAGCCACTCAGCATGTCACACGATTAGACCAGGCACCGCCCACTACCCTGTCATCAGCAAAATCTTTTTTCACCATTTTCAGCCTTATATCAACCCAGTGTCGTTACAGCTCCACCTACAAATCCAAGGGTACTGATCCTCTCTACCTTTTGTAACAGCTGAATTAGGAAATTTATTTTTGGGGTACCTCTTGGGCGAGAAGGAAAAGCGGGATTACTAATTACAGAAAAAAATGCAGACTTGCCTGATCTCTGTGGATCCTTATCCAAGTGGAACCCTCCTGTCATCAACATCTCTGCTTCCCTGGCCAGGAGCAGATACCGGGGCTCATCTTGAGTGCCATCATATTCACCTCCCTCGTCATAGTCAGTCATGTTCAGGGCAGCATTGTACCAGTACAGAGCCTCCTTCCAATCCTGTGCTCTGAAGTTAAAAATCATTTAGAAGACAATTACCTTAAGAAACAAATGCACTTTGCACTGGAGATTAAGAATTCCATTTTGCACTAGATTCTCAGAGTCTTTAGCGGTCACTATGGTCACTATGCCAAGTGAGGATGGGGTCACTTTGTGCAGTAATAACAGATGAGAAATTATATGAAGTTTCTCGATGAACTCCTAAGCGAACTTTCATTATTAATTACATGCTTTAGGTCTGGCATCTCTGTTTGTGAAGATAACTGATTCAGAAATAAACTGAAGTCACAGAATTCATTTCATACTTTAAAAATAGCTACTTTTACATTGAAAATACTCAGTGCACTTCAATGAGAAACTTCACATTATTTTGAATCTCACTATTGCCAAGAGGTTCACTGTTGTGCAAAACAGAAAACAAGTAAATAACAAACACATGCTACAATACAAAAGCAAAAAAATTGCTATCCTAACTTGTTATATTTGTACTTAAGGCAATTAATATTTATCCATTTTTTAAAGACTCATCTAAAAATCTAAAAAAATCAAACTCATATATTGTGTAGCCTTTTGGCAAGCTATGATCTACTTGTTAGTCAAAGTGCTGCTCTTAACCCTCCTATCAAGATAGGAGTGCTGGCTAAACTAAGAGAGACTTACTGATATAAGTGCATTTTTAGACTTCATAAAACTTAAAATCATACTTAGTTGAAAGTAATATCCTTAGTTTTAAGACAATGCTCCTGTCAAATTTCCATTTCTACTTTTATTATGCGAAGGAATGGAAGACTAACAGTGACAAATACTTCATTTATGTGACTGCATCTTGACTATGGTCGGTTTATGACTTATTTTTCCTGTTCTATGGGTTCTTTCACAATTTAATTAGGAAAAAAACAGACCTCTTTTTAAAAACAGCTTTCAAAAAAATCACTAAGGAGGAGACATAGCAGTTGTAAATATTTTTTACTTATTTTTAAGGTACTATTTCTCCAGGAGAACCTTGTGTTTATTTCCCCCCGACTCTAAGATCTTCAGTTACGCAACTCCCACTGAAATCAAGAGAGTTTTATCACCAACTTTAGAGCAAAGAAAACCATTCATCATAGGGAACTTTTGGTATGAGGGCTGAAATCAAGCATGTAGGTGGACAAAATATGAATGCCCAGTAGCAGAAATAGGTCTCTGATTTTCTTTCTGTGTTGATGTATCATGGCCTAAACCCTTTTTTTTTTTTATACATACCTGGGTTAAGTTTGAAGTTACTCCAAAATACTATTCCACAGCATTATGACATAACAGCTCTTCATGTGAAGAGAAGGTATGTAGCAATTATATAAGTTAAGTTACTCAGTTGCGCACAGTACCTGTCTGAACCAAGATTTACACCCGTATCATATGCTCTTGCTACCAGGATCATGGAAGGGCGGTCTCCAGCTTCTGCTGCTCTCAGCAAGTAGTCAAATCCTTTTTTTCTATTCTCTTTTGTGTCCTAGTAAAAGAGACAAAACCTCTAGAATACATGCTGAGTAAAGTCATCCCTTCCTCTAACACTAAACGCTGTTTCTCCATATTGGTAATGTTTGCAAGTGTTTAATGTCTCAGAAACAGGCCCGGCCATGAACTGCTGAGGAGCTGATTAGTAAAGATCACTTCAAAATGTTTCCTAAAAGGTATGTAGTGACTTGCTCACAAAATTATGAACAAGCAGCATTTTTAGTTCTTTATCTAAGTCCTTAACTACAAAGTCACCTATTTTCTCTGAAGAGACTAAAGAACACCTAATCGTGGTTTTTGTTTTATCTCAATTTCCTCCTATTTTTATATTCATTTTCCAGGGGAACACAATTGTGGATTGTTTTTTTTTTTTCTTTCATCTTTATTGCTTACCTCCAGAGTAACCTCAGAAAGAATGTGATGTGGCAGCTGAGAGCACATGAGTCCTAACCCAACAATGGCTTCCAGCTCCCCACAGTCTGCAGCATGCTCCAGGTGAAACAGAGCTGACTCCTGATCCCATTCTTTGTCTTTCTCACAGAAACGTCCAGCCTCATGGTAGCGAACCATGGCCAGGTGAACCTAGAATGCAATAGTACAGGAAAGATACACAAATATTAAGTACAGATCTGATTCTTCAAAAGCCCTGTGCCTATACTTCACTTAGGCACAAAGTACTTCTGAGGTGACTACTTAAATCTAGTTGTGTGTGTCACTGCAGAATCAACAGCAGGATCCTTGCCAAAGGAGCCCAGATATTGCAAGTCCAAAAGCAGATGGAACACATGGGTTCCTGAGTTTAGAACTGCTTTATAAAATATGATTAGGTGACAGAAAGCTATACACTTGTTATTTATTTTCACCTGCACAATTAATTCATGCAGTGAAGCACCTGTAATAAGTAATAAATACAAGATCTCTTTTTTCCATCTGGAAAGAACAGAATTACTAGACCCATCCTACCTTCCCAAGGATTGACTTCCCAATTTTCTTTTCAAGTTCTAGAGCATTAAGCCTCTGAATTTCTTGAGCGACACAGGATGGTCTGTGGATGTGGACTCGGGAAGAATTGTAGAGATTCCATTTCTCCACACTGATCTGAAACATGCAATATACTATTATTTCTATTCCAAAATAGAAAATTCTATATTACTCAAAAGGATTACCATCCAGGAAATCAAAGCCCACATTAATACTGACATTTATTAGTAAATACTGTCATTTAAGATATGGCTTTCAGAAGTCACGTTAGCAGCTGAATAAGCGTTTGTGTTTCTTCAAAGAAAAAACACAGTGAGGCACACTACAACAACAAGTATCTTCCTTAAATGACAGCAGCTAAGCAAAGTAGCACCTTTAAATTACGAATCAGGAAATAGGTACTTACAAAAATAAGTACCTGGATAATCACACTGCAAGCACTAAGGTTTCCCATGCACAAGAAATTAAACCCCTACTTTTCTGGTCAGAATTTCAGTTAAAAATACTTTAAATGCTGCTTGCATTCAACAATTCTAGAAGAATGAAAAGTAACAATACACAAGATGATAGGCAGATACATGTACATGTATTGATGTTTCTCAGAATGACCAACACAAACAAGATCAAACAACTTTTCAACCTCATGGGTGGATGAGAAGTACTAGCCAAAAAAAAAAAAAAATCCTATCAGAAAGCAAGCCATTGGATGTACACATGAACACACAATAGGGAAAACTACTGACACAGAAATTTAGCCTGTTAAAGCTGTTTCCGTTTCCTGAAACCACAATACATAAACCACTACAAGGAAATTCGTAAAATAATATCTAATTAAATTATCCATTGCTGTCAAAACTTCCCCCCCCCTTTTCCTTGCAAAACAGAATTGCTCAAGTTTATAGCCACAGAAACTAATTATCACAGAAGCTGTATTTTGCAAAATCATAGATGTCTGTTTTTCTAGCTTGGTTAGATATACAGTGGAGAGAGCCATTGTCACATATTTCAAATACTGCAGGTTTTGAAAGTCTTATCTAACCATGTATAAGACAAGCTGAAAAAATAAAGTGCAGAAATTAAATATCTAGTTAGGCAGACAAAAATCTGTAGAACTACAATTTCAAGTGGGAAACCCAGGCAGAATTCCTAATTTATGTTAGGGACCAATTACAGAGGTGACAATTTATTCATAGTTTTCCTTTAATGGAAAAATAAAGGCAAAAACAAACAAGGAAAGAATGTAGAGTGATTAGTTGTTATAAACAGACATTCTGCAACTGAAAAGGAAGGAAAATTGACATCTGATTTAGTGATGTAATATTAGACAGCAGATGAGTGGAACAAAGGACAATCTAAGTGGTAAACTCATTGTCTATGAACATTTCTGCTTTATTTACCCTTGCAGAGCTTCCCAAACTGTCTTCATCAGATTCATGTCTTCGGTTGTTGTTTGAATGGCCCTATGTTAATGTAAAGATTTGCATCATTTAATTTACAGCAACTGATGCGTGCCAGTTACCCTTCTAGACTACTCCCATCCAGCAAAAATAATGGAGACAATGATCAAAATAGTTTCCAATGGATTTTCTTCTCTCGGTGGTATTATAATATAAAAAGGAACATGCTGAAACAGTACAGAATATGGCATACCCAGGCTTTAATCCTGTAAACTATATATTCCATGACAAATACCTTGCCAACTCAAATGTGACAAAAGGTGTTATCCTTGGAAGCAATACTCTCTTTCCTATCTACAAAATAAACATCTAGTTAAGGTCTTCAGGTAAAGAAACATATCTTGAAGTTTTTACTTTAAATGAGTAACCAACTAAGCCCCAGGAATTCTGAAGGTGAATGTTATTAACTGAGAACAACATTAAGTTCTGTTCATTAACCTCAGATCATGTAACATCATAGAAAGTAGAGAGGTTAAGCGTGTCTGAAAACAGGTCATATTCATGGATTCAATATGACAAGAAGCTGGCTATTAATCAATGTTGCTCAAATGCAATACAGAACACTTCAAAAAAGCCATAAACCTACAACATGCAATCAAATGTAATGTTTGAAATTAAACTTCCCATTACAAACAGTGTTTTTCCTATAAAAGTGTCATTAACATTCCCAAGAAGAATAAGTAATTTTGCAATGTGTGGGAGTTTCTTTCCAACTGTTTTTTCCATTTACAAAGTCTAGATCAAAAGGGATAAAAATGAGATTCTTCTGTGGAATCACTTCAAGTACGAACAGAAGGCCTAATTCTGTTAAACCCACAGTCAGGTTCTTACCCTATCTCTATGATCCAGATCTTCTAACTCACTTCTTTTTTCACTGGGATATCCACTGTCTCCACCATTTTCAAAATCCTACAGAAGATGAAAAGAAAGCATCGCAGAATTAGGACTGCCCTTTGCAAAGATCTCAGCTTGACACTTCCCAGAGAGCAAAACTTCTGCTAGGTTCAATGAGGTATGTTGGGATACTGGATGAAAAGGATTGTATGTTGTGCTGACAGGCAGAATGGTACATAATGATCCAGAAGGCACTGTCCAAGTTCATGTTCCTTCTTAGATACATAAAAAAAATAATCAAAGACTTGCATACTTGATCAAACCCAGAGTCCATTTAATGTTGTTTTCAGTCCTAGGCAGTTAAAAAATAAAACAATTAATGGACAGCCCCTGGTATTGGTGCCCTGCAGTAGGGAAAAAACTCTTTGTAAAGGGATTATCGCAGACATATTGCAGTCTCCTCAGTTGAGGTTCTCTAACATCCCACAGTACAAATATTTGCAGAAACCTAATCAATGGGGATTCTGTTTAGCCTTCATATTATATCAGCTGGCAAAAGTGCCCAAGACACAACATGCAGGCAGGGGAATAGGTGCACATTAATTATCTGTGAAAATAAACCAGATGCAAGTAAATTTCTGGAGAAAAAAGCAGACAATTATTTTAAAATAAAGTGTTCTTCCATTATTAAAAAACAGCAAATCCATGCAGGTAATGTGACCTGCAGCACTGAAAGCAGGGTGAGAGCCTTCACATGCTCTTTCTGAACAAAGCCTTCCAGCCATCCTTCAAAGAGACATTCATTAAGGAACTGCAATCTCATTTTCTGATGGAAAGACACTTACCCTTTGGTTATCAAGCTGATCATAGTCTTTGTGAACCAAGTTATCTACTTCATTAAACACCGGCCAATCTAGGAACAAAAATACATACATCTTATTTTAAGAATAACATGCTTGATGAGAAAGCTCTAGATACCATCATCTTACTTTTATTAGTTATTTTACAAAAGCATCCCAAAAAAACAAAAACATTAGTTAACTACACAGAAGTACCTGATTAAACACAACATGCTGAGTATTAAAACCTGTGTAATTAAACAAGTCACCGCCAAACATTCTGGAACTTTCAAGTTACATATGAGGCTCACTCACGAAGCATGTCCATCTTTTGGCTGTGAGGTGTTGCTGAAGAAGGAGAGCAGGGTAGAGAGTCAAATGCCACATCGCTCATGCTCTCATCTCCAGAGTTTTCAGACAGGCGGGACAGCAGAGGAGGCCGACTACCAGAAATTGTCCTCACCCGGCTGCTGCCACATTTTTCCTCTGTGCCACGTAGAATTGTCTGAGCAGATTCCTTGGCAAATTAACAAGAAAATCTTGTGAATAATGCTTCACTGTATTCTGAGTATGCTACACAGGCCAACATGACTGCATATCAGGGGCCCTCTACAAGAGTGGGGGGTTAATACACACACGTATATATAACTATTTGCTTTGAGAAGTTCTAGACGCCAACAAAATATCAAGTCCTAGCATTACTGCAGTCATAGAGAACTCTATTTAGGACTGAATTTCATTCAAAACTTTTCACCAGATCCCAGTCTCACAAATATCAACTAAAGCTGAGGTCAGTTAAACACAAACAGCTCTATTCTTTATTCTCTCTGAATTAGTGTTGTGACCTACAAAACCTACTAATGATTTCGGCATTCAAAGATGAACTTGGTCCTAAATGTGCTTGTCTTGCAAGATTCCCTATTAATTAAAGTTACAGCATGAATTCAGAGCCAAGTGTGGATAAGTCAACTTTAAACTACTTTATTAGTGATTAATCTGCTTTTATCTGCCATATAAATAGAATATTAGAGTTTTATTTACAGGGCTTTTAAAGTTAAAATAATTCAGCTATACTGCTTAGCTACACTTTTTTCCATCAAGCACTTACAAGCAATTTGTTATTATAATCCAAGGCATCCTTCTCTCTCGATGAAAGATCGAATGGTGCAAGGCCCATGCTTTTGCAAATCTTGTTGCAGGAATGAGAATGAAAGAATAAGGCCATTCCTCGAACACCTGTGGCATTGAAAAAAATATTGAATAAGCTTTTTACTTAATGTTTATACTATGGCATACGTATTAAAAGAAGTAGTCCCAAATAATTTTCTAAGAAGCTAAAGGCAAAACTAAAAGGAAAAAAAAACTGTTTCATACTACAGTGCTCAACCTACTTTCATTTTCTGCTTTAAACCCTTTAAGTGCTTTTTAGCCTCTCTGAAAGACAAAGTGAAAGTAGCCTGCAAATTCTTCAGAAACTATGTTTGCACAGAACATAATAAACCAATGAAACTGGATGCATTGTTAAGAAAGAAACACGTGCCTAAAAATGATCCTGCTTACAAGACTTGCCGTGTCCTATGGATTATTTAATGTATGGACACATGGAGCTTTAAAAATAAGCAAAATTTACCTCTCTATATTCAGCAGTATCCATTCCTGCAACATGGCAAGGAAATTAAAAGTAACAATCATTCTCAAGTCACAGGGAGCTACTTAATTTCATTACTTGTCTGGTCTAATAGTAGGCCAGCAGACTTGAGCCAAGATCATTTTAAATCTGCCTGTGTGTGACAGAAGTTCAAGGACTGCTTACAGTATAAGTTCTGCAGCTGTTTCTAAGGCCCTTTTTTTTTTTTTTTTTTTTTTTTTTTTTTTTTTTAAGAAAAGTGCCTGCTTGCTCAGCCAATAGCTGCTAATCAGCATGCAGCAAGAAGAGAAGATAAGCATCCACTAGCTTGTCAAACAGGATAAGCGATTTTACCTAGGTTGCCATCTCCAAAATCTGTACCACTCTCCGTATGTATCTGAGGGTCTGTGTAAAGATCTCCGACTCCCTGGATATCAACAATAATGAGCTGGTGTCCTGAGCGCTCAAAGGTGAAGTGACTGAAGGCCTGAAAGGAAGCATAGGAAATGTCTGAGAAAACTCACCCTTGAACTACTGTGAACAGCAACACTTACTGTGACCACTTACAAATGGCCACTAAAATCACGTAATGATACTAGCGAAACAGAACTGGTATGAACATCATGATGAAAACAGTAAGAGACTAAGAGGATGTAAGGGATTTTTATCCCTACATATACACAGTGTTTTTTATCCCTACGTAGTCACAGTGAGATTATGCTTTCATATAAGTCCCGGTTGACCGGCTCATGTGAAATCATGCAAATCAAGCAAACAGAATTTGGCTGCCAATTTTAAGCAAGGGCCAAACAGAAGCACTAGCAGTCCCTGGTAAATTGTTTTTACTAAACACTGCCCTTCAGACTTTATCAGAATATTTAATATCCTATGCAGTGGCTAAATTCAATATTAAGAATTTGCTGGGGAAGGAGTAATTGCTCCCCAGGGTCCAAACAGGGAAGGAAATTTCAGATGCATCTACTAAACACAAAGGATTATCTGTTGCCTCTGTGGCATTGCTTCTCCAACCTGGTCCCGCTCAGAGAAAGGTTGAAAGAAGCAGGGTGAAGGGCAGGAATGGGAACATGCAGTGGGGACTGCTCTATTCCTCCTTCCAGTACTGGACATCCCATTTTCCACTACAGTCTTCACCTTTAGAAGTAGGGAGCATGAGGTGGAGGGAATAACAATGGGCTCTGGAGCCAGTACAGAATCACTTCTGCATAAAAATCCTGGCTGTGCCTATGAATCAACAAGCTCTGCAGCCCTCGGACACTGCTTCCTGCTGCCAACAGGCAAAGCTCTGGCCCATTTTGCAGAAGGAAAACACGAGCATCCCCTGAATTCTTCTTCCACTATCTGCCTTTAGATTTGTGTATCAAATGGTGAAATGTATGTTCGTACTCTTTAAATGCTGAGTTCCAAGTATCAAGTATAAAAAGCCCTTTTCTTTGGCATAAAGCTGAGACATTAGGATCTTCTGGGAAGGCCTCCAAAACACTGCTGCCAGGCCTGGGGGAGGTGAGTGGTGGTGATAGACAAACACTTTAAGTGTAGCAAGTCTCACAGAACACTTTGTTCCCAACTTGTAAAAGCACAGCACTGAACATAAATGTTCTGCTTACGTTAAGTATCATACAAATAACTTAAAAATAGGGGGGGAGGAAGTTAAAATAATATAACCCTCAACACCCAGTTCAAAAAAAAACAACAAAAAACACACTTTTGCTATGCTGATCACTTTGCATTCTTGGCCTGTATTTTAAAAAGCTCTGTGAAACACAAGTATTCCCAATCACTTTAAAACTGTAGCTGTATTTCTATAAGCAATCTCAGATTCACTTACTCAGAGGTTGTGTCTGAAAAACACAAATTATTATATGTAAATGAGCTACGTGTTTGTTTACATCAGTTAGGTATCTACCACTTCCTTTTGTGTATTCCTCTGAGGTAACAGCAGCCTACTTAGTACATAATACATGAGATGTCTCCCCTCTGCTTGAACTTGAAGCAAGTTTTAAGAATGTTAACGCCTGTAATTGTAACTAGAGGAACAGGGCTTACAATTTCTGAAGAGTATTAACCATGTTCAACTAAATTAAAAATCAACTGACAATGAAATGTGATAAAGAAACTCTCAGCACTTGAAAAAGCACACCCCAAGTAAGGGGAAGACATGCTGCAAAAAGAGAAAATAATTTGGCATTGTTCTGGAAAGACTGCAATTTCCTCTCTTGGCAGTAATGCAAAATCTCTGCACAGAGCCAACAAATTGCTTGCAGCAGGCTCTATGGAAAGCATTACACAAAGCCTCACTTGCGGAGTAAGACGAATGTTGTCGTCTCGCACAAATCCAGAATTTGAGTTGTATTTGATGTATTTGCCCTCAATGTAATGTTCCAGATGAAAAAGAGGCTTTCCAGGTCTGTTCTTCATTTCAATAATGCAGGTCTGTACTATATCCACCTGGGAAGGGAAGAAAAATAAACAGTGACTAACAGAATACTGCCTTCAGATTAATGTGTGTGAATGCTCCAGCTGTGAAAACTTTGCCAGCAAAAGAAGCCGAACAATTGCCAAGATCTGCCTGTTTAACAAGGGGGTGGAGGAAGAGTCATGTGCTTCTTAGGTAACTGAGGGAATTTCATAAATTAAAAGCGGTCACTTAAACACAGACCATTTCTGCAAAAAATCACACTGAAAAAATTTTAGCGAAAGTTGCCTTTCTTTTTATTTCCTTGGGTACCTTAGGAGTGTGCTGCAAAGAGTGTGCTCCAAACAGCAAAACATACAGTAACTACTGCACAACTTGTAGAAATGCCTCTTCAAAGGAGTACTGAAGAAACCTCTACCATTCAGATATTTGTGTATCTTGCCCCACCTCCACACAGACTACCCCAGAGGCACTCCTAAAGGAGATAGCATCACAACTTTCATGTTGTTTGCATCTTTCTCAGGTGGCATTAAAAACTTATCTAGATTCCTCTCTGAGCACTTCACCCTATGTCTCGTCTTGCTATTTTGTGACAATTGTTATCTAACCCTTGTACAGAAGGCAGTGCACATAGTCCACAAATTCAGAAGCACTTACTACTTTTGACAATTACGTTGTCAAAGCCCCCATGCCGAGGGATACATTTTGACCCAAGCATCCTGTCACATCTCACACGTCACTTGCAGTCTGTGGTACAGTCAAGAGCAGGACCCAAGTTCCCACAGCAGAAGCACAGTTCCGTCCCAATGTTTGCTTCCACTCAACTGAAGCCACAGTCCAAGTCAGGCATTCGCTACCAGCAGCAGATTAAAGCAGTTTACGTATGCTGATACATACCACAGACACACTGAACAAAGAGGAGAGACTGGCTGAGAATGCATGACAGTTGCAGTCCTTCATCCTTGTATTTTAATTCTTGTCTTTTAACAAGCTGATTGCTCTGGAGATGGTTTTGTCTGTGACTCAAAGATCAGCTTTGACCAGCTGCTATCCAGCTTACCACCATGGAAAAGTGCAAAGCTATACTGGCTACATTTATAAGACTGTACAAAATGCTTAGCATAGCCACCAAAAATATGATCCACAACACAGCAGAACCCCTCTTCCCAAATCTTACGTGTTTATGCACATCCCTTGCAAAGAGGATGGGAACTTCTCTTGATGCCCTAAGCCTGGTCTGACACACTAACCACCTGGCAGTTTCATATGTCTTATTGCTTTGTAGTTAACACAGGGTGCTGACATTATCACTGAGTGACATAAAGGAGACAAAGGTACAGCATCTTTGTTTTTTGGAGAGTTCTTGACTGTTCCTCAGAAATCTGTATCTGAACAGCTTCATAATGTTACCCAGGTTCTCAGCTCTTCTTAAAATCAATGCTAGGGAGGTGTCAAAATGGGCTTACAAGACTTAAGCACCTACCTCACTGGAGCACTAACAGTTAAATGCTTACTGAGACTGCTGCTGGCAATAAATAGTCACATCTCTGGTTATCTGAAAAGCAGCTGGGCAAATATCAAAAAGAGCAAGGCAAACACCATTTTATTTTGGTCTTCAGTCAACAGCTGAGAACAGTCAAATATTCACAAGCGCACGTGACTAATTTTGGATATGCAAAGCAATTTCTGCATTTACTTTGTTAAAAACAACTACCATTTAATGGAAAACACAGCAGGGCAGAAGACTCAGCAATTACATTTAATAGAACATGAACAACTAATCCTCTCTAAATACATCTGAAACCTATCTAATGGAAGAGCAAGACCGATTTTTTGCATAGCATAAAGTTTTGCATAGAAAAGATTTTGCATAGAAGAACTTTGAACGTACCTGTTTTGGTGGCTTGTGCCGATTGTACTCTTCTCCCCAGAGTTTTGCTTCCATCTGAAGTCGGACATCCTCAAAATATACCTCCCTGCCTACGCTCTCTATGTACTGCTTGGCAACATAGTTATAGGCACCTTTCCAGTTCTGCGTGTGTAAAAAGTTGGACAGCTTTTTCCTGAAAGACAAACCAATTTCTGATAAAAAGAAAACCAGTAATTTTAATTCAATTTTCCCCTTTTCTCTGTCTCTGCCGACAAAGCCAAGCCAAGGGATCAGGATTACCCTCATTCTGGACTGGATCTTAAGTTATATACCAGATATTTTATATGAAAAGCAAAGCACAGGTAGGGAGCAGAAGAAAAAGCAACATCCCGTATGAATGGCTGGGTCTTGCCAAAGTGCCTGTTTCATTTGACTGCTGCTTTTACTTTGAACTTCCTCCTTTTCTGATTTCTTTTTCCCTCCCCACACCCAGAAAAAACAGACTGAAGGGTTGCTGCCATCTCAACACCCTGTTCTACAGCCAGCAATTATTTTATGCAGAAATGAGCAGGGAGTGGCATTTCAAGTAAACTGAGGGAAGACAAATCTCTCCTATAAGAACAAACTGCTGCTTTCTCAACACACAGGTGACAACTATCCAGTATCCCCACTGTTCCCAGAAAGTGGAGTGCAGATGACAGTTCTTCCTCTGATTTTAACTTTTGTTCATGTGCAAATCTTTAATCCACAGATCCCTCAAGAGTGAAGAAAAAAGACTGACAAGAGAGGATCTGCTGGCTGCCAAGAAGTAGACTAAGCAGTGGTTGTAGAAGATGCCAACATTCAAATCAAACAGGGAAAAAAACATTACCAAGGATTTCAAAGCAGTCAGCCTTCTATCCCAGAGCAGCCAGATCAATTTATATAGGACACACAGGGAAAGGAGGAAAGCACTTCTCCCTTCCTTCCCCTCCCCCAAATGACTTAATTCAACAGAAAAGCTGGCAAAAAATGTATTAAAACCCATTTACTGTGGCAGCAGTCATACTGCTGGACACCCCAAGACAGTCTGATGAGAGAGGAGTATGAAAGAGTACCTAGAGTAAGGCATAGCTGGCTACCAAGCAGTTCTACTCTGCTCAGTGACAATCAATGGTTCTGAGCCTTCCTCAGTGCTGTGGCAAATTGAACATTTTGAGAACTCAGTAGCAGCAAATGCTTATCCCTCCCACTTCTTCCTTCCCTCTCTCACTCCTAAGACCTTGGTACAGAGCTAGAAGTGCACGGAGGATCTAAAGGAAAAGCAACTGCAGATAGTCTGTCATCCTGCAGGGATAGACAGTCACTGTAACAGAGGCCTTCGAAAGAAGGAACAGGTGAGGTAAGAATTACAGCTATGATTTGAAACTTCTCCAGTTCTCTGAAGAAATACATTTATCTCCATAAAACAAGCCAGCTCATGTGCTCTTCTAAAGCCAACACTCTGCAGTTCACTGAGCCAAGAGCAGCTAATGCTGTCAATGCAATGACTAAAGACTTGCAGAGTTGCAAAAATCTAGAAGAGAGCTCCAGATGGGAAATATCAGCACACACTGAGAGTTATGGAAGACCCAAGAGCAGGAAGCTGACACACAACTTACATACTTTCTTTGTACAATAGATTAAGCCACAAGAATAAACTTCTGTCTGTGTCGCTACTCAATATATTCTCTAATGTGGAATTTGGTCATTCAGAAACAAGAACTAAAAGCAATGTCAGCAGACTAAGATTTGTTAATGTCCCAGGCTTTTATACTGCTGTTATCTATCTGGCTTTGCAAGAGCAGAGCCACCAGCATGAACCGATACCAAACCAATACAAAACTGAAGGACTGAAGGATTACTTTGCCCCCTTTTTCCTCAAAGTTCAAAGCATCATGTTACTGTCATTCAGGAATCTCTCTTCCCAGAAGTGAAACCAGACCTGAAATGTAATTCCTCCAGATTCTGCAGCTGCAAAGAAGAGGGGAGGAGGCAGCTTAAACACACACATTTTCCAGGAAACATTCATCTTCAGAGCCTGGAAAGGGTGGAATGCTCTACTCGCACAAACCGATTCATAGCCAGATGCTGATGCCCACAGGCACATTTCCTAACACTCTGTGAGGAAAAAAAAATGTTCCTCCTCTGTCTTCTCCCACACTTCACCGTTCTGGAAAGAATAACTATTAGCGTTCAAACCCTGCCTTACTCAGAACAGGATGACTGGTACACGTGATCCAAAGTGAACTGCGAGAATAGCCCTCTTTACTGAGGAAGGCCTTCTGAGTTGAGATCGCATGATCTCAACTGTTCTTCCCCTTTTTCTGTGCCTAAATATGGGCCTGAATCTGGCCTTCAGGCTGCACACACAGTCTCATACCAAAGTCAAAGACATAGCACACTAGGAACCCAAGAAAAATGAAACAAAACTGCTGCTTCTGTACTTTTATGAGTATTTTGCCTCCAAGAGATGGTGAAGATAGCATTAATTTATGAATTGCCCACTGAAAGGCTGATTATACTTGCTGGAACCGGGCACAATTACATGTTATCCATCCCATCGTGGTTCCAGTAAATGTTATGGATTGGCTTTTCAAAGCAAGCCCACTGGATGCCTGCATCACACTCACTTGTGTTTCCCTTAAGACAATGCTCTGCTTTCTGAACCCTACTCCCTGTGCTGCAGATGGAGTCGTACAAACAGGAATAAGTCCCTCAGCTGTGTCTTTCAGAAATGCACAGCAGGGAGCTAACGGGGAGCTGTGCTTTACATAATTTCCACATCTATGAGAAATTCCAGTCACCACAAAAGAAAACAGTGCAACAAAGATAAAGTTAGCAGACACTTACGTCCTGAAACATTCTCGCATTGCTCCACGGCCAAAGGGCTAGGGAAAAGAAAAAAACAAAAACCCATCATTGTCATGTCCACAAAGTTAATTTCTATGCAGTAAGAGATGCAACCATGTCCTCCCTCTTTAGAAAGTAGTTCTCAAGCAGGAGCTATGCCATATCTCTACCCTTAAGGAAAACTGAAAGCCCACAGGCCATTTAAAACAGGAATTTGGGGAGAAAACATTGGGAATAAACCTTCTTCCTCAATATCCCATCAGCAGACATTCTATGGCTTTTAAAGATGCCATTTAAATTCTCTCTCCAGTTTGGAATCGGCTCTGTTGCAACTGCCTAGTGCAGCTGGCTTCAGACCTCAAGGCCTCCTCATTTTGGCTTCCACACAGGATATGCCACACAGAGGAGCACTGCCCCAGACATCAGATTCTACATCAGAAGCACAGAGCGAAGTGACTGCAACACACTACCAATCCTGTGATTTAACTGGAATATGCAACTAGCTTCTACCCTCGCATACCAAAACTTCAGTCTGTTTTCATCGTAAGATCAGAAATTATTTGGAAGCACACAAAATAATAGGCCTATTGCCAGGCAGGGAGATGAGGCCAGCAGGAAATGGGAGGGCTGAGATGGGAAAAGACAGTTTCTGGGAAAGAAACAAATGCCTCTAATGCTGCTGATGGGGAAGGGCTGACTCCATGTTCTACTCTATTCAGTGGAGAAAAGGCTGCTGGGATACCAAAACATTATGGATGAACCAAAATATATAAAAAAATTAGAGGATGTAGGAGAAGAGAAGAATCAATGCTTTTATATACAAGACAAACGTTTTGCTGCCACTAGTCAGTAATAAGAAGTGACAAATTTGACTGCTAATAAACATGAAGGACTGCGTGATCTTACTTGTGAAGCCATCTTGATGAGAACTTCATCTTCAACCCAGTTCCCAGTAACTGCATTGTACCTACAAAATCAGTAGTTACAATCAGAGTCATTTAGGTTGGAAAATATCAAGTCCAAACATCAACCTAGCACTGCCAAGTCTACCACTACACCATGTCCCTAAGCACCACACCTACATGTCTTTTGAGTACCTCCAGGGATGGTGACTCAACTACTTTCTTAGGCAGCCTGTTCCAATACCTCACAACCCTTTCAGTGAAGAAAATTTTCCAAATATCCAACCCTGGCGCAACCTGAGGCCATTTCCCTGTTCTAAAGTTGCGCCTCTTAAAAAGAATGCAGAGGGAATGTAAATCCTCCCATCCCAGGCACCTATCCTTTCTCATCTCCAACTGACAGCTTAAGAGTCCTGCTGCCACTCTATACAACTTCTAATCTTCCCACTGTGCTTTTGGCCTCCTTTGGTGGTTAGTTCTTCAGGTGGGAAAAAATAAATACTTAAAGTTCTTCAAAGGGACACACTGAATCCTATAGATGATGAACAGACTGCTGCTGAAGCTGAACTTTTGCAACACTACAAAACAGGCCTCATGTGCTTTGGCATTAAACCTTACACAGCCTTACCAAGCTTACATAAACCTGGGTCTGGCATGGAAGCTGGCAAGACTGTTGAGGATGCAAGCAGAATGCTGCACTGGCTATGACTGTGAAAAGTAGAGGGTCCAAAAACTTCACAGCACTGCACCATGAGAGGAGCATGCCTCTGCACAAACCCATAGTAATATGGAGTAGGACTCTGGTTTCTCCCCACCCCCTTAGCTCCCAATACAGTAAAAACCAAACTGAGAACCACAGTGGCTGAGTCACCAGCACATGACAGGTTCCAGCTAACTCCCCCACCCTGCACAGAGCACTTCATGCACAGACACCCCAGGTATACCCCATGAAGTCTGCAACACCCCAGTCTGCAGCAAGCAAAAGGGAGGTGGAAACAGAAAAATTAAAGCCATCTCGTTTTAATGGGGGTATTTGAGAAGTCCTAAACCAGTACTATCACTTGAAGTATTTTTAAAATATGCAAACTATTTCAGGACTGTGTGGCTGACCAGGGCCAGATGCTGTCTACGGGGAAGAAGAGCACAGTGTGACAGTGTCATTAGATGGGCAGGGAGGCCTTCCCAAACACTTATGCTAAGGGGTAATTAACTGGCCTCTAACTCCTACCCGTTTCACCCAGAAACCTGTGTCAGTAGGGTAAAAGTTTTGGCAAAGCCTGTGCTAAAGCACTGAGAATAGTTCATGGGTCAGACTCTGTTTCAGCACGTACACCATGCTGAGCTATTCTGGGCTTTATAAGGATTTAAATTCCAGCCACATGCAGCAATACTGCATGGATAGGCAACAGTGAAACTGCTATTCTGGGAAAGGCACAGAGTGCTGTGCTGCTTTTTTCCTAAACTACTTAAATTTTAAGTATTCTGCCTCTTTATTGGAATTTATTTCCTTATTAGATTAAGTTTACAGAATTAATAAATCAACTAGGAAGTACTTTTCAGCCTTGTTTCCTGTCTGTATGGCAAAACTCAGACACTGCTTGGGTAGGAGAAAAAGAAAGAACCTTATACTAGTTTGCTGAAAGGTTTATTTCTTGAAAGCATGCAGTATTTAATTAATGCAGTATTTCTGGGAGATTCAGTTAAGACACTCATTCTGGACATTATTGAAAGGTCTTCAGCCATGTAATTACACATATTCTGTAACACAGAAACACAACCCTTGCAGAAAACATCAGATTCTGTTTCAAGTCGGCACTGAGAGCAGAAAGACGTACAGACCTGTAGCGAGTGGCATGTTCTGTCTCAATGTCCTCAAGATGAAATTCTGCCCATGGATCAGGCATGTGCTTAGCCTTCTCAATAGCATGTTTCCAGGTTTCCTGAAGAAGATACAAACTGGCAGGTTATTTACAGAAGACCACCCTGATATTTTATAGTTTCAAGTATAATGAAATAGATCAGAAACATCAGCATCAGGTTTCAGTTCAATTTGCATCATCAAAGTTATTGAGAACAGAATCTGGTCTAGTATATACCAAATGTAATTTACAAAAACTGTAACTTTCAAACATCTCTAACATATGCCATACCTAACAAACAATAAGCCACATGTAAATGACATTAATTCACTTTTGTTGATTTGATGTTTAACTTTCTGTAGCTAACAACATATGCGGGCAGCATAAGCAAAGACTATCAGCAGTAGAGCAGTATGAAAGAGGAAAAAGTGTTCTGAGGGCCTTAGGTATTACACACTGTGCTCAGCAGTAAGATACAAGAAATTAGCATGTTGTAATCTTGATGACTTATGGGCTGAGGCAAACAGTTCTTTCAGATAAAATAATGTACAAAAAAGGGCCATAAAAAGGAAAACAGAAAAAAACTTAATGCATCTACTATATATGGCGTTCGCATTTTGTTTTAACCTACCCGACTACGGTCAACCACAGAGCCGTGCTTAGAGCGATGCTGTGTGTCATTCTATAGGACGCATGAGAAACATAAAAGTAGGAAAACACATGTGATAAGACAATTGATTGACAAGTAGTCTCCCCTCTCTTTGTTAAATAAAAAAATAACTTTTTTCCACTTAAAAAACACTTTTTGCTTTAATTCCTAATTTAAGTTAATTCTTAGAACATTCGTGAACAAATCTTTTTGGGTAAGCTGATAATTTCTTATTTGCAAATATAAGTTAAAAGTGCCTTGCTTAATAACTAGCTAATTAAACAGAGGCCTGTTTAAAGGCAGAGAGCTGGCAGTAACCCTTCCATCTGCATTTCATCAGCAGTGGCCCACACTGTCATCAGCTTTGGGGTCTGATAGGCAGATTCTCACCAGACCAGGCTGCAGTGGTTTAAGATGCTGTCAGTCCTGGCTGGCTGCATCACTCTGCATTGGAAGCCACTGTTTCTGTGACTTGAGCAATGCACAGGGCCTTGCCTGCTGCGCATCTGAACCCCATGCACCTTATCTGTGATACAAACAAAGATACCAGAGCAGGTCTCGCAAAGCCCAAAGCAGAGGCATGCACTACGTTCTGCTACCCCTGCTGCAGGACTTGAGCTTCCAGCAGAAGCAGCACGATAGCTTAGAAAGGAGGAAACAATTGCAGTTTTAGTCCCTATCAGTTTTTTCTCTGACCACGTGACTCAGAACTCCGATATACTCCGCAAGTCTAGAGGCAGGTATTGAATATTAAAGGCTAAGCTCCCTGCAGGTCTTAACTTGCTTTAAGCTTTTAACTTGCATACCATAGCATACGTTAAAATCTGACCCCGTGTCTATACTGAACTTCTACTCCTCACTTTCCTTGGGGATATGTACATTTTAATGCTTTTATTGACTAGCTTTGGTAAAAGTCTTACTGCAGACAAAAGTTCCACTTTTATTGGGTTATTTAATATGTTAGCTAACTGAAATAAACCCTCTGGCATCTCTCCAGAAATAAAGCATGCATTAGGCATAGCCAAGATTTAAGACTATCTATTACATAAACAATGTTAATACTTATAATAATAAATGTATTAATAAAACACAATAAATCTCAGTCTGGAGAAAAACTGAGGGACATGCCAGTTGAGCATGAACAGTGCATACTTCAGATATCTAACCCCATACAGTGACCATCAGTTCTGTTTATGAGGCTTCACCTTCTGCAGGTTCTCCTCCCTTTGCATGGCCCTGTCTGTGCAAAGGGAGCAGGGGGGGACAGGACACACTGCCAAGGAAGCGCTAACTATGGCCCTGCGACCTCTCTGCAGTACTGTGCCACTCACTTTAAAAAGGTCAGATGCTGCTCGAGGGCACCATCAGGAGCTACTGCCAGTGTGACACTTCGTGCCCAGGCACATGAGCCAACAAGTTAAAAGCTCCCAAACAAGCAACAATAGCCCAAGGACTTGTCATTACAATTTTATCATTCACAATTTTATTTGTCCAAGTTAAATTCTTGGGGTTTTTAACTTACTTGATTTTGGATTTTGCCAAGTATCTTCTGGCAGGCCTCAATTTAGCTTACAATAAATATAATTTTTTAAATCTCCTAATCAATGTGTTGCTTTTTTAGTAGTTTGATCATAATGGCAGTGAATTTGTCTGGATTCTGCTGCCTTTGCAAGTAAAGATCTCTCACTGAATTAAAAGGAACAGTAAGCAATTCAATGGCAGTGTCAGACCAGACTACTGGCTTAATGGAATTAACTGCAGGTGTGGAAAAAAAAAACTTTTTTTTTTTTTTTTAAACTGAAAAGCATTAGTTAAAAGAAGTGAAGGAGTTAGGGAGCATTTCCCTCTCATGCTGACTAAATAAAAACAACATGTTACTGAAGGCTGGAGTCAGCACTTACCTTAAAGCTAAACGAGTTTCTAGGAGAAGAGCTGGAACTGTACTGTTCAGTTTTTGCTAAGTTGCTATAATAATTGTCAACTTTGATACTGGCAGACTTGTTAGAAACTGGATCATCAGTTATTGGACAGATATAGTAGTTGTCTTCATCATCACTATCAGCATCAAGATAGTTTCCAGAGTTCACTTTAGTCGATCTACCATTATCAATCCCTTCCATACGAAAAATAAGGTCCTCGTCTGCCATGTTTGCGGGAGGTTGCTTTAAGTCCTGCAATGATTAAAGCAGCCACTATTCCAATGCACATGCAAATGGAGGGAAGAAGCTGGGTAGGAGAGAAAAAAAAAAAGAATGAGGTATTATTAAAAGAACAAACCATGCATGAAATTGATGTCAGCACTGCTGGCAAAAAAAAAAAAAAAAAATCAAAATGAAAACACAAACATATCTCCATATGGCTGTATAAAAATAATCCCTGAGTACCTACACGTGGTTTTGATCTCCTCACTGCTAGATCTGGGTTTCCAGAAGGCACTCAGTTTATAAATTGCTCCAGGATTGAGAAAGTAAGATAACCAAACACAGAATAATACTACAAAGTCTGAGAGACTGTAAACACCACCTGCTGCCTATGGGTGATGTGCGGTAATCTCATCCTCTGAATGTTTTTATTCCTTGTCTCTCAAATGCTGAGTTCCACAACACCAGCCTTAGTAACCTGAGGAAGTTTTGCCTTCAGTACATGGTTTCCTCCAGAGGCAGGACTTCGCACTTCCCTTTACTAAACTTCATGAGATTCCTGCCTGCCCGTTTTTCCTGCCTGCTGAATTTAATGAAGATTTGCCAGTCTTCTAAGTGCTCCCATCACAGCAATCCTTATATGCACTTCTCCATTCACCTGCAACAATCGTTATCAAAATAAGGGCTTCCAAATGATGGTATGGGTAGAAAAGGATAAAAGGAAAGCAGTAATTTATTTAGGGAAGTTGACAAGAACAGGTCCCGCTATATTTGCTTTATTTAAAAGGTTCAGCTAAATCCAGATGCTTCTATAATCTATAGCAATTGGTATATGGCAAAAAAAAAAAAAAAAAAAAAAAAAAAAAAAAAAACACCACCACATTTTGAAGGCTTAAGATGTCCTCCCACCAACTTAAATTTTCCCTAACTGTGTGATAGCTTCCCCCTGCTCCAAATGCTTCTACAGCTCCCTACTGCAATATAAGCCCATTTCTCTCCAAGGAGGCTATAACCCACATGGGTTATTTTCTTCTAATGATTTGCATTATTTCAACAACCCAGGTAACTGCAGCCAGTGGAACAGAAGACAATTTGAAGCACGCTGGATTTCAGACTTTTAAAGACTCTGCAGGGAGAGCACAATCCACCACTGCTGGGGCTGGGAACCAGCCGACAGTCAATTCCCATAATCCAACTCAGCATCTGCTTCACACAGGTCAGGCACCAGCTAAAATTACAACTGCTCTATTTCCATCACATGGAGCTGAAATGAAAAAATATTCTCCCCAGTTAGTGGTTCTCATGATTAACAAAAGAGGTTAGAAGCTCAGCTATTTCAACTTTTTAGTAGCTTCCTCGATTGCAAGAGAACAGAATAGGTAAGGTTTACCTTCTTCTGGCTCCTAGGTCCAAAATTAACTAAGCAAAATAACAGTTAAAAAATATATATATTAGCCATATAATGCAGGCAGGTCCTGAGTTTTTATTAAAACCTGCTCAACTATTTCTAAACCCAGAAGGTGATGTTTTAGGTATGTATTTCACTGAGGCTTTTTGACACATCAGAGTAAATGATGTTGGGTTAAAAAAAAAAACAAACATGGGGAGTTCCAGGTTGGTGCCAGAACAGCAGCTCTGCAGAAGTGCCCATCTCACCACAGCTTGTCCAATCACCAACACCACTTCCAGCGAGACAGAACACCAGTGCTGTACAGCCCACAGGTGACAGACGTATTATAAAAAACAGGCGAGTCAAGGGAGTGTTTTTCCTGGAGCTCAGGTTCCACCAGCAGCCATCTCATCATGGGAATGTTCCCAGCAGCCTCCGCCCAAGAAGTGGTGATGATTCAGCAGAAGTCAAACAGAAATAAACCCCGGCAGCCCCATTCTTTCGCATATTACCAGCCATGTCAACACAAAGAGGCTTCCATCCTTTGCCACTTGAAGCCCTGGGGCTGCTGGGGTGCCCCCGCTTCCCTGCTGGAAGTCTGGAGGAGATGGGAAGGCACTGTTGGGGAGGCACAGGAGGGTCTTCAAGCGCCCCTTTTTCCTTCAAACTTTTGTGGTTTTCCTGCCAAGCCTGCTCATGCTCAAGCCCCCACCTACAGAGGTGTCTAGCTATCGAGGAAAGCACTAACAGCCAGATTGCAGCAAGGCCACAGTTCATCTAACACCAGCTGCTGCAAAGTAAAGAGCAAAGAGACCCACACGGAACATCGATCTGCCCCTACTTACATGGTTTTCTAATTGCTGGTAGGGAAGACTTTACACCCGTAAGTTTTTCATATTTTCTCAAACACTCTTCTCTCCCTCCAGGTTTCAGAGGCACTTCCTGATGTCCCCCGGGGATAACCCCTGCCTTGCCAAAGCTGGTGGCTGTCTGTAACAACGACCCAGCCACATCAGCAGCTCAGGCCACAGTAAGGAGAATAAACAGACTGAAGTGGAAGTACCTCTGTGGCATGCACTTCTGCCAGTTGTTTCTTTTAGCAAGAGCACAACATACAGCTGATTCCCTCAGCCATACCCTGCATGGAGCTTCCCAGGTCACTCCACAGTTTCCTGGTACATTATCAGCCAGCCACTGCTCAGCTCTACCAGCAAACGTGACCAGAACAGAACTGGCAGCAAGCACAGTCTGACCCCAGCTCCCTCAAACTCACCAGAATGCAGTGCCTGTACAGGAGGCCCACGGGCACCACCCCAGCACAGCCCCTTCCACACCTCCCACAGCAAGCTGCGGGCAACACCCTCTCAGGAGGGCTGGGCTACTGCTTGATTTTACCAGGCATCCTGCTCCAGAAAAATAACAAAGCAGATTTACAAACCACATCATGGTCCTTAAACTACTGTCAGGGCTTAAGGGCATCATTCTCTGTGAAGGAATCAATAACTGGCAGCACAGGCACAAGGTTCTACAGCTACTCAGATTAAAGGGAATATTTCCTCAGCCTCCTATATAGCAAGGATTTTCTCCTCCTTTTAGCTATAATTAATCACATCGCTGTGCTGTTTGAAAAGCAGGACAGGATTAGATGAATGCAATAATCATCCAGATCTTCACACAGATTTAGCTGCGCTTAAACAAATATTTGCTGGTGCTTCAGATGGATGCTGGGAGCATATTACTGTCAAGTCTGCCTGTTTTGTTCTTCATTAGAAGGCAAAAATAAACTACACAAAGCAGCATATCTTGGTTCGTTTCACACAATATATAAACTAAAAACCTTTGTCCCTGGATCTATGACAACTACATGGACCTGAGCTTCCCACATATTGCACTTGATCAGCTCCCAGTACTAAGCAAGTCTCAGCCTTCCTGCAGACACCAGCCTAACAAATATGTGTATGTTACAAGCCAGAGAAATGAGACAGGAATAATCACAGTCCTTGGAAGAGATGGAAGTCTACCTGGATGCTCTGAAAATGCATGCACTCACCAAGTAAAGGGTTAGTTAGTGTTTTGAAAATTTAGCCCTGGAAGTCTAAGGCCAGGCTGGATGGGGCTTTGAGCAACCTGGTCCGGTGGGAGGTGTCCCTGCCTGTGGCAGGGGTTGGAACCAGACAGTCTCTAAGGTCCCTGCCAACCCACACGCTCTGTGACTCTACCTTGGCTGTGCAATAGCACACAACTCAAAGCAGACACTTCTAAGTGTCTTCATTCCAGGGTAACCTCACCCAACCAGCTCCATCAGGGATTTCCACACAGCTAGCCTATGAAGGACAACGGCAGAACAAGGTTTTCAGCTTAGTTTCACTGCTGTTCCTCAGCTCTCTGCTCCTCCATCTCGAGGAAACTGTACCAGATACGTACAACTTCCCAGCAGCATTCATAGCTGCAGGCTTTACAGAACAGCTGCTGACAGATGGTTGCGGCAGAAGCGATGACTGAGTGTACGGAGCCTCCCCCAGCACCATGCAGGGCTGGTTACTGCTGTTCTGACAGAGGCAGCACTCCTGCAGCTTAGCACTCCATCTGCCTCGGGCAGCACCAGGTTCAGCAAGCCACTGCTAAAGGTCTGAACTCAGCTGGCTTTGCACTGAAGCAGCTCTGGAGCACTCTTATAATCTTTCTTGCAAAGACCATGTGAGAGCAGTCATTTATGGAATGAGGCGGTAGCCTATTACAGAAGGGGAAGGCATCCTCAGTTGCCCCTACCATTTTCACTGTGACTGTCTTACCAGAGGCCACCAGGTACTGGAGAGCAAGGCGTGTGGTTGCCAGCATGCACAAACAGATGTAAAACCATGCTTCAGGCACCAGACTGACTCCAGGCTGTACTGCTGTCCTAGACAAGCATAGTGCCTCTCAGCTGCTGTCCTGCACTCGTTTCTACTACTGCAGTCAAACACACAGCAGCAGAACCACCAGACAGACCTTCAGTGTGTGAGGGGCAGCAGCAAGAGGAATGCTGTTTCACACAGCAGAGGTTGCAAGCATTCACGATTTTAGTGACTTGCTGCGTAAGTGGAACATCATTGCAGAAATCATTGTGTATTTAAAACTAACAGCGTTGATAAAAACCTCTCAGTTTTCCTTGGAACCATGTTTCTTGTACAGGACTCATGCTTACTTTGGAAGTGTGTTTACTAAAAATTGTCCTCATGTAACATGCTCTTTAAAACAGAATTCCATGACCAAACCTTAACTATACAAGCACTGCTCTACATCTCACAGTTTATTTGTTCAGAAGCCCTACAAAAATGCCTGCACTTCATTCCAAGGCTCATATTCTGTGCTGCTGCCTTATGGCATAAAGCCATGCTATCTAGGAACTCCCGTTGCTATTGCTGCTATGCTTTGATCGTTTAGTCCCTAATATCCGTGACAGAAGCTTTCCTTGGGCTAAGCAACAATCACACCGCACTGAACCTAGCCCACAAACCTGCATTAGCACACCTAACCTGCAATTTAAACCACCAGCTCCACTCTATTTCAAAAACGTGTCCCACTTTTTAAAATTAACCTTGTCCTATGCAATTAAAAATGCAGAAAATTTAAATATAGTCAATTTTTAGATCAGTTCATGTCTGTATTAATTTTGGGCTTTTCCAATGCATGTCTGAAGTGTTTTTCTCTTGACATTATATTCAAGAGCCACACTACTAGCAGGGGAAGGTGAGTTGCAAGGACAATATGTTATGTTGTCAAACATAGTGCATATGCAAACATAACCAGAGGGGAGATTTCACATCACAGTGCTGGTAATACGCTGCTTATTTTTGTATGGTATCTGTTGTTATGAAATGCTGCTGGTTTGGCAGGGCCTTTGAGCAAGACACCACAGCAGCCTCAGCATGGAAACCTGCTTTAACTCATACTGAAGAGGTGCAGGATGGGAAGACTCTAGTCACAAAATAAGGGAGGACTGGAGCATCCCCAGCTATTTCTTAGGGGCTGTCCCAGCTCAGACACAGTCCTCTGCACTGCTTTAGCACAAGGCAGGGGAACAGAGGCTGCTCGTGGACAGAGGGACTCCAAACTTCTTTTGTAGGGTCAGCATTAAAGCAAGAATATCCATCCCCTCTCCTAGGTATAATACCAAGTTCTTTTGGTTTAACACCACATCAGCTACAGCCACCAAGCAGGATACCTGTAACAGCAACAGGCAGGCTTTTTGGAAAGAGAAATTGCTATTTTTAGATTAACATTATTTTAAATTACCAATTTGAAATTTAACCTAAGCAACTCTAAAAGCTGCACACCTTACACAGAATGGTTGTTGTTGATCATTAGGAACCACAGACAAAGCCATGCAACGCGTTCCAGAACAACCCCACTGGTACGTTAGTGTCCTGCAGCACATCACAGAACTGCTGCACTTCCAAAGCACGTCCCTGATCCCTGCGAACCGAACGCCTACTGCCACCTGCACTGCGCACCAACAAGAAAACAGGTTCAGCGAGTCAAGGTAAGAGCTCCAATAAGAAAAACAAGATTATTTTCTTTTTAAAATATGGCTCAACTCACCAGGTACCTTTGACAAACCTGGTGTCACCAATCACAGACCTCCTAAAGAGGAGCCCCTGCTCCAGGGCCTTCCAGTGTGTGACCACTGCACAGGCGGTGCTGCAGCCTGCATCCAGCTGCGAGCCCAGCTGGGACAAGGCATTGCATCAAAGTCTTGGACAGCAATGGTGCAAAATTCACCAAGCGAGGGGGCAAATTCACATGCAGCAGTTCAGAGTGCAAAGCTCGAGACTCAGGCCCCTGAGGCACACCACAGCTCCCAGCACCCAAGGGGTTGTTGGCGCTGAGGTGACTCCTGACTGCAGCCCAGGCTCCTGCCAAGCACACGAGCCAACGCTACTGTGAGGCCAGCCAAAACACTGGAACACAAAAGGACAGGAAGGGAACTTGCCAATTACCATCAACATTTCCATCAACAGCTTTGTTATTTCACTTGGCTTTCAGTTCTCCGCTTCAAACACACCGAGCAACGACCTATTAACGCTGTTTCCCGTGAGCAGCGCTCAGCGCCCCAAGCCGTTTGCCAGCCGCACGCTGAGGCGGACGGACCCCCGAAGCCCACCCCGCAGAGCTCCCTGGGGGCGTATCGCGACAAAACTGCTGTCCCCATGCGAAAAGGAAGGGACGAAGATACCGGACTACCGCTTCCAGGCCACCGCGACGCTAGCACTCACCTTGTAACGACTCCACCCGGCCACGAAGCTGCTCCTTTCCTAACACCGGCTGGTCTCGCTCCCTCAAACCGCCCGCTCCGCCTCACACGGCCCACAAAAGCACCCACCGAGACCCGCAGCCCCGCTCGGCTCGGAGCGATCCGGAGCGCTCCCGGTGCCACCCCACCGCCGCCCGGCCCCGCGCAGCCGCCCTGTGAGGGCAGGCGGGAGGCGGGAAGCGGGGCCGCCCCTCGCTGACAGGAGCCGCCCGCCCGCCCCGCCTCAGCGCCACACGGTGCCCTCCCGCCTCTGCCCAGAAGGATCCGTAGCCAAACTGACGGGAGAAGTCTACCAGATGGCTTTTTTGTTTGTTTGTTTTTGTGATAAAAATGATGAAAAACTGAGGAGAAATGATGAGAAAATTATGAGAAATAGATGAGAAATCCCAGATTGGCACCGTTAGGTGGTAGAGGCAGGGGGATCCTGAGCCTGAAGGGAGCAGGAGGGAAGGCAGCTGTGCTGGGAACCAGCGCTTGACCAGGAACCGCCACAGCTGGTGGCAGGAGCGGCTTCCCCGTTCCCTTCATTTCAGTTTCCTCAGAGCTTTGGAGCCAAAAGGTGGATTCCACGGAACAGAGGGCTGGCCCCCCCAATGCCAAGTCCCTCAGGGGAGCTGCTGTGGGGGCTCCACACACATAGGGTCAAGTCAAATAGCACAGCATGCAATTTCCCTATAAGAAATAACACAATTACACTCCAGATTTCAAAATCCGAAAACCTCAAACCTCCTCAAAGTTTCTTTGCTAAAGCATTCACTTTCTGGGTTGAAAATGTCCATGGCTAAACTTTTCCTCAAGCCAGAATTTGGGGAGATTTTAAACAAGACTCTTCCTTTCATGGGTTATACGGAAATTAACATAAATAGGTTCTGGCTCAAATGTATTCCTTGGCAACCCTCTAAGAGGCTTTCACTCTTGTTGAATCTTGTATTCATGTAAATAATCCTCATCAGTGCTATTTAGCAAATAGCTAAAACACTTGCTATTTAGCAAATAACACTACAAAAACAAGGGGAGGCTACAAAACCAAGACCAGCCAATGTCAGCATGCTCATTGCAACAGACCAACAGCCTGTGGTGGCATCCCAGGCAGCAGGAATGCACAGCCACTGCTGCTTGGTGGGCCTGGCAGCCAAGATCACCTTCAGGAGGAAAACTGCTGTTATTTCATCAGCAACACGCACAGCAGATTCCCTGACTCTCTGCCAGGCACTACCCACCACCCAAATTACTTACATCAATTAAACCACAGCTTAATGCAGGGACTGGAAGAAGCAGCAGGTGTCTGCAGCAACACTGTCAGCTGTTTGGGAGCACCTGCAGTTCTGGCAATGGTCTCCAGTGCTGTGCTGTGGGTGCAGATTTGTGCAAGGACATAAAGCAGAGAGTAGCCTGAGCTGTTTTATGCCACATCCTGCGAGCACTGCACTGGGCTGGGAGGAGGGTGGGCTCACCAGATTAATTGTGAAGGCCTGGCTGAGGCCAGATGCTGTATTCCCACTACATGAAAATGTGAGGTAATGGTTTAAAAAAGGTCACCAGCTGCTGCTGTAGGGCACTGATAACAGCCAAATACTGCTTACTGATGTGATGTATGAGCACAACTGAACAAGTCACAGCAATAACTGTCTCTCAACACTAAATTTTAAATACAGAACATCATTTTGGGACCCAGTGGTGTATGGCTGTACTATGCTGTACAGCTGCATGAAGAGTGTTCTGCTAGGCTAGGAAGATAGTTGGGTTACACTAGCTTAATCTACAGGTTTTTCATAATTTTAAATAAACCGTCTCTGATACCCTGGGGCCAGGCTGCACTGCTTTCCAGGTTTAAGTCTAGGGCTCCTCTTCTCTATAGCAAACAATCAGTGATGACAAAAAAACTGATGAAACGTGAAAGCAAAGCCTATATTAAAATTAGCCCACAAACGCTACATCCTCTGGGCTTAGTTTTCTGTTGGGATGTTTCATAATACACCCTTAACACGGTTCTGTTCAGAAGCTGCCATTTCAGTGAACAGCAGCTCCCAAACACTTTCAGAGCAATGTTGTTCTGCGCCCAGCTGATGATCCAGGTGAAACACCGCCCGTACCTCCCTCCCCTGCTGCCTCAGAGGCCGCGCTGCCCCCAGCCGCGAAGCAGCTACCCGGGGTGCGCAGCACCGGGCCCGCTGCTCCCAGCTGTGCCCCGGGGCTCCCACACCGCCGCAGCCCGCCCGCCTCCCGCCCTCCTCCGCCAACTCAGGGCTCAGGGCGGGCGGCTCCGGGGCCACGTCTGCAGCCGCCGGGTGCCGGCGAGGAAGCGGCGCCACCTGCCGGGTGCGGGACCGGGCCGCCCCCTCCAGTCGCCGGGCCTGCAGCGGGGACGGGGGGCGGGCGGTGGCGCCGCCCCCCGCGGCCCCGAGCCGGCGATGGCAGCGCCGGAGCGCCTGGGGGCGGTACCGCGGAGATCCCCGGGGAGGGGAAGAGTGGAGAGGGGAGCGGGCACCGGGCGGGGGCTCCGGGGGGCGCCGCGGTAGCTCGGGGCAGAGGCGGGTGGAATGAGGAGCTGTGGGGGGGAAAATGGCGGCGCCGCCCCGCTGAAAGAGGCCCGGCGGGCGACTGAGCACGCAGGCGGTAGCGTGGCCGAGTGGTCTAAGGCGCTGGATTTAGGCTCCAGTCATTTCGATGGCGTGGGTTCGAATCCCACCGCTGCCAAGAAGTTTTGGCCCCGCCGCGGCGGTGGCTCCTTTTCGCGGCTTGGCGACGCCTGGGGCGGGCGGGCAGCCCCTGCAGTCTGGGGGCAGAAAGCTGCGGGGACAGCGACCGCCCCCCGTGCGGACTCCCGGCCTCCCAAGAGTGGGGAATGGCGAGGCGCTGCCTGCTCCTGCCTCCCGCCCGGCCGTGCCCCGCAGCCTGCGCTCCTCAGGTCTCCTTACGCCTCCTGCCTCTGCTTTTGCCTCTTTTCCCCAGCGCTACAGGTGGGAAGGTGCAGAAAAGGCGCTGCCCTGGGACAAAACGGGCAGCAGGAGAGGCAGGTGGCAGCAGAGCCCTCCCCAGCCCTGCTGTGGTGAAGGCACACTTCAGCTGCGTGGTAGCTCGAGAAGCACGTTGTTCATTTTCGCAGCTACAGGGATTTGCTCGGTACAACTGCTGTCCATTACACATTACCTGCAAAACTGTAGTTGTGCCTAAAGTGTAGCTGCTAAGTGACTAAACTCTGTTGTATAGCTATCGCAGTAAAGGAGGTAAAGGAAGGAGTACAAGGATTAGTGCAACCCTTAGTGGCAGATTCCTTTACAGCAACATAAATTATCTAACGTAGAATAATTAATAACTTTTAACTAAAATGTGCACGGTTTTGACTCATGAAAACCCGCACCTGCAAGTATCTGATAGGCTTTTGCCCTCCCAGCAGGTCCTGCAGCTGGTCCCTGCACCCCACAGCAGGATGGCAAGGTCTGCAGCAGTGTTCACAGAGGCACAGCACCAAGTTCAGCAGAGTTTCAAGTGCGCTTTTATTTTCCTTCATGTACAGTGATACAGCTAATTCACGAAATAAATTCACACAGTGTGAACTTCCCCTGTTCAGCTGGCTTGTGTTATTTACAGTAATATGTTCTCATTGTTGGTCCCTTTGTGTGTTCCTCAGTTCCCTAAGGTAATGAGCGTGGCAGCAGCTGTAGTCAGCCTTCCTCCATATTTTAGCCATTTTTCTTCATTGGTGAAGCATTGAAGACTGGTTGAAGTTTCTGTTCCTTTTGCAGGTACTCATGCACTTCAGCATTAAAATTGAGAAGATTTTTGGTGTGAAATACATAGATTCAACAGTCTTGACTCCAGTGTGTTTCAGTGATGATCTTTGGCCATAATTGTTTACAGTATTTTAATTTCTTAAGTACAGCTACTTACAGGCTACAATTATTATTTTTGTAGGATCTAAAATAACTGCCTGCTTATTGCATTGGGGGCAGTACGTATTGTGGAGATCGAGATGATCCATGGGTAGCAGTACTGTGACCGAGTATGTGCAGTTTATGCATGTCAGTGTTTTGTTTCCTTAAAAAAATGCAAAACTGAAAGGTCGTCAAATCTCAGAGAAAGAAAGATCAAACTTAAACTAACAATTAACAAAAGCAAGACTTTGAGGAAGATGTGATCATTCTGGGCCTCTGGTCTTGTTTTAATGTAATGGTCCACAGAATCAGCAAACACAAACTTCTCTGGGCTGTACCCTAGCTGATTCCGTGCCTTGTCTATTCGAAATGTATGAGTTACGGAAATATTCTGCACCTGTAGGGCAAAAGAGTCAACATACAAAGGTATGAATACACAGGAAGTTCAAACAAAGTCTGTAAATGGTAACAAAGACCCAGTTAGAGGAAATGTAAAATTAAAAAAATACATACATTTTATATATATATGTATATATATACACATATCAAAATCCTATTGAAATGTCACATTGTCTTTACTATTGTTCACTCAAGAGAAGTTTTGAAAGCCCTAAGAGGCAGGGAAGGCTGCAAAGCACAATATTCTACTCTTGAAAACATCCACAAAAACTGTTCTGCACACTTGTTTATCTAAGGATGCAGGTAAAAGCCATCTCTTAGGAGCCTAAAGATCTTCAAAGATCAGGTCCTGACTGACCAGCAAAAGCCATACAGGATGTTGGGCCTTGGAAGGAAGGAACTGATGAAGCAGCCTCTCCCAAATTGCAAGCCTATGCTCTTATCTTCTCAAAAAATACGGTGATGAGTATAAAATAATTGCCTAAAATGTACCTGATGCATACATTTGCCCTGGAATCTGGAAGCAGAAGATGTACTGGGTGGATTTTACTTCCTGCAGACTTAATCTCAAATTGTGCCTCAGTATTCACATGGTGTGTATGCATCCTGTGGGAATAAGGGGAGCTTACAAACAACAACTTTACCTCATTTCTGGTCAGCAGGGGGGACAGTTCAACAAATGGTTTCAGCATCAGATGAAGATACTCCATTATCATGGCTGCATAACAAAAGATTTCTACTTGAGGTAAGAATAATAAGTTGCTGTGCCATTATGATTTTGGTCTATCTCAACAGCAAAAGGAAATCACATGTCTAACAGCTCAAGGAACCATTACTAACATCAACAGGACTACTTGCTTACAAGGAGTTGGATCTTTAATCAGCCTGTCTTAGGGTGATTGTGTAAAAAGGGTTTGGAGGGTTGGTGACAGACCTAGTATAAAGATCTTCAGACTTCATAAAAACATGAGAAAAACAAACTATTCTGGATTGGATTCTTCTTTTCTTCCATTTGGGTTTTGATTTTGGGGGAGCATGGGGTACAGGAGTACAATAAATTAACCCCTGCGGGCAGAGCAGATCCTCTTTAACATATTTCATGAAGTCATTGATTATTACATTCAATGTTTTACATTTATACCATTTAATTCAAAAACTTATACATTTAGTAAGTCTTACAAAACAAAAACCCTGCTATTTTAACAGCACTTAAATAACAAATCATTCTCGTTTTAACACACTGCATAGAGCTGAACTTCACTGATGCAAGCTAGATGAGGTCGCAGCATATTTTATACATGAAAATTAAAATTGTAGTCACATTAAGAAAAAAAACAAACAACATTGTAATTTGGAGCAGTGGTGCTCTGGGCAGGACAGAGAAATGTTGATAAAGTATTTTTACCTGATATATAAACCAAGGAAGTAGGAATACGTATCCAGGGCTTACTACAACCTAAACGTTCAAACTGAAAGAGATTAAAAAAAAAAAAGTGAAAAAAAAATAAAAACAGAAACCTCAAACAAATTTTAAAGTTTCAGTCCAAAAAATATTTATGGAAGCATTTACTAATAAAACAGAAAAGTTAATAATTGCTATTAGTATTTGTTTTCATTTTCTAGGGTATTCTAGTTAAATGTCACTTGAAGACACTATGTAATTTTCAAGTGGCAGTCTTAAAAAAGTATAAAAACTGGATTATAATAATTGACCTAAATGTCATAGTAGGCTGACACCTTATATAACCTTGAGACATATTTATAGTTTTGAGCCCATCATTAACAGCAAAATGATCTTTTGAAAATATTTTATCTTACAGATTATAATTTTTTTTTTTTTTTTTTTTTTGTCCATGTTAAAACAGCCACTGTTAACATCTGAATGCCCAAGAAATTAGGATAATGGCTGTTATAATGAGGATACTGGCTTAGATGGTCCTTTCATCTCAGTAAAGACAGTTGCTTTTATGTAATATTTTAGGTAGGCTTTGTTAGAGCATTAATCAAACTGAACTTCATGCAGGAACTAAACACATTCATAGCAGAACTCTGACACCGAAAGGAAACATACCAAATACATCATATGCACACAAAAGCCAGAGTTTTATGTAGTCAAACAAGTTAATATATTTGGAAATAAATCATATATTGTACGTACGAGTGGAGTTAACCATTCAAAAAGGTTGAATTTTTCACCGTCATTAATGAAATACACCTGACCACTCTGTTAAAGAGGTAAAGAAGAGAGAGGTTAGTAAAAATAATACTTCATATGTGTTGACTTCACTCCTTATAAATAGCTTAAAAATTATGCAAAATCTTTTCTAATCTTTCCAATGTGCTTTTAAGGGTAGTGCTTCTAGGTCAGATAAAAAATGTGTTTACAAGGAGGAAAATGGTTGCAACTGCTTCTAAAATCAATGTACGTAAATGAAATGTGCTGACAGCTTTTATTTATGTACGGTATAGGAAGAATTGATTATTGCAGCTTAGAATATTAAGCCTGGACCTATATGTGGGGAAACAGGGATAAATTTGCCTGAATATCCAATTTCATTTCCAATATCAAATATTCTTTGCTCATCTTCCACAAATGGCAAATATGAAAATGCAAAGGTGGAGATGTTCTTGAAGAACTGAATATTCCATCTCCTAACAAACTGCAAAGCCAGTGCTGCCACAGCCCAAATTATTCATGGCACGTTTGTCAATAAAAATAAAGACAGCACAAGCTAAAGGACACCACCACAAACGTGAAGTACTATTACTACAGTAGCCACTGTAGTACAGGATAGAGCAGTAGGATCCTCTGTCAAATGAAAACTGTGGTGTTTTTATTGCTAACTTACAGCTATGTAGTTCTTCTCAGGGGTGAGAGCTTCAGCAGCTAGAATTTGAGCTTGTACAAGATTCTCTGCATGCACCCAGTTCATTTTAGCAGAAGGATCCCCAAACTTGAAGCTAAGTAGCCCTCTCTCAATGTTCTTCTGTAGACATAAAACAAACGTGAAACCAAAGAAAGATGAGTTTTAAAATGTAAAGTGTCTTGTCCAGGTAAACATACTGTTTGTCTATACTTTGAAAAAATACGAGTCAATTAAAAAGAATCAAAAGAAGTACAGTTTCAGAAGCAATGGAAGCAAATTGCTCTAAGAGATAGTTAGGTTGTCTAGTAGGGAAATGCTTCTGATAGCTAAGAACTAATCTAGATTGCCTACAGGGGATCAGATTCTCCATCAACGAATGTGTAAGAACAGATTAGACAAATATTTGTTAGAAGCAGCCAAGGTATATTTGGTTTTGCATGTGAGAGAAGGACTAGATAACCTCTCAGGGCCCCCTTAGTCCTCACTTTCCTATAATTCTGTTTCTTTTATCTGAGAAGCACATAAATGATTTCATAAAAAATCACTTATATGTGTAAAATTGATTTTGTTCCAAAAATCCCTCAATAGTGTGATATGCCCCATTAGATAACAGAAAATTATTCTGGGTAGGTAGAAGCCATTCTGCCAGAATGGACTAGTGTGTGCCTTTCCTCCAAAAACCAATTACATGGTCTCAGGTGTCCAGAAATAAATTAATGTCTATCTCAAGTAGATAATGCTTCCATAGCAGGGCTGAATTGGATATAAGAGCAGCACTGCAAATTTTCTATTGCCTATATTCAGTCCATAAACACAATGTCTTTTTCCAGACTTACTTATCTATCATCTTGCCTGAACCCTATCTTTTGAATACAATACGTCCCGAATTTAGAAAAAATAAGTCTGTTCTAAGGATAAGTAAAATATTTTATTGAAAGGTAAAATGTAGTTCTGAATGGCTCAAAAGTATTCACAAAATTGGATCAAATCTAACAAACAGCTTTGCCTGGGAAAAAAATGGAAGGTAATACGAGGTGTCACATTTTTTATTTAGTGGATGTTGTAGAAGCTACAAAATGTGACAGTTAAATACAATACCTTACACTGGGCTCACAATAAATAAGCTTAGAATTTTAAATGAAATTAACAAAAGACAGTATTTATTTGAGGGGCTAAAGAAAGCATCTTAGGTTTACCTTAAATGGCACATGACATTTTAAAATATGGTTTTATTTAGAAGATGATAAAGTATATTTCAGTTAATTTTAACACAATTCCTCACCTCAGACACAAAAGAAAAAATATTTTTTATGTGGTAAGCTTGAACTATTCTCAAAGCTGTGCATAACTTTATATTTTGCAGATCCTTTAAAATAACTGACTCATATAACTCTACAGAGATCATATTCTAAACACTGTACTATTCCTACAATTTAAAAAACAGCAAGTGAAAAACAGCAAAACATGAGCTCCTCAGCTGTTCGCCCTTTAGTAACATATTGTACTAGAGGGTGCATCTGACACCTTAACTTGTTTCTTTGGACAGTGAAAGCTGTTAATAACTGAGACAAGAAAAATAAGATATTTGTTGTATCTCTTTTCATAAGTATTTTAAACCACTTGGTATAAGTTGCATGCAAATACACATTCGGAATATCATAGATTGGTCTGAATTTTATAATTATAGTAAGCATTACATTGTAAAGCTGGACTTACATGTATTTATATTAAAAATATGTTTTTAAATGTACTATGCATTCTTTACAGATGAAAGAGATTGTCTGATAAAAAAGTTATTTTCAACAGACAATCAAACTGTTAAATTGCTGCCAGATAAGCAGGTCAGTAAATCTGTAACCCATGTAAGTGATGTTGGTCTATATTATAGAAATTTCTGCTGACTAAAAATTAAAATACATACTGCTAGCCTTGGCAGGTGTCTTTGCTCTTCTGGTCCGTAGATGCCTGGTGGGCGAAGAACACAAGTATAGAGTATTCCACCTCCTAGAAGAATTGATAAAACCATCCTTAAGTGACTTTCAAATGATTACAATATCAATTGCATGAACTAAAGAATGCTGTAGCAGAACTTACTCTGAAATAAATTAACCTCACCAGCTTAAAAAATACTACATACCAAAAGGTACTGAATTAGTAGTAGAATATTAACTTGGCAGAATCAGAACATGCAAAATATCAAGATGGGATTCAGAAAAAATAGATGAACTTTAAAGATCCCTTCCAACCCAAACCATTCTATGAATATTCAAAGCACTGGCATAGTCAAATTCCTAAAAATTACTAGGTATTTCCAAACCGTTTTACTAACCAGTCCTTTGTCTCTGTGCCAAAGCAGCCAATGAGTGTGCCAACTGTGCTGATGAGTTTGCTGATGTGAGCATGTCATTGGTAAAAAAGTGAAACGAAACCAATCCCATACAAAATTGTCTCCCTAGCTGTGCAAGATAGAGCTGAACGGCTCTCAACAGTAGGCACATCCTGCTCCCACTAGAACTAGAACTTAGTAACTTCGGTAAGAGAAAGTAAGGACCATCATGAAAATCCAGTCACTTCTGAAGTGTATCTGTTGAATGGTTCATCATCTGCTAATAACTGTTCTCAATAGTAGAAAACAAGCAAAATACTCAATCCTGCTGATGGCACAGGATCAAAACGGGATGTTTGGAACAGTGACTGATTAAAAACTCACTGAATCATTTTAATCCTTCTCACAGGTAAACTAGTGTAAGCTTCTAATTTCATTGAGAAATGCAGAACAGTATATTCCTTCTAAAATTAAGAGTGACTTTGATGTGTTGAGCTGCTGGGAAAAGAGGAAATAAGGAAAAAGAACTTTATTAGTTGAACAGAATAATTCCATTGGTGTGAAACACTCGTCAATGACTTAAAAACTCTTTATAGCTCTGTGAGTATCAAGTGAAGAAAGGCTTTTCTGTAAGTTGTCTACAGCTAAATTTAGCTCAGTATCACATGGTCACGTGGAATCATGTTGCACTTTACATTAATTTGTTTTGCAATGACAGTTACAGTATCTCATAGGTGAGTTTAAGTATTCAAGTGTATTGAGGCTTCCTCAACATGGAAAACTTTGGAAAGCACTAATAAATAATTCCAGGCTGTAGTATCAGGTGCCTTATTCAGATTTTAATATATAACTATACGGAAGGAGGGGAACAATTTAATCAGCATTCATGTTTTACTTAAGTTGGATAATACTATGACATTAAACACTTGTAATAGTTTAATTTGTACCTATTTTTGTCTTTTTGATTAAGATGCGGAATTTATTGCTGCCATGTCAAAGTCTTAAGTTGACACTGTGGGGATTACAATTAAAAGTTATTTTTAAGAAATAATCTTTCAGTTTGGGAGAGGGGTAGGTAATTTGATTTCATAACTGCTGGACAATCTTGTTCACTTAAGGACTGATACTGGATACAGGATGTTAGAAAAGGACAAGAAAAAGACGTGTAAATTCCAGTATGAGTTTATGCTAACACAAAAGTACCTGCTAGTGGAGTTCCATTAGCTGCTAGTACCATTTGTTCTGCAATTGATTTGGTTCTGGAATAATGATCAACATGCTACAGAGAAAAAGCAAATATGTTTGTATGTATTCTTAAAATGACAGAGAGAGGCATTGCTTCTCCACTCACTTAACAGATGGTAACAAACACCACAAAAATACAGAAATTTTTAGGTATTGGCTTAGGATAAAATAGAAGCATATTGCAAAGGCAAGCAAGTAGTTTTGCTTATGCAAATCCAGTTAATTAATTTCAGTCCATTTGAGAAGTAATAAATATATGTATGCTTTGAATGCTGCCAAGAAGGTAATTGATCACTACTTCGTAATCTGGATTTGTTTTTCAAAGGCATCATGATTAGTCTGAACTCTCCAGTTCACTTTCTTGTGGCACTCCCAGAGAAAATATTATTCAACATATTATTCAAAATATTTTTCAGTATTTTCTTTACCCATCTCTGCTTCTCAAAAGACTGTAAACTAGCAGATGGAGAGAGGAGGGACACAAAAATCAACCATATACACAAAGCAACCAGAAGTACTACTTTTTAATTAAATGCAATAAAACCATATAAAAACAGGCTGCTTTTCTATATCAGCACTATGTTGAGTATAAATTATCTTCAGTAAGGGAGAAACAGACAAATCATATAAATAATAAATGGCCAAAGAGGCACCAAGTGATATAACACAATCCCTATGTCCAGGTGGAATTTCACTAATGTGAGTGGGACACTGTATGAGTTATTTTCCAAAATAAAGAGCCTGATAGAAAAAAAATAAATACGTACTGCAATATATATAAAACTGTGATGTGTTAAGGTTGTGAAGAGCATCTACAGAGTATAAAGAGCTTTTATTTTTTTTTTTCTTTCTTGGCATTGGATTATGGCATCAGGCAAAACATGGTCATGAAAATTCCAGGCTTTTTCAGAAAGAAAGTAAACAAAAAGGAAACTTGAGAAAATAATACAACCAAAATACCTTTTCTATGGGAAAATATGGCACAGTTTCCTCATCGCCATCTTCAATAGGAAGCCCTCCAAACACAACATTTACTGTACTGGTGTATATCAATCTGCTGATGTTCCTTTGTTTGCAGGCTGTGGCAATATATAAAGTAAATTAGTTTAGTGGAAACTTTAACAATATGGAAAAAAAAACAAAACAAAACAAAACTGTATGCACTGGCAATGCACCTTTTCTGAGAAACTGTCAAATCTTAGAACAGCAAATCCATCCATTTCATGATTGGGTAATTTAAAATGCAAAGCATATGGAAGATATCAATTAAATAGAAAATATCAGTTCAGAACCAAGTGCTTTATAATCATTTGCTGTATCCTAATTTGGATACTGTAAACTAACATTGTGCCTTGGGGATGGCTGCTACCAGCCTACTGAGATGGGCTGTCAGCCCTATCAGGTAGGTGGCTAGAAGACTTTCTGTTTAAAGGGCTGCCCACTACCTGTGTACAAGCTATTGGACAACAGTGAGGTTTAATGCTATAAAGTTTAATGCTACACGTGGAAGTTGTTAATGTCTGACATGCGTACAGATTCTGCCATCAGGTTAAACATGATTGTGAGCAGCTGAAGTAGTTGAACTACAGTGCTGGCCCTCATGTCATACCCCATAGCAGAATCAGGTATTAAAGAAAAAAAAAACACAAAACAAAACAACAAATAATTGCCCTGTTTTCTCAGTTTCTGCCAAAACTGTGAAGCATTTGGTAAAAAATAGTGTATGCCAACTAGTTTTTTTCTAAGTGGTATGATATTTTGATAAGTTATACCAACACCCAATGGCAAGGTTAGATACCTACCATCAATGATGAACCTTGTTCCATTAATGTTTACAGTTTCAATCTCTTCTCTGTGCAACTAGGAAAATGAAGAAATTGTGCATCTTTGAATAACACATTTTAAATTCAATAGGTTAATGTTGCAAGTGTCCACAGTATTCACAGATAAAGGTAATGAGTGCTTTGGTTTTTAAACAAAAAAAATTTAGATGACTGTCTTAGACTTCCAGAAATCAAATCATCATTTTTAAGCTACACTTATATTTTTCTTGTATTTTTACAGACTAGCTTGCTTGAAGCAAAGAGAATAATGGTGCTTCTGAACTCATATTTCCAATGATTATACAACTAGGAACAATATGTTAATTATCCATGTTTCAGCAGCACTTCACTGACCAGTTGGCTCTATCCAAAGCAATTCCGAGTACACACTGCCCAGTTGCAAACATCTTTTAATAAGCTATTCTATCCAGCAAAGGCAGTTACTGAAGTTAATTTTATTAAATAAGGTAAGAAGGGGTGTATGAATTGTAACTTCAATCATAAAAAATTGTCGTTCAGAGTCTGACATCAAGTGTATTTTTTGTACTTACCAATGGTAAAAAATTAAGACTTCAAATACAACACGTATTACAATTGAGTTATATAAATAAACAGTTACAACCAAAACTTATATAAAGTATAATTTAGTTTAGGTTTCATTCTTCAGTGACTTTACACTTACAAGTTCCATTTCAAAGGTTTAGGAAAAGTTGGAGGGAGCCTGCCTCCCTTGTCTGTCCTTTTGTCCTCCCAATATTTCAGCAATTCTCATGGCCATTTCCAACTCAAATGCCCTCCCTGGCTACTGTTAGTGCCTCTAGTAGTAAGGAAATAATTTCACAACCAAGAAAAGAGTACTGTAAGGAGACTATTTGTAGCTAGCACATCAGCTTGCACCGAGCAATTCACTGAAACAGCATGGGAATGGATTCAGGTTCTCAGGATAATCCGAAGAGAAAAAATCTAACACGCAGTGTTACAGCATCAAACCTCTCATCCTCAGTGTGAGCAGTCACACAGAAAGGTACAAAACTATTTGAACTCACTTGCTCTCTTCCTGACATTCCATATGAAGCTACATGAAACACGCAGTCAGCCCCTTCACAGGCTGCAAATAAGGCATCGTAATCCCTGACATCTGCCTGTAATACATAGGAAAAGATACTTGGAATTGAAATCAAAACTGTAGTTTAGCATTTGTCATATAGTAGGTTAGTACAGAAAGAATCTATATATATAACTGTACCTACTGTATATTCTGGGACTGAAAATTAGATCCATTTCAGTACTTGCTGATAATTATATATTTCTTATGTAGAACTCACAGGACTTTAAAAGCCTTCATTAAGCCTCATAATATCCCTGTGAATTACGGAAGTGTTCTATTCATTTTACAGGTGAATAAACTAAGGTCCAGGTGAGGGAAGTGACTCGATCCTTCAGAGACAGGAGATGAAGCAGGTACTCTGCTACACATTACAGATTTCATTGCTTTCCTTATTTCAGATGCATATTAAAATCCAGCTCACAAAGAGTCATATGGGATATTCAGTTTAAAAAAGTTCTTGAAATTTGCAATGATTTGCAATTTGCTATTTGGATTCTGTGAAAACTAGTAAGACATTATGGAAAAGGCATATGGAACTAACTGTTATGAAAATGTGTTTTATCATACCTGGATACACACTACTCCATCAGGAATTTCCCAGATAGGCTTGTTTATGTCATACAGAACAACAGAAGCTCCTGAGCTGGCAAGAGCACATCCCAGCTTGTATCCAAAATAGCCTCCGCCTCCTGTCACCACCGCTCTCATATTTTTTTCATTCTGTGCTCCAGCATTTCCTTTCACTGTAGCATTAGGAGGTTGGTGCCACGGTTTTGTTCCCCCAATCAGGATAAATTTTCTGTCAGTGAAATAATGTCTTCTACTACCAGACACATGTACCAATTTCTTCTCCATTGTAAAAATTGCTCCATAGTGCTCCTGGATGCAGACAATTCCAGGGAGTTTCATGTTAACAAGCTCTACTCAATAGCAGCAGTGTCTTACTTTAATGCAACCTGTTCAAAAGAGATAAAGACAAAGCAAAACACTAGCTACAAAATTTCCAGACTCCAAAGATTTCTCTTGCAGGACCAATTTATATTTCCCGTTCTGGTGTTGTAGCTTAAAGCTGGCCTTTAGGGGTCGCATGTGATGCAGAGTTGTACCTGGACTTGAAATCTCGAGTGTCAGGAAAACACTAAAGAAATTGCATTTAAGTTTCTATACTTGAAAAACAAGCAAACAAGACCAAGTGAAACAGCAGAACAAAACTTCCTCTAGGACAAAATAAAACTTTAATGCTTCTTTTACTTGTCCCTGGTTTATTACAAAGACATCTAGGAAAAGTGATGTTTTCAACCCCATTCTAAGGAGCAGCTGAATGTCAATTAAAAATATACTATGTTTTTATTACTGGAGGTGGTTGGAGTTGAGTATTTCAGATGGAAAGAAGAATGCCTAGCACTCATTTTCTGTCTTTAGGAGGCGTATTGGCGAACAAGTCTATCAAATCCCTCGCTTTTTGTCGGAACTGAAGTACAGTAACTGTTACGAGACAGAAAAGGAAAAAAAAAAAAAAAACTGGTCTATGAGTGTATTAGTCAAAAAGTAGTAGCTAATCATTTATTTTTTAAAAACGGGTGTTCTTTCCCATTCATCAAGCAACGGCCACGGGTTCATCACTGACAGACACCGCATTTCAGAGGCTGCAAGTCCTGATTACCGGCGTTACCCCATCCCCGCGCTGTGCCTCGATAAAACATTAAAAGCCATCCGAGCTCCCGGCGGCATTCTCCGCATCTCACTTGCAAATTCGCCAGGGCAGGCAGGCGGCGAGGGCAAGGCTGTGCCACGGAAACTCCTGCTCCCCTGGGCGACCCGGAGGGGCCGGCGGCCCCGCCACGGCCCGGCCCCGGGGGGCGCCGCTCGGTTGGGCCCCGTTGGGGCCGTTAGGCGCTGCCCCACCGCGCTGGAGGCTCGGCGGGGCGGGGGCTGCGGGTCTTTCCCCGGGGAGGTCCCCAAAACCACCCAGGAGCCGTGCCCTGGGCTGTGGTGCTCACCTCTGCAGCCCCCCACGGGCTCCCGGGGTCACTGGGGTCCCGCAGCATCGCTGGGCTCCCGCAGTATCCCTGGGGGCCCGGGAATCCCACAGCACCACTGCATCCCACCACGCTCATCTTGCAGCACCTTTGGGACCCCACAGCCTCCCTTGGGTACTTGATCATCTCTCAGCATCCTGCAGACCCCGCAGCATACCACAGCATCCTGCAAACCTCTCAGCATCCCCAGGTCCCCACAGCATCCCTGAGACCCCACAGCATCCCCAAGACCCCGCAGTATCCCACGGCGGTTCTTACCTCCACGTGTCTTCTGTGACCACTCCAGGAAAACATACCACTGGGAGCTGGGGCTCTGTCTGCACTGAGACGCCTGTTGAGTGGGTTGTTCAGGAAAAAAACAGCATCTCTCAGTTGCTGTTTGGATAGTCATTGCTGGGGCATGGCTCAGAGAGATGCAGAGCATCGGAATCACCTGCAAAAGAGCAGAAAATCCCAAAGAATAAACACAGTCATAAGCAAACAGGCACTAAGGTCCCTGCCCTTCTGAGCTGGCAGCAGGTTTTTGGTCCAAGGTCCCTTGTGCCTAGCAGGATGTGAAAAGGGTCAGGAGCTGCAGAATTTTAGAGTTACCCGTTCCAAGGAAAACCAAACCAAACCAAAAAGAACAACAAACCAAGAATGCTGAACACACTAACCTTTTCCATCATAGCCGTGCCATGTCTGAGTGTTCTCATTAAATTTTAATCATTTAAAGACATACTTGCGATTATGTTAGGGCATAAGTAACTCTAATAGCCAGCCTAGACAGGCTCTGTAAAGGCTGGCAGGAATGTGACAGCTGGCTATTCCAACTGAAACTAAAAATTGTCTTACAACTTCAAACACTGGAGTTTTTATGATGGGAAATAAATTAAATGTAGCCAGTTACTATTAATCAGTACTGCTGTAATAGAGATGTAGAAAGTATCTTACCTGAAATAACACATCAGAGAAGGTTTGACATTCCAAGACTAGAGCACCAGGACTCCACAGGGACTTGCAACCACAAAGCCAGTGAGTTCTTGGGTTACTCCTTGCTGAGGAAGATCAAAAAAAAAAAAAAAAAAAAAGATCCTATGGAATGCTGGAATGCACTTCTCACTGGGCTTCAGTCAACTGGCTGACTTCTCTTCTGAAAAGTGGTGGTGTAGTATGGGATGCAGACCTAAGCTATTAGTCTAATAAAAGCAATATATGAAAGATTCATAAACAATGAGTTTAAAGGCAAATTAAATATGTTTGCATATAGTTAAAATGCTCATGCTGTAAAGTAACTTTATACGTGCGGGTTTTATTCTGCATTTCTAAGCAATGAAGGTTGATGCAGCACCTTCTGCAGTGCTTGCTTGTCTGACAGTCAGCTGCACCCCAGTATTGATAAATTGTGAACATAACTGGTTTTATCCACTTAGCCAAGTTTGATTAAAGTCTCATATATATGGAGTTTCTTTAAGTTTCCTGAGAATAGGTAGTCAGGTACAGGGGAGAGGGCTGATGAGTGCCCCTGCTAAGGGAAGACGCACAGTTTGAGCTCAGTTTGTATCTTTAAATGCAAACCCGTAAGAGCCCAGGCTTTACTACTTTCACTGCACAGAGAACTACTGTTCAAAACAAACAAACAAAAAGGTAAACCAAGTCTTTGCTCACATGTGCTGCAGTGGTAATTGTGGTTGCTCACATTTTCCTTTCACTGTGTTTTATCTTGAGATAGTAACATTTTATTGTAGTGATGCTGCTAGCACTCCTGTGTACCCTGTGGATTTAAAGATACAATGAGAACATTTCCATGAATTTGTTGGTCTTAAAAATCCCGTAACATATTAATACAAAGGCACGATAAATACAGAGCGGAGATAATCAGACAGCAGAGCTTTTCCATCACTCTCTTCCATGACTCACCCCGGGAAGTCCAGCTCTCCTCATCCATGTTGCGTGCAAGAGAGGGAGCAGCCACTCCCTGGTCAGAGCAGAGTTGGTCCCTGAGAAAAATCCTTGTGATGGGTACCTCATGAAAATTCGTCTGGCATACACATTGTGTATGTACACATAGTACACATGCAACACACGTAGCTCATGTAGTATAATCCAGCCACGAAGCAACTAATGTAAATCTTAAGGAAGGAGAAGAGGGAGGTTGGATCCTCTCTCAGGGCCAAGTGCTTGGTTTGCCTGCTGACACTGCAGTGGCAAGTCACTGAGCGAGCAGCATACCAGCGCTGGTACAGGGTTACGGATAGCATGACTTGGCTTCATTTACAAGGAGAGGCAGCAGTAACTCCTTGCTGAACTCCAGCAGTCTTATGTATCATCCCTCTCCCTTTGCACAGACTTCTTAAAAACAGTAGCTGGTTCAGTTATGATTTATTACTGCATCAAAAAAATATTTCATTTACAAACAAGTGTAATGACACTTTATTACATATTTTACACAGGTTTTGAACAACAAACTATTTCACATAAATATGACATTCAGTCCTCTCCCACCTGATACATATAAATATTATATAAATATTTACTTTTATTTTTTATATATATTTCCCAGGTCTTCATAATTCCTCACGCAGCTGTAGCAGCGGCTTCATCAGAGCAGTTTCTTCATTAGGGCCACTACCTTGCTACAACACTGCAGTGCTACAATGGTTCCTCTTCCAATTTCTTATGGTCCTGGATTATCATTTTTAGAAAGATATTCTCAGTATGAAGTAATCATTAATGAAGATTCATTAAAACTCTTCCTGCACCCGTTGGTGGTGAACTCCTTTGATTTTGTGACACTCCTTTGCTTTTGTCCTATGAGAACATTTCTTGATATGCCTTGCATTTTCAGTTTTGTTTGTTTAAGATCAGAGAGAAGTCATCACAGTGATAAGAATAAGGAATAAGAACAATAAATTCCATAGTGACTGAGGAATATACTATGACCAGATCATTAATACTCAGAAACAAAATTAGTTTTTCTGGAACAGGTGGGTAGCTATTTGGTTTTAGAAGAAATAAAGAATCATCAAACTTAATAAAAGGCCAAAAGCAAACAACATTTTAAGGAATGTGTGATCTTCTTGGCAAATAGGTCTTGTTTTAAGATAATGATCCACAGAATCAGCTAATGAGAATTTCTTTGGTTTGTAACCAAGTTGATTTCGTGCTTTATCTATTCGGAAAGTGTGAGTTACAGTAACGTTCCATACCTAGAATCCAAAAGGACAGTTATGGAAGTGACTTTAATATCTGTTTTTTTAGAACTTGGATGAAAATACATTATCAATGATATTACAATGGAATTAAAAACATGAATAAAAATAGACACTCAAAAATGTACATATTTTGGAGTCAGATTGTTCAGAGCTAATAGAATGAGTTTACATAGCTGACAGATAAAAAGCCGAAGTTGTGTTACAACATTCTTTGTGGACTGGGTGGAAAAGCAGTTTATCACACTTATTTCTCACTTGTGAATTTACAATCTACAAGTAAGAAAGTAAGACAGAATTAAGGAAATCCCATGCAACAAAACAATGTACTTCACTCAAACTGGCTTGTCTGTACACAGAAATATGTTATGGAATTGGATGACTATTGGGGGAGAATGGTGTGGCTTCTCAGCTGTGCAGAAATGCACATCTAAGTACTGGAAAACATGCCCTATTGGATGATTATATCCTCCATGTCTAAAAGCAGGGTACCTGTAAAAGTGCTCAAGTTGCACAGCCTCAATGATTTCTGCTTCAGATGGAGAACTAATGTAGAAATAAAAACAGATAGATAAACTGTGGAATAACTGAAAAGCTATAGTGTAAGTTAATAAGGTCCATTCAGTTCCTTCAGTGTCCTGTTATGTTGCTGGTACAATACAGTAAGAAACTAGATGGCAGATTAAAGTGTTTTGATTTGTTTTATATTAATTTATTTTTTTTATATTTTACTTCTTTTTTCTTTTTCTTTTTTTTTTTTTTTTTTTTTTTTTTTTCACTTTTTTTATATTACTTTAATGGACTTTCTAGTTATTGGCTAGCCCTATATTATTACTGCTACCACACTGAACCAAAATCCTTGCTCTGTATTCTTGGACCACCTTCCTTTAAGAATCAGTTCCACAGCATACAACTGCTCTCTGGAAACAATGAAGTGCCTGTTATCCTCATGCCAGCTCCATGTCAGTTGCTCTGTCTTGCACCCCTACATTGCCCCCTGGATCACCTAGTCTTCAAGCGCAGATTAAGTTCTGATGATTTTATAAGAGGTAGTCAGGATGGCATGGAAAATGAGGCTACAAAAAGACTGCCTATGCCCAGAATAAGCTAAGCCCTGAGCAGAAAAAGAGAGCTCTAATATCTGTACAGAGGGTGTATCACATATTTCATGAGAATTTTCATCAAAAATACATAAACATTCTCTGTCTTTAAATATTTACCTCATTCCTTGTCAAGAAAGGTGTAAAGATAAAAACTGGCTTTAGTGCCAGGTGCAGATACTCCATCACAGTGGCTGTGAAAAAGAAAATTAATTAATGAGACAGCTGGATAACAATAAACTAAGATAATGCTGACATTGCATATCCTATAATTCATAGTGATATCAGAGGATGCAATGAAGATACTGCAAGGCAGTATTTAATTTATAAAGTAAATTATGAACTCAGTTTATTAATAGCCTTTAAACCTTATCTGCTACTATTAATGCCAAATGGCATAAGTGATTATTGTATTAATTATAATAATGCTAAGTTAGATAAGTTCTACAGTTTGGGCCCTGAATCTTATAAAACCATTAAGCAGCTTTACAGACATAAGGAAAAAAATTAAAATAGCATAATAATCAAGTATGTAGTTCATTATTTTACCTGCTATGTGAACCAGGAGAACAGGAATATGTATCCAGGGTTTCCTATAGCCTAATTTTTCAAACTAGAAAGGGTGTAAGAGAAAAGAATAACAGAGAATTTGTATTGATTTGAGGGTGTCTATGAAGCATGAAAATGGACAAATGAATATTGATAAAATATATCTAAACTTTTCCAGTTAATCTTCCTATCAATACTGGTAGTAAGAAATGCAATTGAAACCCACAACTACTTTGGTGTCCACCTCACACCCTTCAAATTGAATTGGATGGTGAACAGGAAACAATGCTATTTCCAAGGAGCCAGTGACTGAGATAGGAATACTTAACTATAATTAGATACAGGCCCATAGTTCTCCTGAAGTCAGCTTTCTGGAAGTCTTTTCTGTGTTGGCATTGCAAGATCAAAACTTAAGCAAGTTCCTAAAATCCCAGCCTGCTGGTTATAATGTTGCCTCATTTTATCTTTTAAGATGTGACTCTAAATGGCCTTCTCTTTTGTGCTGCAGCAGATAGCATAACAGAGAATTAACCAATGGCTATAAACCATCTCCCAGATACTAATAGTAGAAGTTTTCATGCACTATGAGATACCTCTTAGCTAAATTCTCTTAAAATAATAAGGGCCAAACTCCATAGATATGCACATGCAAAACTTCCTTAAAGCCAGTGGAATTTTGGAATATGCTAGGAGAAAAGGACAGATTTTAAGTTCAATGTTAGATAATTCAGTAATTAATGTGCATTGGACTTCAATTAGTTAGTACAGTCTTTTAGTTAACTAATTGAATAGGGCATGTATGTTCAATTAAAGCTAAATGTGTGTTCAATACATACTAAAGGGACTATCCATTCGGAAAATACGACATTTTCACCATCGTGTATGTAATATGCCTGTCCACTCTGTTAAAGAAACAGAAAAAAAACAATTAGAAAACCACTATATATAGGATGGCATTTTGTTTCTTTTTCATACCCACCTATCTTTGTTGATTTTGTGAATAGCATACCAGCATACATTCAGTGAATATACACAAAGCAGCTCAACAAACTACCTTCATTGAACTTCATTGTGATTTCAAACAAGTCTCATACTTTTGTGTAACCCCATGGTGGTAGTAGAGATACCAAGGATTAATGACGTCGTAATGTAGATCAGAGCGTGGTTTCACTTTGTAGCAATGCAATTGTTAGATCATTTAGTCTCTCACAATATGTAGAGGACAGAATTATCTTCATGAATTTAACAGAGGTAGCTACACTGACAGAATATTAATAAACAGCTTTTTAAGGTGTGAAGCTGCACACCAGTTTTGAGAATTTGGTAAGGTAGGCATTGGAACAGGTTGCCCAGGGAAGTGGTGGAGTCACCATCCCTGGGGGTGTTCAAGGAAAGGTTGGACGTGGTGCTTAGGGACATGGTTTAGGGGGTGACATTGGTGGTAGGGTGATGGTTGGACCAGATGATCTTGGAGGGCTTTTCCAACCCTAATGATTCTATAACCTTTTGGAGAACCTTTGATCTCAAAGCACAAAAAAGAAACTTATTAGAGAGCCAAAGATACTGGGATAAGGTACTTATACTATTTACTTACTGCTACATAATCCTTCTCAGAGGTGAGAGCCTCAGCAGCTAATAAGTGAGCTTGTACTAGGTTTCCTATGTGAACCCAGTTCATCTGAACTTTATGATTCCCAAACTTGAAGTTAAATAGTCTCCGCTGGATATTTATCTGTAGAAACAGAAAAGGAAAAAAAAAAGAAAAAGAAAAAAGAAAGAACTATAAAGAACTATGTGAAGTCTTTCTCTTTATTATGCAGAATAACTTATTCATTTTGTCTCAGCCTGAACGCTTAGAATTTTCTATATTTGTGCACAATTACAGCACAAGAAAAAAACAATGAGCTGATGGTTTTATAAATCAAGGATGGTTGCACTGATATGTAGTGGTAAAATAGAATGACATAACAGTATTTGAGACTGTACTGTTCTGAAGCTAGGAAATATATTTTAAAATACTACTTTCATTAAATGATCGGGGATTCAATCCTAGATATTCTAACATTGCATTCCACCTATACATTTTTTTTTATTTTAATTTAAAAGCAGAGCTTGGTCCTTTCCATTTCTACAATGCCCATATCATGCTATTTGTTATCGTGCATCACATGACCCGTCACCAAGCTTTCATTACAGTTTTTCTGGAAGAATTGTTAAGACCTGTAGTCAAGGTACTTCCTCTCATGTTATGCCCTTACAACTAGTTGTAGTGTCCTCCAGAGCTGACTATATAACACATACAGCTACTCGTGGCAGGTGGCGCTGCTCTTCTGGTCCATATATGCCTGGTGGACGAAGCACACAAGTATGGAGCTTATCACCTCCTTGGGGAGAGAACAAAATGTGATTTTCATATAGCTTTGATATCAACATATGGCAGGCAAACCACATATATTGTTTGAATTTTATATTGTGAAAGTAAAGGATCAGTCTGGCCATTCTACATGATACTGCCTCTTAGTAACTTGTTTTCATCTTTGTATAAAATTGAATTCAATAGTAGTGAAAGATCCAATTTTAGCAGCCTTGAAAACTGAATTCCTCTGACCACAGAGTAGTTTGACTAGGAACAGGACAAATCAAATTATCCTGTGTCTATGCCTTGTGCTTGAATGACTTTTTGTTTTTGTTATAGGTAAAAGTTTATAAAATACTTCATAATTCTAAACACAGGCAATGTTGGAATATCATTCAGTTCACTATATTTAGACACCTTGCTTGCTTGCAGCTTGATGGCATCACAAAGGAATGGAAGAGGTCTCTTAAACAGAGGCTTTCAAATTAGTTACAATATTCTAAATTCAAATTAATACTTGAAACTCTACATGTCAATCATTAAGTACAGTGGGAATAGGCACAAATCCAACTTTTGTGTGGACAAGTTTAACATGTGGCAGGCATTTGCTCAGTAGTTAAACAAGGATGCTAAAATTGCATCCACATGTAATGTTTATTTGTCAAATTTCAGTTCAAAGAAATTGGTAACAGTAGCAAAATATGTACATAAAAGCAAGGATAAATATTTCCCTTGCCATATACAGACAGATTTTAGTGACAGCTATTCATGAACACAGGACTTTAGAAGTCAACATGGCCCTGATATTGCCAATCTGTTTAAGAAGCAGCAATTATTCTTGCAAGATACCAGCAAGCTCTTTGGAATTATAAGAATGACCTTACTGGACAGTGCTTAGCACTTAGAAGCTCAAAGTGATAGACAGAATGGGTAATAAAAGCACAAGTCCTATATTTGCTGTAAAGTTGGTAAACTTTTTAAATGTTTTGAACAATTAGTGTTAAATTTGCTGAATTTTCCCATCAGTTGTTTGTATACAATCTCATATGTGTCTGAGTATGCACACACAAAAATCTTTGTCCACTAAAGGTAGGATTATTTCAGTTAATTTTAAATATACTATATATTGATAAATCAGTAAACAGAGAAAGCAATAGCACTACTGATGATAGGAAAAACCCAAATGTTTTAGATGTACCTTTGAGTAAGGTTCCATTAGCAGCAAGAACCATTTGGTCTGCAATTGCCTTCGTTCTAGAATAATGATTAAAATGCTATAAAGAAAGGCAGAATATGATCAACATTCTAATCAACGTTATTGTATTTGTGAAGGCAAATTTACTGTTTATACCTGACAACCTCTAAATCTAGCCAGCTTGTAGACATCAGCTGAGTAAAATCAAACTAGAAATAACAACAACATATGGCACAGATATATTTTTGGAGAGACAGATTCTTGTGACAAAAAGAATTATGTAACTTTTTGTGCTAGATGTACTGAAAAAAAATTAATATCAAGTCAAATATTCTGTTTAGTCATATAATTTTGTTTTGAAATTGGAATTTTTAAAACAATAACTTAAATTAGAAATGAATGGTTTAGCCGTTCCAAAAAATGTTTCAATTTCCTATTGAAACTATTCATATAATTACAAATAATTATATTTTATATAATTATAATTATTTATAATTATATAGTTATAAACAATTATCTCCCAATTGTATCCTCTACTATTAATGTTAAAAAAAAGTACCCAAATGTATTAAATAGGATTCTGGACACAGAAGGTTATTTATAAGACTCTTGAATTTTGTATTGTCATGCTTTATATTGAAAACTATAGCTAAAAATTACACCATGGAAAGTCTTCATACTCTCAGGTGGCTTAATCCATCTGCTCCACCTTCCTTCCAGCTCCATCTGCCTCTGCTGGATGCTATTTCATGGTCACCATCAGAGAAAACATATGATTAGGGCTCAGACACACAAAACTAATTGCAAATTCCTGAAATGTTTTCTTCGAAGTCTGAAGTGCCATGCAAGCTTTGCATAAACTGACATTTCCAACTAAATATTTTGGGAGGCACTAATTGAGTAGTAGTCAATCCTATTTAGGATTCCTGGACACTGGATGTACAGACTAAAATTACAGCTCTTAACTGCAGGCAGTGTGCTGGGAGAAGGAAAGAACAAACAAATGATGAGTGGCCAGAATGCACTGAGCTCCAGATTTCAGCTAGAAAGCATTCCCTAAATGATCATAGTAAAGAAGGAAATAGCATTTCAGTGTGTGAGGTGATGTAAGAAGGCAGCAAGAAAGCAAGGTTTAGGAACTTCAAAGAAGCAAAAATGAGTGTGCATAAAGATGTGGAATTCAATATTTTGTAATATTCTTCAGTGCAAATGCTCATAGGGGCCATAACATTCAATATTTACATAACAGATGGTTCCCTGAAAGCCCTTCCTGTAAAAATCGTCTTGTTAAATGTCAGATTCCACTTTTCTTAATAATTTCAGGTATTTTAACATCCCCTGGTTACAGCACGTTAAAGTAACTATGATTCAAGTATCTCTTCATTGACCACAGGTCAATTTTTATTAATGAAAAATAATTTCATAGAATTTAAACTGAGCTATAGTAAAACAGCTTCTGCTTCCAGACCAGCCTTCACCTAATCTACCCTTCGGAGTACAGCAAATGCCATGATATCACACAAACAAAATACCTTTTCCAGTGGAAAATATGGCACAGTTTCTTCATCTCCTTCTTCAATAGTATTCCCTCCAAATACCACATTCACTGTACTGGTATATATCAGTCTAGGGATATTTCTTTGTTTGCAGACTACAATGGCATACAAAATATATTGTTTGTAACAAAAATAAAGAGTGAGAAACAACATATGAACTGGAAAACTTTTTTGCAAACAAGCATTACATTTACAGAAAACATAATATTTTATTTTTAACATTAATTTATCATTTAATATAATAGAATCTTTCATTCAGGTGGAATTTTTCATCCCAAATATTTGCTGTTTTAATATTATGTATCATGGTCACCAAATGCTTTATATACTTGCAGCTATCATATCTCCACGGGATTTTAGTCATCAGTTGGGTAGAGGAAATCTCTTGGCAGGGAAAAAAATCCTCCTCTCCTTTGAAACATTTCTTAAAACATACTCATTTTATGAGATGAATAAAAAGGAGATGAGTACGATCTTGTGATCAAACAGCATTGAAAACCCCATGCTTCTTTGTAGGGGTAGTACTGTGGACAGCAGCCTGTCTGCAGACCATTATTTTTGCCCTTATTTCAGCAGTGAGCAGGAAGCAGTTCTGCTTCTGGTCCCACAGTTTCATGGATATCCCTGCAGGCAAGTAGCCATACAATAAAGTGTGCTAGCTGTCTCCAGTGTGTGTGTGACAAAACTCTATTTGTGTCAAATCATTCATAAGTGACAAATAGCTAACAAATGTTAGCAGTAAACTTACACTGTCAGTGTATAATCAGTAATATGTTAAATACAAATGAAATTAGTATTATTTCCAAAACAAAGTCTTAATTATGGATTCCAGTCAAGAGTAAGATGTCTAAATTCTGCTGCATATGTCATTGCAAACTCAATAACAGTAATTTTCTTTTGATTTAGCAATGTTTCTAAAGTTTTAGTGAGTTAATATTTACAAAGTTGGGAGATATTTTTTAGAATCTACACAACAGTCAGACCAATTGGCTTCCTGGCTCATTTTGAAAAGAATGAAAATACCATTGTAAATATTTAGAAGAAAATACAATAATAAAATGTGTTCTTAAAATGTAGGTTAAATGGTAACTTCAAAGGTTCACAATCCTCCCACATTCTTACTTCATTGGGAGTCTATGGGAATATGGCAGGGCATGTTTCTGTAGGTTCAGAGGTTGGGGCAAGAATACAAAAATACATCGCAAATTTTTCTCTTTAGCTCATTTAGACCTTTACTTGCCTAACACTTCACTTTAATTGTTCTGGCTTTTTTTCAGTAATAACCACAGTAAACTACAGGCAGCATGAAAATGGGTCTAAAATAAAACTGCTTTTACCATTTTGCTTTTCGCCATTTTGCCTTTTAGATTTTGAGGGAAAAGCAAAGAGAAAGTAGCTTTGGCATTTACAATACACTTTGAAACGTTCTTTCTGGAGTTAAATATACAAAAGGAAATCTGTTGACATTTTTCTGAGACATTAGTTAAAAACCAGTATATACTAGAAAGGAGTCATATTTAGATAGTGGTAAACAAGGATATATTAATTTGGTAACATAATAGCTAAATATACTTAGGATTTCTATAGCACCTATATGTTTACAATACAACAAACAGTACAATATCTCTCATGATATTTCTGTGAGGAAAGAAGATAATTTCTCCTCTATATACTGATTATCTTGTCCCTTCACTATTCAGTGGAGAAGAATTAAGTTGGTCTGCCATGGAATTAAGTCTGGTTGAAAACCAATCCTCAATCCAAAGCAGTGGCAAATCTACCAGTTTTAATGGGACTTGAGTTTCATTCCATCTAAAGAGTTAACTTGCTTCATTAGAAGGATGAAATATTTTAAGTCTGTTGTATGTATCAGAGTTCTGCACACCTATCTTTACATCATACTCTGAGACTAAGGAGGCAAGAGTCTCTTTTAACTGCCAGGTGAACACTGGAAAAATTCAATTAGAAGTTTTTTGAATTCAGTTGATTCAGTTGCAAAGAAAATTACAAAATTCAGATGCAAAGAAAGAAAGTCTAGGTACATACCATCAATTATTATTTTTGTGCCACCAACATTTATGGATTCAATCTGTTCTTTCTTTTGAAGCTAGAAATAAAATTTGCACAAAATCTAATTAATTTATCAAGTTACATTCACAATACAATTGTTACAATTGCTAGATCTAGAATAGCTCTAGCCTTTCTTCTGTATATGTGTTACAGTTCTCTGTCTTTCTGACATACAGTGATTTCTAGCAGTTTTCATTTTTATTGTCATGTTCTTGTCTGAGTAGTACATTAGTTTCATGCTTTGACATTTATTACTTAAGGAACACCTCCCTCGTTGCCTGCATGGATGACTTGACCTTTATAACCAACTTCTGTCTCACATAAAAATTCTTTAACCACACTCTTGAGTCCTGTATGGAGACAGATCTCTGCTCTCACAAGAATAAGAAAATGTTAGGAAAATTGTACTTGCTTGTTCTAATCCTGACATTCCACAAGCAGCCACATGAAAAATACAGTCAGCCCCTTCACATGCTTTGAACACTGCATCATAATCCCTCACATCACCCTGTAAAATGAGAAAAAAAAGGGTTTTGACTGGTAAAGCTCATTACATTCTTCACACAATCAATATTAACTGTGGACATTAACAAAAATCTCAAGTCATTCTAATCTATTTTTCACAATCCCCAATTAGCATTAAATAAAACATCATTAACAAGGAGGAAAATCCATGACTAAGAATTTTGTTAGTATTTTGTTGCAAAACAATGATGACTCTTGTTGGACCCAATTAAGATGGGTATTTTCACGCTTAGTCCTGCAGGGTGGCAAAACTTGTTGAACTTGAATGGGAGCAGCATATGCTTGAGGGCTAGAGAATCAAGCCCAAATGACAATAAATCATAACAGGGAGGGCTCAGATGTTTACCAAGGAATCACCAAATAAGAGAACCCCTTTTCTGTTAGCAAACACACCTTCAGATCCGGCTTGTGCAATCTGGACAAATGTCTCGTTGCCCATATATGCTTTATTTTAAGTGCTTGGAATGACAACTTTAATTACAGTTTTGTACAGGATCAAAACTGAAGAGTATACACTATATGCATTTAATACTGTATAAATTAGTGTGGTATTATGATCACGTTATGACATGAATGCTGGACTGTTTAAATACACACACGGTATCTAGTAACAAATGCTATTCGGTGTATAGAACATTACACTGCATTTTTGCATACCAGGTAGTACTATATGAATAATACTCCACATACATACAGGTTTCATTAAAAATTGCACTTCTTTAATGAATTATGAGATTTTAAAATATTAGATATTATTTAATTTACTGTGATGAAATTGATAGAATGATCACAAAATACACGGCTAGAGGTAAGATTAAGAGATCATCCAATCGTTTTTTAACTCAACTTTTCATTTGAGGTTGTGAAAGTATTTCACAATTATGGCGACTTACACTTCCTACCTTCAATCAAATGCTGAAATAGCTAAACAGTGTAAATAATATTAGCAATCTCCAAATCACTGATCAAGGCTCAGATCTCTGAGGTGACCTATTTCTTTGTTTACTCTGTAGTTCTATTTTCTAGGTAATTCACCCATACTTTATACTATTTATTTTTTTACATTAAATTCTAAAACAACTGTTCTCAGAAGACTATTTGAGTCTGATCTCTTCATTAACTTTAACAAGTTGTAAATTGGCACTAATGCACCAACTCAAATCAAATTATTTGGGTTTACATCATTAACAAAACAAACCCATAGTTTTTGAACGGTTCCTTGTCAATATTCTATCACTGATCCACATTCTGTAAAAGCTGTTTATGAAAATAAACATAAGAACAGCGTTGTGAACCATAAAATATTTGGTTCTTTTGTTCTCTCCATTTTCCAGACATAATAAATATGTTTATTGAATGGTTAGGAATCAAAAAGCATTAGTGCTCATAAACGGATGCCCTGGCAAGAGCAGAAACAGGGCAAGCACATGACATTTTACTCCAGAATATTCTTCCAGTCTCCAAGTATTTTAATTCAGAAGATTTCTTGAGTCTAATTTAACTTACCTATTTAATAATCTCCAACAGAAGTAAACTTTTGGTAAGACTTTGTACAAGCATTTTTCCCATTGCATGAATGAGAAAACAACCTCTTTTTGTTTATATTGAACCGATTCATCATTCCGTCTAATGGCCCTTCCTTCTTGTACTGGAAAGAACAGTGAATAGTCAGTCCCTAAGCCTCTCCATGCCTCTCAGAGTTTGAAGATCTCTCCCACTCCCAAGTCATCTCTTTCCCAGTCTGCAAAGTGCTAGTTTCCTTAATCATCCTTTGCATGGAATTCATTCTCTGTATGTGATCATTATTTCACCATCCTTCTCTCACCTTTTTACTCCAAACAGCTTGCTTGAGCAATAAACTTTGTCACTCCTTCATCTAGGTCAATATGAATGTGTTAAATACCAAATCCCAATACAGGACTCTTCAGAACTTCACTGGTGAAACTGAGAGAAGTGACCACTTGGACTTCTCGTGCTTACTGTCTCTTAATCAGTTATTTATACATGCAAGAACCTCTTACCATGTTCATTAAAAGCATTTACTGAAAAACCTTTATAAAAAAATCCTAAGAATTCTCACTATTCTTGCCTTCTATACTAATATGCCTAGAAGCAGTATGATTTTATTTCAATGCTGTTAAATATGTAATTTCAACATACCTTGAAAAAATCTGCTCCATTTGGAATTTCCCACTTAGGCTTCCGTACATCAAACAGAACAACAGCAACGCCTGACTTGAGAAGAGCACATCCCAGATTGTATCCCAGGTAGCCTCCACCTCCTGTCACCACTGTCTTTTTACTTTTAACCAGTGGTTCAGCGTGCTCAGTTAGTTTGCTCTCACACGGGTGGCCCCTGTGGAGCTCCTCTGTAGATCGTTCTTGCATCACAACTGCAAGATAAAAGGTCTTGTGAAAATTCCTGCATAGTACTCTGGGATCTAGACAATTTCAGTAAGTTTCACATTACAATGACTGTACTATTTTTATTTATATATATTTTATTACCTTAACATGCTTAAAGTGTATAATGTTTTGGTGACAATATTTCTATGTACAATGAGTAATGTGTCTGACTACTTTTACATTAAGATACAGTCTTTTCCCCACAAGTTTCATGTTATGTAGAGATATAAAGAGATATATAATTTTAGAGACATTATGGTTACCTGACCCTAACAGGTATGATTATATTTTTGAATGCTTGGTATATCAAACATTTTATCTTTGAAGACTCCCTTACTTCTGATATATTAATGTCAAATAGATGTTAGCCTACTAGTCAGGAAAAAACAAATTAGAAAAGGAATAAAAGAAAGGACTTGATTCTGCTTTTTAAATCCACTTTATTTCATGTTTAGGTCACGGTTATTCAGTAAAGACAATAACTCATTACCATTTAAAACTTTTTGTTGTTGTTACATAGATGACACATTTAATTTTCTGTTCAGTTCTTTGCAACTTTTTTTTTTTTTTTTTTTTTTTTTTAATCAGAGCATTCATATACAGCTAGAGTGACACGAAACAGAATGGGTAAGCCATTTGCTCTGTGGGTTCATCTACTTGTGAAGACTGATTAGAATATCATCTATGATAAGCAACTCCAGAAAAGTTACCTGTCTGCATACTTTCTTCTGTATGAAAAGTGAGTTTATTCTACAATAATTGCTTCCCTTTAAAAATGTACTCAAATTCTACAATTGAAATGACTGGTATTCCAAATCACAATATACTTACAAGAAATCACTGCAGTTAATTATCCTACCTAGACAGCCCCTACTGTCTTGATTCCTTTTGTGGTCTTTACACGTTAGGATCTACGCTCTTACATCTCCAAACATAAATCCAGAGTACATACACCTAAAATCAATCAAACTAAGTCGCTGTAAAGTGGGAGGCAAACTGGGTGCCTCCCACTCTGATTCAGGATTATGAACCCAATTCAGATGATTATATAGTTGGATTAGGTCCTGATAGCAACATTCCCGTGCACAAAAGTATTTAAAGTATTTGCAGAAATCTTACAGCAGCTGGGCATAAGTTTGCTCTCAGTCATTTACACCAGGGTTCAGCAGAGAATGCAGAACTGGCCATGATTGGCAACTGTCAGCTGCATCACTTCCAGCATGACAAAGAAATACTAGAAAAACAACAAAAAATGCATCCCACAGAATGCAGTTACAGATTACTCTGCCATTGCCTAGTTAATTTTTTATAATTTTGGTTTTATCATTTTTCTTATTTTCTGCTTCACTTTTTGGATTTCAGACACAGGGAACGAAGTAGCAAATTCTCCATTCTGTTATGGTTTCAACACAATGTCAGCTCATTAAATTCAATGAAATAAATAGCAGAACACAGTGAAACTTATGAGCTCCTTATGTTGAAAAATATCCTGACATTTAAAAAATGAAAAATAATTCATATTTCCAAACTAAATTTAAATTGGAAATAAAAGTAAAACAAGTACACTTTTCCTGCTAAGGAAAATTAAGTTTGCAACTCTAAATCATGCTATACGGTGGCTTTAATCCATATAAAATTATTTCACCTTTTCTTCCACAAAAAAGCACCTTTTTGTACACTGTAAGGACAACTAAAGTAAAACTTGTGATGTATACCCTTAAAACATATTTTAAATTGGAATATAATTAAAAACTGATAATTAAAAATTAATATTTCCTTATATTTTGTTTTAAGTTAGATGGAGGTTGTATCAAAAAACATCTCACAAGTTTGAAGATCTTGCCAGAAATCTTTCTTAAAAAGCACTAATAGAATTAGTACATTTGTCAGCTTCATAGAACTAGGAAATTGTTATACAGAAAATTTTCAATGTAATGTATACAGTTGCATATAAGAAAAACATATATATTTCCAGAATCAGTAGCTTCCTTGTTTCTCTAGATTTGGAGGAGCTATTCTGACTTACTTATGCATGGTTACATCCTTGCATTCATGAGAATAGTTACGTCCTAAGCAGTTCACTTAGTGTGAGTTCTTCTTAGCTCCCCGACTTGCATTTCAAATATTAGAAATGCAGAAATGACTTCCCCAAAGAAAGTTAGTCAAACATTTCAGATTTTCAAAAATAGCTAAAGAAGCAGTAAGTACCCTTGGTAGAATCCTGGATGTCAGTGTTATCCCCGTGCTTCCTGTCCAAGTAAGATGGTGAGACTTCTCTTTGCTGGACAATTAGTAACACAAGGGCATCAGGTACTCTAGACAAACATCAAGATGTTCACGTGTGCTCAGTTCCTTTTGTTGTTCCTGCTCCTTTGTAGCTGGTGGCTGGGCTGGGAGCCAAAAAAGGGCAGGGCTTAATTTGTACATAATTTACGTTCCTTTTCAGGAAATAAATAAATAATTAAATGAAGATCTCCACATCAGATCCTTCTAAATATCTTACTGTTACCTGGTAAAAGCATTGATAAGACACTAGACAACACAAATACATTACTGTAACAGCATTCTGTAGATAAGTTGTACTAGATCACTAAAATGTCTCAGCCAGGGTTCTTGAAAAGTACAAAGATAAAGGTTCTTCAGAAAAACTGGAGAGAAAGTCTTAGCACTATCATTTCAAAAACAGATCTCTCACAGTGTGAAACTTTGGTTGGATACATCTCATCTAACAGCACGCTGAATGGAAATATGATTCCCTTCCACCTATGGTTTCCGATCTAAATTTGGATACAGAGAAGAAAGAAAAATCTTGTTTGACAAAGGTACTTCGCCCTTTCATCCTGATTTTTCTATCTTCATCCCCAATCCAATTTTGTATTTACAATGTAGGCGCAAGGTTTTGTTCTCTCACTTCCAGGATGAGTGAAGCACAGGCGGCAAACTAACCAGTACACAATAGAACAGGAAAAGACTTATTCTTAAATAGTGCATTTAAAATTTATTAATCAGTTAATTTATTATTATTATAGAAGTTCTCTGATCCTAAGATTTTAAAGCACTTTTAAAACACACATCCTTTTGCAAATTAAACAATAAGAAATCAAAGCCAACATTTTTAAATGGGTGTGTCTAAAATTAGGCCTCAAAGCAGTAGTTAAGATGCTAAAGAATCACTCCCAAATCTAAATATAAATGACTACAATTTTAAGTGTTGGCATGTTAGAAATATCTCAAGTTCATACGTGACTTTGCAATTTAAATGCAATTTAATGGTCACGTGTTGACAAGGACTCAGACTGACACCTAGGCAAATATATTTTAGCATAATATATATGCACTTAACTCCTTGTAGTCTGCATTAGAACCTTTGAATCTGTCAAGCTAATTTGCACTTCTTAGGTTGCAAAATGAATAGCAAACCCAGCTCAGAGTAAAAGCCCCAGGCATGCAGAGTTCTTTCAGTTGAGATGGTCACAACACTCATTTTTTTTTATCATTTTGCCTGAGAAAGAGAGTGGCTATTCCATCCATTCCTAGACTACTAAGGAACTCCTCCACAAGTCAAAGCAGCTGATCAGCATATTCGTAGCATATCAATCCCTCATTGCTCAGTGAAAATAAACCAAAACTATTTTAACGTGACTTTGGATTCCACCTTAACCAGAAGAGCTTTTCAGAATGGGTACTGTGTACCTCACCTATTACTCTTATTCTCATAACACAGAAGAGAGGTGGCCATAATTTATTCACTGCATCCTGCTAAGTCTTTCTGAAAGAAACAGACGCTAAAGTTACAATGACAAGTGCTGCTGCGTTTAGACTTAAGTTTGTTTTTGGTCTTGAATCATAACTTATAGAATTGCTCTTTTCTACCTTTTTTCCTATAACCACTCACAGTTCACCTAGGCAGACAGAAATAAATAAGACAGCTGATATTCCAGCAGATGACTGCGTAAAATGCAACAGGAAGGACTACAACAGGAAGATTGCCAGTTTACACAGAGAAGGTCCACATTTCTGAAGTATCACGTTGGCTTATCAAAACGTTACTCACATCCAGACCGTAAAGCAATGTTGAAATGTAATTGCCCTGTTTCATAGAGGACTCTAGTAAGCTTACACAAGCTGATTTTACTCACATGCTACTCACATAGATTCACTGATAAATCTGAACTGAATAAGGGTGAGTAGGGTTCAGGACGTGAGTAAGACAAGACACTGCATGTCTCCGGGATACAAATAAATACCCTTGTCCCCATGCCTGTTCCATGGGTGCGAGAGCTGAGTGTTGGATCACAGACAAGACAGGTACAGACAGGTATTAGTTCAGGAGACAGACATGTGGAGACTGGAGCTTGGTCCCTTTCATTCAGCAGCTCCCACTGCTGTCAGAGGTGTGCCAGTTCTGGATGCAGCTGGGAAGCAGCCTGTTGGGGAACTGGTGTTGTGCTCCCTCCAGCAGTGTTGACAAGGCCTTTAGACTCTCTCTACTGCAGCAGACTTAACAGGTTCAGGTGCCAATGTAACACATAGATTAAATATAAGTTTATCCATATGTTTAAGAAATCTGTACAGGAACCTCAGTTTAAACCCTGATTAGGCTGATTTTGATGAAACACCAACTAGAGATGAGCACACATTTTTCCTATCTGCTTATGACAATAATTTTACGTGCAAATTTAGATATACACAGGTGATGCAATTCTCTAGTAAAAGAAGTTGTTATATACTTTGAAGTCATTATTAATCACATTAAATATAAGTAGGGCTGATTTAACCAAGAAGTAATCTCTCCAAACTCTTGCAAAATGCAACCTCAATTATCTTACCAATTCTGTATTCTGAAATATTTCTGAAATAAAATCAGTTTTAAATGTTTTATTTCTCTACTTTACTGAAACCCTTTTTGTTCCTTCATTGTTAAAAGGATACATTGTTTATTTTCTTTGTATTGTTCCTTATTTTTCAGCCTATTCCTGGGCTTTTTATCATCAACAGTAAAGGGCAAATTATGCAATAGATCACTTTAAAAACATATTAGAAACAGAAGGCCAATCTAGAAAGAATGATCAAATAATTATATTTTACCTTAAGGCCTAAGCATTTTGTTTTTTGAGTCTAATGATTAGTAGTCTCCCAAACTTAGTTTTCCTTCAGAGGAGTCATCTCTCAGGCTATTATGTTTCATAGCACAGTTTGGAGAAGGTGACATAAATCTACTTGCAAAGTTACATATCCACTACAGTCTTCAGTTCATCATTGAGGTGCAGGAAAAGACAGTCCAAAAAACTATAAAAAAAAATTAAAAAGGACTAAAAATATTTGAACGCTAAAAAAAAAAGTGAACCCCACAGCTATCAGGTTGAAAATATTGATTATTTTTAATGTAACTGAAAATGAGAAATCACTGGAAGGTTTTATAGAGAATGACAGGATAGGAAGATCATTTTTGCAGGAACGTGCTGGTTCAACCTGAGCAAGGCAGGACTGCCTTTCCAGGCTGCAGAACAGGAGCAGTGCTCCAACTGTGAGGTAACAGGAACTTGCATGAGGGTTTATAATTGTGTGGAAGTTATTATACAGAAGGCAGCCTTTAACAGAGACGTAGCCTTAGCATGAAGAACTAGAAAGAAGTCTGAGTTAACATGATCAGCCGGATGTTTGACCTGAGTCATAGGCAGGACGGTAAGCTCTGGAGTGCCCAAGGGCAGAAGAATAGCAGAAAATCTTAAGAGACTAAGCTCTCTCTTGAAGCTATGTTGAGCTGGAAATGTCCAAGCTAAGGCAAGAACACAGGAGTGAGATATGAAAGGCTGAACTAGGCATGTGAATTGCTCACAAAATGGTTACAGTGATTATCCAGAGAAAGAAGAGAGAGGCTGATACAATTATAAAGTTAAGGGTGGTGGATCTTCCTTAGACCATATTCTGAAAACAATTAAAGAGCCAGAGGGGAGAAAAAGGAGATGATGTAAGTGAGTCAAGGGAGAGTAAGAAGGTGAGCAGGGGGCACTATATTGAAACCAGACACAATCCTGATCTTTGCTGTCCATACCCTATTACGTATGAGAATGATGAATTGGGGAAATTGCCTTCTCACCAGGAGATAGCCTCAGAAGTCCAGATAGTTAAAAGTACTGTCAGAAAACCTCACCGTTGTTTCTTTTCATCTTATTCCCTCTTACTGTAATCAGATCAAAAGCTGTTATGAGCAAAGAGGATAGTTGGCCAAATGAGGGTGTACAGTAGGGGAAAGGCTGATTGTGAGTGTCAGGAGTGATCAAAGAAGCTGCATGTTTGTGGCTATCTACAGTGCCCTAAATTGCTGTCCTGTTTAAACGCTGCACTGCTGACTTTGGTTGGGTTCCTGTGCCTCAAGTTCTTTGTGGGAAGCAGGGTATGCACATGTTACTCCATCCGTCTGGATCTTCTTGCACCATGAAATCAAAATTAAGTGATAGTATACACCCAGGCCAAGGAGCTAGGAAAAGTACGTAGCCTCCCTCTGTGACTTTACAGAGCAACCAGGGCCTGAAAGAGGGAAGGACTGAGAGACTGATATTAAAGGACTGGAGTCCTTGACACATGCTGCTTTTTGCTAAGTTCTCTGGAGATTCTTTTCTAATCTTGATTTTCTAGAACTTGTCTTGCTTTCATATCACAATTTCCCCAGCTTTCACATCACTTCTTTTAGTTTCAGCTAACAGTCATGGCAGCTGAAACATCAAAAAATGATGTGATGTTTCATGATAGGAAACATCACCAAATTTAGTATAAACAAAGTATATTATAATCAACTGCTGTTTGAGTTTTTTAGTTTTAAATGACCACATAAAAATCTTTACCATTTGACCTCAAATTACTTCTATAGAATAAAGAATAAAAAGTCCTTATGGAGAGTCTGAAGATCTGAAAGCCTGAGAGATTCTGGTAACTTGAAGGTATGGCTACTCCTCTCTACTTTTATGTACAAGAACCAGGAGTACAACACTTAGAAGTTTTTTGGCCTCTTACTAAAACTGTCAGGAAAGCTGTCATTTTCAATAGGAAGAAATTACATTTGGCAAAAAAATTTTGTATGCACTATTTCTAATGCACTAGCACTTCTTGACACGTAACAAAGAGAAAACAATTCCACGAGAAAGAAACAAAACCCTACAGTGCTCAAATAATCATTGTGAGCTGCAGGTTTTCATGGAATAACCGGTCTAGTATGAAAATCTAAACTTATTTTTGTGTTATGCCCATTGTTCGTATGTTGTATCTAGTCAAAAGGTACGAGTAACAGCAATCTTCAGTACCTCCAAGATAAGCAAAGAAATACATGCATATAAATTTAAGCTAATTGAAGTCTTAGGCTTTCACAGGCATAGACACAAGAAATATACAAGGGATGGCAAAATCCAAAAGGAAGTATTACTTAGAATCATCCTGTACTCTCCCACTCAGATCCCTGTAGCAATTGGATAGTGTGCTTACTGACCAATGCAACAGCATCCTATTGTGTCCCCTAGTCCTTCGGTTTATCGAGTTGTGCCTCTGCATTACTACTACTTAGCAATTTATGTTTTCTTTATAATAAACTGTAACAATTTAGCTGAAATGAGTACAGCATAAGAATACCCTCTAATCATTTGACTTATTATCTACAGCATAAGAATACCCTCTAATCATTTGACTCTGTATCTAAAACCTAAATTAGTAGAGTTGTTCAGGCTCATAAGTGATTCTGAACACCTTGTGCACTTGTTCGCATCCAGCTGCCCAGCCATACTCACTACTGACACAAACATATGATTTCAGAGTGGCAAGACTGGTTTGGACAGCGTACCGAATCTCTGATCCTCATCGCAACCCCAAAAATGTCTGGAAATACCTGTTGTAGGCTGTAAGTAGTTTTGTAGTCACTCTCTGTGACTGCAAAAATCAATCATCCTTATAAAAAACATTGACTCTAAATCAACAGAGAGCTGAGAGAAGTGAAGTGATAGTGGTGAGATATTCAGGTTTTAGGTGAGATGACAGAAAAATTTAAAAAGCATTTAAATCAGAATATAAATCTGCAGGTCTTGCAATGTTAATAGAAAAGAGGAAAACATTGAACTCTCCTCTAAACATCACATCTTGCTGTGCATAGAATTTTTACTTTAAAATGAGAAATCACAGGATGTGAATTTGGGAGAGGACACTAAGAATGTTAATTTTTAATATAAATTTAATCAAATGCTAAACATTGCTACAGAACAAATAGTTCTAAGGAATTAAGTAGTTCTTAAATCTGTGTCACAATATTAATGCAAAACCAAATGTAAATTACTACCCAAAGTACGTACGCATCATTCAAATGAAACATTAAGTACTTTATGATAGTACAACATTCCTCACATTCCTTGCTCATTTAGAAAAGGAAGATACAGAGGCTGAACAACTTACCTATGGTCAGGTTGCAGTTTCATGCCAGGAGAGAGAAGATGCACATTCTTATTCCCATTATTACACAAAAGGTGTGTTTTCTATACCTAACACAGCAAAAGAACAATGGTATGCTAGACTAAGTTAAGATCCTTCGGGCAGTTAAGTTCCTTCTGATTTTTTGATAGGCAAAAAGACATTAAGCATTCATCACGTTGCTTTTCAATAGTTTGCCTTTCAAAAAGACTTTTCTCTGTATAAAAACAATGCAATTACATATTTCTGAATAACAGAATAGTTATGGACATATATTGTTTAAAGTGATACTATGCTATTTTTTTTAACTTTCTGCCATCTGTTAATGGGTTTTTCTTTTTAATATCATCAGATACAGTATTTCTAGAAACAAGCATATCAAATACTTTAAACAGCTTTCTCAAAGTCTAAAAAATCAGGGTTTTCTATTATATTAATCAGACAGCAACCTGCAAAGCTGAGAACTCAGATTCTTTTAAAATCCCTTAGATCTTCATTAGAAAAAATAAATATTCTCACTCCATCCCTTCCTTTTTTCTGATCTTTATGTATTTATTTGTTTTACGATTCTATGTATTTCATCATTTCCTCTTGGAAGGAATAGAGCACACATGAATACTACAAAGCACAGCCTTGGAATGTGCCATATAAAATACTTGTCAAGTCAGGCTCTCATTTACTCTGCATTTGTGGTTGCTTTGCATGCTGCAGAGTGATTTATAGGCCAAATGAAATGGTAACTGAGAGGCTGCATTGCCAAGGTAGGGTGTATTACAGGAAGAAACAAAGCAACTTGTAATAGTAATGGGTATGCCCTTTATCAGCTCTTAGGTTTCTTAGAAGTGAGGACAGTTTGTACATTTAAAGGGAAGGAATAAAAAATAAACGCATCATAAATAAAAACACTGCATTGTACTGAATAAACGCATGTTTCTTTGTAGAGAGCAGGGATTAGAGTTTGCTTTCTTACATATAGGAGTCACAGAGAAAACTGAAAAATGCAGGAGCTATATATATATATTAACACATGCAGATTTTAAAAAGATTATGGAAGACAAACCCTAGCAGGTTTCCTTTTAATTCAAAGTTCTTCTGTTACTGCACTGGAAAAGAGAAGTACAGATCATTATTACTCTTACATATGTTTTCATACCCATAAAAACACTGCAGGAGTTACGAGGGCACAGGAGGTGGCTTAGATAGATGGAAGAGAAGGATTTATTTTGCATAACAACAGTCAGATATCTTTTTAAATCTTGTCATAATTTCTACTAAGTTTCATTTACAATTTTATAGTTACCTCTATTGTTATTATTAACCCAGAAATTGTAACATAATATGCAGAATTGTCCAAGTAGGAAAGGAAAAAGGAAACATCCTCTAAAAGACACCAGGTGCTTAATCAATAAAGAAAGAACTACAAATTAAAAAGCCTCGGTGCCATGTTAACTGTAACAATGACAGACTAACAATGACAGAGGAAGCCCCTACCACTGAAATCATGTAAACTTTTAGTCTACAAGTTCTGTCTATTTTACCTATCACACTCTGGTAGAATTCAGGATTCTAAAAGATGAAGCCTCATATGATAAGACAGAGATCATCAATTTCTTTGTGCTGTAGCTCCATCAATGCATTCAGTATAGATACCTAAACCCTAGATTCTATCTGTTATAAAAGATACAGGTGAAAAAATAGGATATTTTCTGATGCTTGCAGGTTTCTGAAACTAGATTTTCCATTCTCTCTCTCAAAACTATTCAGAAACCAAATATCTAATAAGCATCTGCTTGAGGTTGTATCACAGAGGAATGAAGTGTGACAGAATGAAATGTATCCTACATATATCTAACTGCTCAACATGCATTAAAATGATTGAATAAAAATTTTTATTACTAAGTTGTACTAACACTTTTGTGTGCCTAAAATCTTGGAACTTTGTGGTTTCAAATCTAGAGAAACACTAATAAGAGATAACATGCTTACAAAACATGGAGAAATTCTTACTGGACAGACTTCCATAGGGCAGAGCACAACACACACTTATTGCTGATTTTTTCCATAGAAGCCACATAAACTTGCTGGGGTTGTCTCTGCACAGTTAGATGGATGAACTTGTTACTGTCCCAAGCCATCTCCCCCTCTTCTGTCAGCTGTTTTCCCCTGAAGCAGGTATGGGTGAAGTACACACAAAGGAGTTCCTGAACCACCAGTTCATACTAACATCATACAGAACATATGTACTCACACAGAGGTTATCAATTCTTGCTACGAAGCCAAAAAATCTTCTGATAAGAAGTTGAACACATCCTTCAGGGTAACAACTGGTTTAGCTGTTTGCCTTTAATTCATTACATGCAAATCAACATATTCAGTGATTCACAGCAAAGACATTTCTTACAAACAAGCTGGCAGAAAAATACACAGCTTTGTCAATTATAAAACTCGTCTTTTATTATGGTTTGAATACAGTGAATTGCATTCCAGGAAGCATGAACCAGGAAAGCAAATGACATCTACATGACAGACCAACATAGAAAAGCCATTAACAGAGCACTTGATTAATGTGGTCGTCACTGCTGACCCACCTCCTTAAAATGTTTTCCTGACTAAGTAGTCCTCAGATTGATGGGAGCAGGTAGGACTAGAGTTTCCAGGTAGGTAATAGGATGGTGACAGAAACTGTATTTTAAAGGAAGAAGTTGCTCTGCAGGCAGCAGGACTGACCAACCTGCAAGACAACAAGGCTTCAGAAGCATGGAAAGAGAGGCTACACAGCCTGAAAACACTTTTAAAAGAAGTGAAGTTGGATGGGATGCAATGGCTAAATACTGCAACTTCCAACAGTTTTAGACCTTCTGTGGTTACAACAATTGTAATGTAAGAATTTGTTCCTTACTTTTATGTTGCATTTTCCTTGAACGGAAGGCTTAGGAACCCTTAGCTCACTCCACCAGCAAGACGACAACTCACAAATTCCTAACATGTATTTAAGTCTACTGTCTGAACATGGGAGTATGCTCAAGAGACCAGAGCTATGAACAAATGACTAATCTAAACTACTGCAAACAAACAAGAGATGAGATGAGTATTAGTATATGTTGTACTGAACTGAAGATTACATAGATCCATTGATGATCAGTCTATGAGATACTGTTTAAACCTCATTGTTTTGAATGAGTAAAATCTACAAAAATTAACAAATACCATACAGAAAAAAGGATGTGAATGAGAGGTGTGCCAGACTGCAATCTAACACAACACAAGGAAATGCTCTGATTCTTACCCACATTTGCAAAATTTGTCATATGCATTACTATCTTACTTCATAGAGAGTCTATGATATCACTTAACATACCTGCACAAGTGTATTACCTTTTAAAGCTCTCTGTAATGATATCAGAATATATGCTACAGCATTGTGACATTTTTGAATCCTCCAAGGAATAAATAAGCATCTTTCCATACCTTTTGTCATTAATCATCATCTAACATTTACATACATTCAATAAAAATGTAATCAGTCCTATTGATTTACAACCAAGATTTTCATATCAAAGCATCCTAGTAGTTACACACATACCAACGCATATAAAATATACTAATAAAAATCACAGACAGTGATACTTAGCATAAGGCACCTTGATAACTGCAGTATTCCACAGTAGGTTGGTACTAGCAAGGAAGGCAGAAAGCAGGAGGTGCGGAGCATACAAGGCTAAAAAGAGACTTTTATGATAAAAATAAGTTTTAATTCTTTACGGAGACAAAACAGATAAAGGAAAAGAAAAGAGAGTATCTCCCGTATTAAGTCATTCCCATCAGCTGGCACTGAGGACATGTGAATAGCTCCTGAATAAATTCAGACCATGTATCTGTATTTTGCATACTGGATTATTTTTCATTAAATATTACATATATGAAAACCTGAGATGAATTCCTAGCCCTCTGAGGACAACAGTAAACACCTACAAAATGCTAATGAAGTGTCATCACTGAATTCCTCATTACAAAAATGTATATTTCATAAATAAATTGGGAAAAAAAATGTGAATACTGTAGTTATCTTAAATTTGATTTTCTTGTAATGGTACTGGAAAAATTTTTAATCTTTCTATGACAGGAAACATGTAAGAATTTAATAGAATTACTTAGAAGATGGGCAGTGTCTGGTTATACAAACATAACCATGCTTTAAGAATATCAAGATATTTCTTGTTCGCATGTCTGAAGATTTCTGAATCATCCACTTTAATTCCTTCTCTACTGCCAACATAAAATGAAAAAAGTAGATATACCCATTAGCAAACTTCTTTTGGCAAAAACATTTGTACCAAGCTTTGTTTTCTACACTAAAGTTATTTCTTGGACTTCCTATTCAAAATTGGAGTAAAGAATTCTCTTTCTAGTATCATAACCATCTGTCACATCTGTTAGGTATAAGAGCACCATCCAACAAGTCTCAAAAAAACTGCCAAAAAAGACATCTTTGACATAACCACCAACTGATTGAAGCAATTACAAGGATGATGCAGTAAAATATTTTTTCCCAGCCTGAGGAGACACAAGAGTTGTGATCCCTGTATAACTACTACATATAAATTCACTGTGTTTTCTAAAATTTGTATTAACCACATTGGAAACTATCCTTTGCTTTTGACTAGACTTTGGTTTACTTCAAGTCCTGCAAAACCTGCAAGTGAAGTAAATTAGTATCACTTATCATCTGTAATCTCTTCTCTGCCAGAAGTTTAGAGACAACAAAGAGTACATCTTTCCTCCTTCTGCTTGAGGCTGGAAGCTTTATGCATACAATTAAAGAGAAGCAGGCTAGTGGTACCACTCCAATCATATTCAGCATCCTTTGTTGGTATAAAATTTAATCCTACAGGTCAAGAACATGAATAATTTTTAAAATACAAAATCAAAATGCATGAATCACATAAGCTCACCATCACAACTGAAAAAAACGGTACTGGAAATACAATATAAATTAACTTGAGTAACTTTAAATCTTCCTTATTTATGTGTTTAATTGTTCTACAATATTATGCAGTTTCTGAAGTACATTAAGAGGAATGGCTTCCTATACACTTTACAATCAGTAGTTTACCTCAGAAGACTAAAAGACAAATGATAGCTGTGGGACACTAGCCTCTGCCTCACCCAATCCTTGATGAACATGTCGTCAAGCCTGAGGTTTTTACTACAACTCTCTCTATAGTTGTTTGCCTGTCCATTTTTCCCCTCAAACAGCTCTGTGACAAATGCTTCTGTCAGCTCTTACTTTTCTTGTTTAACCCTGAGAAAGCACTGTTGCATTCACAACCAGCAATTTCTCTTTTCCTGTTTTTTTAATTTGCTAATTTAGAAGTAGCGGGTTGGCTCTGTGAGTGGTTTGGTTTGTCCAGCTGCCTCTCCCACAATCTTGTAATAATAGTTCTGTATTTGTTGAGGTTGTCTTTACTATTAATGTGGTCTTTTTCCGATCACTCTTGCTCATTTAGCTGATAAAACATGCAGCCCATGTAGCACTTCGTATTACAGCCATTATATCTGGTCCTAACTCTCCCTGTTACGTGCTTAGCTGCTTATTCTTAGAAGAAACTAAACCATTAATAATAAATACACATCTGCCTAGCTTCGCTCACCCCAAACAACATACTTCTTTTTGAAGTGTTCTTTGTGTATTAGGTTATACTGTGGAACTATTTCAGTTAAGCACCAAAATCATTACAATGTTTTTAGGTTTGGAAGTGTCACACCTGCAACTTAATACACTTTGCATTAAGTTTACAAAATGTTATCCTTCTATTGGAATACTTCAACTATATGTAAGATATGATCTATTGTGGTGACTGTTTACCTGAGCACTTTTTTTAAAGACAGAATTGTCCTTTCGGTTCATATTCCAATTTTCTAGTAATAACCTGTTTGAAAGAAAAAATAAAAAACAAATAATTACAGCAGCTTTTCATGAAGATACACAGTAGCTTTGTATGTCTGCTTAGCCATGTCCTTGTGTGACAGAAAATCTTTTTATTGTAGAGGCATAATGCATTTGAAAGCTCTTTAGAAATACTTTTGCTTGCTATTACTAACAAAGTGGTGCTTTCTGATTCTGAACTGGCAGTTAAGAAGCATTAATCATGAAGGAATGTAAGGATCAATAAAATTTAATTGTTTCTAGGCAGGTATCAAACCTAGCTCTAAATGACACAAGAAGCATCAGGGAATGGTGTGTCACCTGAGCCAATTCAGTCTACTGAGACACAGTTGGCATGCAGTGCTAGCACAGTTATATTGCTCCAAGAAACTGACTTAGCTCATTTGGAGTCCACAGAGATACCACAGAAAGGTAAAAGAAACTCCATGCTAAGGGAAGATAAGGAAGAGAAAACAAAGAAAAAACCTGACGAGTGCTTGGCAGGACATGCAGAGAGATAAGATAATTGAAAATTAGAGTAAAGAAGACACAAGATAAATTCTGGCATGTCCAAGACTTAAAGGGGAAAGGAAAAAGTTTGAGTCATATTATTTAGGAAAGCAGAAAAAAGACTGAGATTAGGAGGTGAGATCTTTGAGAGAACAACTTTGCAAATTCTTTGATAATTCAGGACATGTAAGAGTGAAGAAGGTGGTTTAGGTAATCCTGCCAGGAAAAGGTTAGTGGAAACTTCACAGGTCTTTAGAAGCAAAGAGAAAAGGAAATGGATGCTAACTTGAAAAGTAGATGGGTTGAGATGGGATTATTTCAGAAGGAAAGATGTTACATAATTTCATGTGACAACACAATTCTAGCAGACAGAGAATGGATGATGATGCAGTTAGAAAAGTTAGGGTAAAGTAGGATAGACGGAGTCCATAAAGATTTCAGAAAATAAAAAATAATTTGTATTTCAGAATAAGAGGTCAGACTAAAGGAAGAGGTACTAAAAAGGATATTTTATTTTTTCATAATATATACAAAGAGAAATACAAAGATTTGGCAGGTGATAGAACTCAGCAAGGAGATGAACAACTTCATGTCATTTCCCTTTGACATAGGAGATGGAAGAACCACAACTGAGAAAAAAACAATAGCCTGTAAGGTTAGCACACTGTTAGACCACTGCTCAGATCCTTTACTATGATGGTTGCTAATACTATAAGATTGCAAAACTAAATCTCTCTAAAGCAGACAATTCATTTGCATGTCCTTTCCCAAGCCTCAAAAAAACCTCTAAAACTGACAGTACAGGAAACAGCATTTCTTTTGCAAATAGCTGATACTGACAGTCAGATATTCTTGCCTCTACTTTGTGAATTAAAAATGTAATTATTGAGAGATTCTTGATACTCACCTCAAAGATTTTGCCTGCTTTAAAAAACTTCTAGCTTTTGCTACTTCTTCAGTAAGTTTCTTTAAATCATCTCCTTCAAAGTAAGGGAAAACTGGATCCTAAAAATAGAATTAAAATATTCTGCTTTATCATGCAACTACTTATTATTTTCAATGTCTACCAATTTAATTAATTGAGCTAAAGCTCTACACCTCCTTGTCCCTGTCTACTTGCAGAGGCCTTTGAATTATAAGGGGTAGGGGCAGAGCAACTCTGGATTCTCACTAATACTCTTTCCTACCGTGGCAATCACTAAGGCCTCTTGGTGTAGCATTAATGTGCTATGTAAGGATTTTACAGTGATAAATGAAACAGAAGATAGTGAGGATAAAAAGGCACAGTTTTTAAGCTAAAGCTAGCTTAAAAACAGCGTCCAGAGATAGGATGATTTTGCTTCTTTTTCAAAAACTAAATTGCATTATATACTTCTTTCAAAGGTTAGGCTACCTGGCCAAGGCAGCTAGCAGACATACAAAACCAGGTATTAGGATTTCTCCTTTTGGTTGCAATATAACATATCTTAAGCTGAGTCCTGTATTACTACTTCTAGTGATTTTTCTTTTTTAAAATGCAGTTTTACTACAGATGAAGATTGAGGTGGAGAGAAACAAAACCAAGCCTAACAAAACCAAACTACTTAACATACATCTTCATCATCAAACCCCTCCATCAACATTCGGTGTGCTGCTAGTTGGCCATCCACATCTCCAAAACTGCAGTGGTAGCGCCCTCCTGTTTGGGACGCAAGCTTCTTCAGAAATTCATTAGCTTCTCTGTTAACAACAAAGCAGTTAAGTGACTCATGAAAATTATTTCTCTGAAAGCAGCAACAATTAAAAAAAAAACACAATTTCTAAGCATTCCTCAAAAAGTATGATAACTAAACAAGCAGTTTGGAGTACATGATTACATATTTCGGTATCATTTCTAATCTTCAAGAGCTAATGAAGAATATACTCTACCTAGTTATCATTACCTCCGAAGACAGGTTATTTTTGAACATGAGGTTTAGTGTAATAACAGAATCATAAAAAAAAAAAAAAAAGAAAACGGGTTGGCAAGGAAAAGGCAACAATATTTCACACAGGGTAAGAAAGCCAAAAGCTGGGAGACACCATAAGGGGAAGTAACATTTTTGCATGCCCCATAACTTGTTCTCTTGTCTAAGCCTCTATTGTTTGCCATTGTCCAACATGTCCAACGGCTAATACAGTTGCTATTGTATTCTTATTACAAGTATGCTAAATAACACACTTCTACTGCCGTGTCATTTTAGAGTCCTTTCTAGAGTCCTGAAGCACTAGCATTATAATAGTCTCAATTTAAGACCACAACGGCTGAGTTCTTTAAGACCTCCAACAACTGCTGCATTTTGAGGTGGCAGAATAGGTATGTACCTTGTAGAAGTGGTCTGTTTGGCTGTCTGCTCCCTGCATCACACAGCCACCATGAAGGTAAATGTAGAAGAGCACACACTTCGTGGTATTGTTGCATGGTCTCCAATTCTGGACCATGCAAAGATCCCTCCAGAAGAGTAACCACCGATGTATTTTCAACCCAGACTCCATCATGGCTGGCACTAACACTTTCCCAGTGCTCCTTATTCCAATTCAGCCTAATCTATTATTTTTCTGCTGCAGACTAGGGATGCATATCACAACTCCATGTGTGTGAAGGCGGTTCTCTCAAGGACAAGCTGTGGGAGATACAGGCCATGTGGCAATTACCTGTGTCAGAACAGCTTGCCCAGTTCCCACCTGAATGAATGCCTAGCTCAAACCTGTTGTTCAGTGAACTGAGCATATGGCATGCTCTGAGAACGCAGCCCTCTGACAATAAATAAACTAATAATTTTCATGATTGTTTTGATCTTGTATCACATGATTGTTTTGATCAAGTATCACATACCTGTCCGCACAGCTAAATGAAATGGTGTGAATTTTAATATCTTGTTTCTTTCTCAAACTTTCAATTTCTTTCAAAATCAGACTGCAACTGGTATCTGGTTTTCCATCAGTCAATACATACAGTGCCTCTATGTCTTGGAAACTGAGAGCTTTCTGAAACCATAAAACAAGCTAAAATAATTAGAACATTTATATGAAAAGTAATTCTTTAAAATGAAAACACTATTCCAATGATTTAAGACAGCTGTATATTTACCACTTCATTATGAAAGTTAGTATTGCCTTTTCCTTTTCACCAAATATGAGAGATCAAGGATATAACTTTGTAAAAATAAACAAGTAGATAATTTGTAGCATAAGGCACTGTAATCACAAAAGCAGGGCACCACCAAAAACTGACTCCTTTAAATAAGCTAAATAGATTCAAGTAAATAGATTCAGTTAACTGTTGTGGGAGTAAAAGATGCTTAATGTCTGAAAATCAGGCTCACTAGAACCCAGCCATTTTATATTATGAAAACTTGCTATGATAATTAGCTCAGTGGACATTTCTGCAATATAAACATGTCTTCTAATTCTACTGCACTTGATTTGCCAAGAATTCCAGAAAATTTTTATGAAGATTCTGTAAAGGTATCTAGAACAAGAATCACTCATTTAGGGCACAATTTCTTTACTGATTTAAATTTAAAATCTCATGAAATTGCAAGTTCTTTCAGCCTCTGTTTTAAATTGTTTTTACTAGTTAATTTCTACACCAAGAATTTTTATGGAAGAAAAGTTCCTTCACCTGTTACTGAAGTTCAAGAATCACACTCAATGCCCATTTGATTCTAACCACTATTGCTTCTCTAAAATCCATGTTTGGCTCAGACCAAATATATCATAACCACAATTGTACATAACCATCATTTTGAGGAATTAGAATCATAGAATCATAGAATATCCTGAGTTGGAAGGGACCCTTAAGGATCATCAAGTCCAACTCTTGACACCGCACAGGTCTACCCAAAAGTTCAGACCATGTGACTAAGTGCACAGTCCAATCTCTTCTTAAATTCAGACAGACTCGGTGCAGTGACCACTTCCCTGGGGAGCCTGTTCCAGTGTGCAACCACCCTCTCTGTGAAGAACCCCCTCCTGATGTCAAGCCTAAATTTCCCCTGCCTCAGCTTAACCCCGTTCCCGCAGGTCCTGTCACTGGTGTTATTGGAGAAAAGGTCTCCTGCCTCTCGACACCCCCTTACGAGGAAGTTGTAGACTGCGATGAGGTCTCCCCTCAGCCTCCTCTTCTCCAGGCTGAACAGGCCCAGTGCCCTCAGCTGTTCCTCGTACGTCTTCCCCTCCAGGCCTTTCACCATCTTCGTAGCCCTCCTCTGGACACTCTCCAACAGTTTCATGTCCTTTTTATACTGTGGTGCCCAGAACTGCACACAGTACTCGAGGTGAGGCCTCACCAGCGCAGAGTAGAGCGGGACAATCACCTCCCTTGACCTACTAGCGATGCCGTGCTTGATGCACCCCAGGACACGGTTGGCCCTCCTGGCTGCCAGGGCACACTGCTGGCTCATATTCAACTTGCTGTCTACCACGACCCCCAGATCCCTCTCTTCTAGGCTGCTCTCCAGCGTCTCATCGCCCAGTCTGTACGTGCAGCCAGGGTTTCCCTGTCCCAGGTGCAGGACCCGGCACTTGCTCTTATTGAACTTCATGTGGTTGGTGATCGCCCAGTTCTCCAACCTATCCAGATCCCTCTGCAAGGCCTTTCCACCCTCATTCGAGTCCACAACTCCTCCAAGTTTGGTGTCATCAGCAAACTTGCTCAAACTTGCTCATTAGCTATTTTTTCTCTCCATGGCTCTTTGAATGCAAAGATTGATGAAACTACTGACATTTCACATTCTTCCTAAACTCAGTATGAACAATGAATGTTGTATTTTTGAGCCTTGTGGGCAGGAACAGTGGCTTAATTCCAGATCCATTTGGTGTTTTGAATACAAGAAGTGTTGTATAGTATGTTTTACCTAAATGTTTTATAGTACGTTATCAATATGATCAGCACAAGACACTCTTTCTTCTCCAGACTATAGTATATAATTTACTAACCTGTAAAGCCATAAGGATACATGTATTACCATGAGCGTGGAATTTGGACACCCACTGCACAGCATCATGACATGTTTTATCAGTAGCCTCTACAAGATACTCCCTCCAGCTCTCTGTATTTTCTGAAAATCTCAGCAGGTTAAACCTGAGGAGAAAAATGGCCAAAATATTTAAACCTAATCAATACTATCAATCTCATTGGATAAGCTAGTTTTGAAACAGAAACAAAACCAAAAAACAAACAACCAAAAACAATCAAGAACCTATTATTGGAATAAGAAAGTGTCAGAAAGTTTAACTAATTCTGCATCAACAGAAAGTCAATTGGAATGCTGAACCCAAACGTTAAACAGCATCAGCCTATGGCAAACATGGCACAAATCTTAGAGCTGAGAATTCCAAGCTGCTTAAAATGAAAAACAAAAGTAAAATCATTTATGCCACGTGCATATTATGCACTAACATACTGTGTTTCAGTACTATATTTTTAGTAATTACTAAATAATCTTATTACATAAGAATAAGTAGTGCAGGTTTCAGCCTGTATCAGTAGTCTATCATACCTGACTTCATTTTTTCTTAGCTGTTCCCAGATAAGGGATGCAAGTTCTTTTGTGATATGTGGCAAATATGGGTCCATGGAACCAGACGTATCAATTAAAACACAGACATTTGCTTCTAAAATGGTACCAAACAATCTTCGGCTTCCTGCACCAGATCATTCAAATGTTGTGTCATTACATAGGCTTATTTTGTTGAACATTAAGATTTTATTGAGCATACAGTAAAACCTTCAGTCTTTAGGAGTTATTCTGGACACACCACTACATAATAAATTCTAACCTGTGTGGAAACTAAGCAGTTCAAGGGTTAGTGATAGAAAAGTTTTCTGCTATTACAAATCTAGTACTATCAAGCATTAATTACTAGCCAATTGTTACAACTTGCATTAAAAATGCATAGCTCCTACTTTGCAACACAGAAAAAAATGAACTAGTTCCTAACAAACATACTTATAAGCAACAGAGGGATCATAATACTTTTCACCAGCAGCGATGCTAAACTTCTAAATATGGCATGTTCTTAGTAAAAGAACCCAAAAAGCTATTTTTTGTATGTACATGATTGTGTTTCTTCTGTTGATGGAAAGCTTCTAACACTACAGACATCTACCTTGTATTCATGAACACAATGTGTAAAAATTAAAATTTTGCATCATAGCCATAATTATTTCACTGCAAGCTGGATGTATATCTACGGCATAGGTGTTGAATTCTCTTATAGTCTTATTTTATTGTCATAAAAATATTTTTTAAAAACAGTTCAACAAAATAATAAGTTAATGATAACAATAAAATAGAACTTAAATTATTTTGATAATAAACTTACTTTTACCTTTACATTTCTTGTGCAATTACAGTGTACAGACCTTTTTTATGATGACTGTCATAAACTGCACTAAAGAACTTGCTAACTTTGGCCTACCCTGTGTTAGATACTTTGTCTTGCCCTGCTCCTAGTGTTGGATACTAAATGCCAAAGACTTCTAGTGCAAAGGAGTCAAGAAGAAATGATTTGCAATTACGACATTAAGTTATTAAACATGTATTAGAAGGTTAAATAATTAGCACCATCATTTATCCTACCACATTTGGGCTTGAGGTTAACAACTCATGTTAAAGGAGGCAGCTGGCATAACTCAAATCTATTGTTTAAAACTGTGTGTCAAGCTCACACTTCATTAATATTTTGTCTACAAACAAAGGCTCACTGTTAAAATATATATTTTTTAAAGAAACAGAAAAATTAGTTTCCAGTGCATAGTTTTAAACTACAAGCAAACAAATGGAATTTTAGAATTATGCAGTTACAAATCACAGAATAGGCACAATAGCTCTTTGAACCTCAAGTTTGAGGTCCACACTTATTCAGACTTAACCTCACAGAAATAGTAGACAAGAAGATTTTATAAATGTTTAAATTCTGTTTTACAATAAAGATGCACAGCACTACCTGACAGAAGCCACTGTATTCTTTGTAGATAGCGTTGCAACACCTTCTCCATTTGTTCAGTGTAGATTTCCAGTTCTTTAGATTGAACCTGCAGATGTTTCACAACCCCCTGGAAAATTCAGTTTGTACAAAAGCATCTTACGTCAACAGGTATGAGCTCTGTGGCTATATATGCAGTATCAGCAACAGAAATCAGGGTGATTAGTTGTTTGCTTTTTTTTTTTTTTTTGTCTTTAACTCTATGAAATAGTGTAAGAAAATTTCTGTGGCTCTGTCACTACTAAATAACTGGTTTACCCAAATTAGGAAAGCCTAGTTCTAATCTCAGCCAGTTGCATCGAGCAACAAAATTATATAACATGGCTGGACAGCTGCTTATGTTGCATTCCTTCTGACATTTTTTGTAGATAAAATAGACCAATAATACCCTGGACTTAACTTGCTATGTTTCTCTGGCAATTGCACAAACCAAACTAATCAATATCCATTAGTTTCCTAGTTTCCACTCTCATGATATTCCAAAGCCTTACGTACAAAGAAATTTTAAAATTATTATTCATGCTGGATGAGCAGAAGAGTTGCCATACATTCCAAAGATCCCATGCAGTTTGCATTTCAAATATACTAAATATTTTTTGTGGTGAACAGAAAGCTAGAGAAAATCTTCTATTAGCAAGGTGGTTTAGAACAAAAAATAACGGAGGAAAGTGGAAAACACACATTACATTCGCATTCCACAAACACTGATTATCATGTACTATCTTTAGCAAATATAAAACATTTCAGCAATGTAGGTATATGACATCTGCAAAACTTACATTGACTTCTACACTAGGGAAGATAGTGCAGTATTTTGCTGATACTTTCTTGTGCAGAGACTCCACAATTTTCTTTCGGTGAGTACAGCTTGGACCAAACATCAGTCTGGGCAATTCCAGTTTAAGTTTTTTAATACTGTACTTAGTCAGCCACTTGTAAGAAAAACAAATGGAGCAATTGTTTTTTTGTAAATATTAAAACTGCTTAAATAACATGTTGTACATAATCACAATTAACACGTTCAAATAATTCATGTTAATAATTCTAAAATGGCTATTTATTGATAAGGAACAAAATACCTCTTTGCTTGAACAGATTTCCTCTTTTTTTGGCAATGTAACAGAGGGAACGCTCTTTCTTGTGCACGTTGTCTTTGGATACTTTCGGTATACTGTACCTAGCAAGAAAATGAACAAAGTAGTATTGGGAACCTTAGGTTACCTCTTCATAGCCCTTCATACATGACTTCATAGCCCTTTTGAAGTTACGTATTGGTAAAACAAAACAAAACAAAAAGCCAAACAAAAAGACACCTACTACCTTCACACACAGTTTTTCATTTTACAAAAACGGAAAGTTTCTATAAAAAAGTGACTTCTAAAGAAGCCATTTAGCTTTAAAAATTACCTTAAAAAGTAAAATCTTATATTCACCTAACTCGTGACATTTTTCCTTAAAACATCTTTGACCAGAAGATCTCAAAGTACTTTACAAAAAACGATTAAAACACTTACTACTACTTGATAAATGAAACTCAATTCCATTCACTATTTAAAGCTCACTGATTATATGCGACTTTGCATCCAAACTGTTTGATAATACAAAGACTGATAATAAAAAGGCTTCACCAATAATATCATGGCAACACATACCCACATTTCTTCCTTTATCAGTATAGAATACTGACACAGAACACTCTGTCTGTTTCCTTGATTTATCTTTTCTTTTATTCTCAGTCTGAGGCCATTTTTTTATTGTTTGTACTACAAATAAAAAAAATACAAATTCTCTTTTAATTTAGCAAAGTGTAAAATTGACATGCAACCCAGTTCTTCAGTTCATAACTTCCTATTGCCACAATTATACATACTTAATTTTCTTAGATACTGGTCAAGAAAAATCCATATTATAGAACTAGTCATGCTCATTTCATACAAATGGAACCGTAATCTTTACGACTTATAAATTAGCATCAGGAGGAATGTCACATGGTATAACCTGAAAAGATTAGGGGCTCAGAAGAAGTATAGTATGTATGAGAAAAGCCAGTCGTCGTTGCACACAGTAGCTCATATGCAAATATGAATCCAGATTTGTAAACACATGCTGTTTAGCAATGAATCAATAGATATCAAGGCCCAAATTTAATGCAAAAATTAAAAACAAAACAAACAACAAGAAAAACACCTCTGCAGATGTTAACAAAGATGCAAAGAACAAAGAGTGGGAAAATTATAAAAATAGGGGAGGAAGGAATTGGACTTTAATTAACCAACAGTGACTAGAATAAATTTAAGAACTGTTCTATACACCAGTAGTAGCTGCAAGAGAGAGCACTGAAGATAACCTGATGTTTGTGTTGGAGTTTTCTTTCATTGCTGGATCATAAAGAGAGCAGCATATTAAGAACAATTAGCTACAACAATATTAACAGAAATATTATATATTGAACTAGTAACATAAATCTCTGAATTGTTGAGACTTTGGTAAGAATGGAGTGTGAATTAAAAACCAAGAGAAGTGATGTTTTAATTGTCTTCGAAGTTATGACAAAAGGGGGGCTCTACTTTCTGCCACACACACATTTCCTGCTACAGGATGAACGTTCAATCAAATAACCTGGAAATAGTTATGTATGTGGGCACTGTTCCTTCCTCTCCCAACCTATATGTAATCTAGATACATTACAACTAAAACTCATACAGAATTATTTCAAAAACAACTCCAATGTCTCCTGTCACTCTGACTACAGATTAAAATTGCTATTAAAATAAAATCTCTCAATTCTAATTTAATACTTTCTTCTAAGCAAAACCCAAACAAACTAAAGACAAAAAGCTCCTAATCCATACAGACCTGGTGGAATTTCTGCTTTTGCACTAGTAGGACGCCATGCCAGTACTCTTATGGAAGAAGATTTCTTTGCACTGTGGTTTTCTTTAATATACTACATAAGCATAGATAATAAAAAATAAAAAGTATTTCAACCATATCATAATTACATAAATTATTCAAAACCGGATCTATCCTTCATAATAATTCTAATTCTTGTTTCATTCTGTCTCTTCTGACTAGTCAGTAGTAATTTATACTCCCAAGTGGTAAGCACTGGCCAGATTTGCCCACTCTCTCAAAACAGATACATACATGTACGCTGTCCAAATTAACGAGGAAAGCATCAGCAAAGCCCAAGGGTCTCAGAAGTAGTATAACTCAATGGAAATAAGCACAGGGAGCAGGAAACAAATCCCAAATCCTATTTCTTGCTTTTTATTACATCTCTGTGTGGTCAAAGACATGCTACTCAACTGCAGCTGTCTCATGTATACATGAACAGGATACCACAAAATTCAGTACTTCCTAGAAGGTCTTGCTAAATAGAAGTAACTTGGTAAAACACATTTCTACTTTGCCTTTGCTTGTATTAAACACTAATTTTTTAAGGTCAGAGGAGGAATTATTTAGATAATTGTAGATACTACAGTATTGTTTAATTACTACAATTCTATTTAATTAGCAGGATTTATTAAGATGTACTTGTCTGTTTATGTAGCACCTTGAATGCAAATTAAAATGTAAATTCAGAGTAGTGTCACTGTACTGTTTTTACTTCCTTCAAATTTTCAGCCTAAGCACTTCTTTGACAAAGACCAGCATGAGCTGGGTAGAGTCACTAATTAAAACAGACTGAATCTTAAAAATGAGACTTTGAAGAATTTCAAACCATTCTAGCCAGGCTCAGAGCTGTGGGTTTTGGAGATAGCAGCTTCTGTGGCTTTCTTTTCTCTTTTGTCACAAGCATGTTTGAGCTTGCTTCTGGTACAAATGGGTTAGCAGACTGATTTCCTGAACGTTGCTTTAAGGATTCCACTAAGAATGCACACTGAAATGGAAGTTCACACTGTTCAGTAATTCATATACATGAAATTTAAGTAAATGACATTTCAAGGACAGACACCCTGTATTTATTATTTTTATAGTAAATAATACAAATAGAAAAAGTACTAATCTGGTAATGCTTAACGCCTCTAACTTCTTTGTACCGTGCTTGCTCAAACACACAGGAGGAAAAACCTCTGTGGTCTGAGCAAACATTCTAATAGAAAATGCAATGCTACATGCATCAAAACCAGAACAAATAGGAGGAAGATGAAACTAATACATTCAACCATTAAACTATAATATCAAATATGTCAAGATCCTATTAAGTATCCATTGACTTTTCTTTAAAAACAGAACCAAACAAACCAACAACAGATTTTTGTCTCAGACTTGCATTCAACAAATTGCTATGACCTCTGGACAGATAATCTCACTGTGTATATCTTTCTCATCACACTTTTATAAGAAACAGCTGTCATAATGCCAGTCTGGCTGCACCGCCTCAGCAAATTTGTTGGATAACTTTAGAAAAAGTACATTTAATATTGAGAGAGGTTGTCTAGTTCTACACCTTTAGTACACTTTTGTGCCAATAACGCAGTAACACTCCCTCTGCTGTGCTTTGTAGGAGTAAATGAACAATTAATTCTACTTGAGAAGAACTCATCACAGGGTTAGCCACAAAGATGAGAATTGCTTCAGTCGTAAACTCCTTGTATTTGCTAGGAAACCACAGACAGTCCAACATCATTCACTGCAGTGCTACTGTATAATTGCTTTCTACTCCATGTTTGTTCTACAGTGACAACTGTCACATTCTAGAGCATTCCTCCCCATCTTACAAGGGTTTTCATTTTGTCCAATCTTCTGCAATGCCAGCTACACAAACACTGTGGATTTTTTTTTCTGAAGAAAAATGGAATTTAAAAAGATATATAATTCATACCTTTTGGGAGTAGTTGTTTGCTTTTTCAATTTCAGACACAATAACAGTGATATCATCACTTTCAAAAATACCTGATAACCAAATATATGCTAATCAGCATTTTTAAATATTATATATATAAAGTATACAACAATTTGTAGAACATGTCAAATATCAATGAAAAGATCCAGAAAGCCTTCTTTTCCGGTAGGTCCAGGCAGTTTGGACCTACTACATTAGTAAACACATTTTAATTGTATACCTTAAAATATCTAGTAGAAAATAGTGAATTTTAATAGAAAAAAAAACAAATTCCTGCATTAATGATTCATTATAATATTCTGCAAGACAGCTAAAAGCCTTAATCAAACTAAGACCTGTTTATATCTCAATACTAGTGTAGTATTATCACATCCTAAAAACTAAACAACTTGTTTGGGGGAAAATACATTAATGTATATTATTTGCTTAATGAAAAAGAACTAAGTGCTGGCTTTCTTTTTCACATACCTGCTTCTCCAAACCAATGAAATCTCCCATTGGCTGCATGTACTATTTCTTTAAAAGCGATGGCAGTTTCAGTTGGGTTAGCATAGCGGGCTGGAATAATCCCACTGGAGTCAACATCTTCCATTACACTGAACAGACAGACATGAAGCTGCAAATCAAAACCTCTGCAAGCCTCAGCCACATAGGTACTGATTAAGTGCTGCAAAGAAAAAAAAAAAAAAAAATCAGTAGCAACCCTGTACCTCAGATGAGCTTCCATCTATTCCACTGTTTTCTGAACTGGTGAACAAACAGTGCCCAGCATGTGCAATTCAGTGCAGGAATACACCCTGAGTAGCTGAATGCATCCTTAAATCATGTATATACACAAAAGCTAATGCTGTTATTACTAGTGACAACACCAACCAAGAATTGAGTTGGGGTAGTTATAAGAATCAAAACCACAAGGTGATGGTCTTCAAGCTACCCATGCACTGTAGCAAAGAAGTAGGGATGGAAATTATTCATTTGGACTTTCTGTATGCATCTGTCATTCTCTTGTTTTCTACGTAGGCTTTTAACAATTTCTTGGGTTTGCCCAGAATTTCCAGAAGTTTAATAACAAAGTCAAGACAGGCCTACGGTACACACACAGTTAAGCCAATTAGACTACTCTGAGTTCGGAAGTTCTAAGCAGTGCAAGTGGCTCAACAGCAACAGAGCACACACACTGTGAAAATACAACCAAACAGCTGACTACTGTTATTAAAAATAGAAGCTGTTTCTATATAGTATACGATGAAATTTCACTGTAAAATTATCTGTGGCTTTTATATCATTATATCATAAGGAAATGATATAATACAAAAACCTGAGTGGGCTTCTTCAAATTAAGAAATATGCAGTGAAATGATAGCCACAGCTGGAGTGAGACAAAGAGCTTAACAACACTTCTAGAGTTTTCTGATTCACATACTATTAATAATTACTACCTCCAACACATAAATAGTGACTGCAGAAAGAAGGGTCTGAGATACCAACATTTGTGCTGGCTTAGATAAGTAAAGGAGAAGTATTCCACCAACAAGCTATAATAAGTGACCAAAAGAAAAAAAAAAAAAAGATAAATACAGTTGAGATTAATTCTGATAGGAACTTTCAGAAGAGCTGTAAAACCTGTGATGATACTCACTGTTTCCTGATCAGGTATTCCAGTAGTCAAGAGGTAAAGTCCTTGTGATTTGTGTTTATCTTTATATTTGAAGTCTACTTCAACAGCTTGCCTGAGAGCACTCATGAAATTTCTACTCCCTCTGCATTGCAAGCTCAACACCCACCTAAGAATAAGTTTACAGTTCGAAGAATTAATCTAGAAAAGCTTTTGTTTCTGCATAAAGCAGTAAGAAAACTAAGAATCTTTACTAACACTGCTCTGGAGTCTGAAATTTTTGACAATGACATCCAGTAAAACCAGATTATACAAGGATCCAAATCACTTGTTCTAGTTTCTGTATTGCAACCATGACAAAGTAGTTTTTAAGATAAGATTCGAAGCACAGAGATGAAGACAAAATGTAAGAGCAGAACTGACAGGAATAAAAGAAAACCACAGATGTATAATGAAACCACTGAAGATATAATTCCACAGAGAAATGTGGGATTTGGTTCCAGTGTATGAGGGGAAAAACATGGTTTAAATTCCAGATCTCAACTGAATTTGAAATAGTTTTAAATTCTTCATGTAACCTGTGCATTTCTTAAAAACTTCTCTAGTCACGTACATACGTATTCTGGATACACATGAAATACAAAGTCACTAGGACATACTGAACTTTATGACACTGCTTTCACAACAAACCATCATAAACAATCACTGTAGAACAGTTCATGTCAAATTATTTTTGTGATATGGTAAACATAACAATTTTCTAAACTGTTTGCAATACCAGTTAATTATGTTTCTCTGTTACGTCTGTTTTATGATATCTATGTTCACTTAATTCAGAAGTATAAGAAAGTTATTTCATCCTACCTCCAAGCTTTTTGTAAGTTTTCTGGTTGAGAAGGAACTAGTTCCAGCTGCCAAGGCACAATGTCACTCCCAAATCTTTTACAGAAATATAATAGCAATTAATTTTCATAGAACAAAGAAAAGGATTGAATGAATTCTTTAAAAAAAAAAAATAATGGTTTGGGTTATTAAGAGGTAAAATTTTCTGTTTCAAATCATTTAGTTATTCCAATTTATCCATCACTCAGGGGTTGTCAGAATTTCAAAGCAGCAGGCCAGATTCATTTTTCTTTCTTGAACAGGATGCTAATGAGCTAGTAAAAGTTCAGCAGAAGACAGAAAGGCTTGCAATTAAAAAAAAAAAAAAAAAGAACACCCACAAAACCAAACACCCTCAATACCCCAAACCAGTAACACTGAGATGCTGCCTTCATGACTCTGCTCTCCTCTCCTACCAAATTTGGAACTCCACAAGTTATTGTCTCTCTTTTGCCTGTTATTCAGGAACCTGCCCAGCTGCTGTTCAGCAGTTGTGCCATGTATTTCTCACTACCAACATGAGTATGGATTTTTAGTACTATTAACAGTAAAGAAGTGTTGGAGTTACTATAAAATTTAAAGGGCACTCTCAGTAATACTGAGACACTTCCAAAACCCTCATCTAGTAAAAGTTTCTGCCATGTGAATTGATACTGTTGTTACGAACAAAATAACAGAAAGAGAATTTGATTCAATCAGTTTCAGTGCCCCTCCCCCCCCCTGCAAATGATTTTTAATTACTAATTTGGTCTCTACATCTGGTCCATAAATCTATTCAATAAAGTTATATCAGTGTTCCTCTTGCAATTACTTCATCATAAAATCTGAAATACTACCAGTAATCTAAAACATGCCCATTAGTAACTAGTCTATCAGCATCCTTCTCTCATTGCAAAGTTAAAAGTATTTTAAAAGATAGTCTTAAGTAGCTGCTTACGCTATAATATTGAAGTAATCCTTATCTGACATTTGTTCCTCAAGTAAAAGTCGCAAATAATGTTGGATATGGATGATGTACATAGAGTTTGTCGCTGATATATCAACAAGTATAACCACCCTGTGTAAGAAACATGTTATTTGTCAAAAGAACTTAATTACATTTTTTAAATCTTCACTGCACTCTTTAGCTCACCAAGAAAAGCATCTTCTAGCTATGTATAAAAATAAAGACAATCTATATAAGAAAAAATAACCTGCAGAACATCAGGTGAGTTTTTTTTTTTAAACAATAACAAAAAAATCTGTCTTCCTTAAGCTGTACAGTAATCAGGGTACTGGCACATGTAGTGCTATATTGGCTGTTGAACCCTGAACAGCTCCTCTTTCTTCTCTGTACTTGAATATCCAGAACATGGCTGAAACATGTGGGTGTTATCCAACAAGAAGAGTTGTTGGATAGTTCATTTTTCTTTCTCCAACCATCATTCAACAAACATATAATATCATTCCAAAGATAAATGGAATGTTTTCTCCCAGTAAGTCCATGATAGACAGGCTGCTCAGGTATCGACTGATTGATGTTATCTGGTAAGCGTTACCTATTTTGAAGAAAAGTATTAATGATGATCACCTTCAGTATGGTCACATATGAGATTGTGCTTGTAAACACAATGCAGGATGGTCAGTGTTAACGGACAGGGGATACCTTGGGAGCAGTGGTTATGAAAAGAATCGCAGATGTGATAGACAGTCAGTGGGACAAGAGTTCCCAACACAACACAATCATCAGATGGACCAGAAGGGCTAATTCAGTCCTTAATGAATGAATGAGGAGATCTCTAGTAACAGAGGCCTCAGCTATCTTGTCTGAAATTTCATATTCAAAGTTTGTAAACCAAACAATAAGAGCATTTATGCAACTGATGTTGGATGGGAGACCTCTGGTAAAGACTCAGACACAATGTAAATAAATGTTGTTATTATTATTGAGGATGATCCTCAAACAAAGTTAGGTACAGATCTCAAAACAAATTCAGAGAAAACTTTTTTTTTTTTTTAATTGGTATATCTACACTGACATTTGTCATCTGGCACTTGAATGCACCTTACTAAGTGGTGGAGGCAGAAGGTAGTTGGTAAGTTGAAATTCATTTTCTGATAAGAATCCATAAGAGGATGTGAAGAAATACTCTGGTATAAATACTAATAGCATGGTTTGAAACCTGATGTAAACACTACATTTGTCCAGAAACAGCAGTTTCTGTTTGTACATGTATGTGATTTAAGACAGAAGATGTCCCTAGATAACTCAAATTTAAGAGCCTCATCCTGTTTCTTGGAAATTGCACAGTTTTCTTAACTGACAATCATTAGATTCAGTAAATTCACTACATTATTAAATACAAGAGTATCAGCATCAGTTGTCAAACATGGATTGCTTGCACTGGTTGTATCTGCAATTACCACTTCTGCATATGATTTTTTTCTGCCCTGCATTCCTGAGTGCTCACTTACACAAAAAGGAAAGGTTGACAAATGAGAATTATCACCAATATACAGAATACAACTGTCAGAATACCATACCTCTTTTCATAAACATTTCCCCATATTCTTCTGCTAGCAACGGACAGCCAGTCGATTTGTTTTTCATAGATTCTTACCATTTTGGCAAGGAGTTTCTATGAATAAATATAGAAAGCTTACAATTTCTTCAACAGCATTTTAAGTAGTTTGTTAACAGATCATTTCAACTAAAAACATATAATTCTTTAACACAATATCAATTTGAAGACATTAGGGCAGTTTAACCAAACTCTACAGAGTATATGACCTTTTCAAGCATATGCATGCACTACATGCATGAGGTCAAATCAATCTAGAAAAGGACATGAAATTCAGAAAACAACTACAACATAGCACTGTTTTGGTGCACAAAATACGAATATCTACCAGTAATCAAAAAATCAGATGCTGTTTTCATGTCAGCCAGTTAGACTTTACAGTCAGACCACAAAATGGAGTTCTACAAATTTCTTATCCCTCCTCTATTTTAAAGGAATATTTGTCCTGCCTGGCAGCATTCTCATAGCCCTTCCTCAGCAGAGTAGTATGGAAGAGAGCAAAGAGAAAAGAACAAACCACTATATAACATCTTGACTACCAATATCCCCAGGCAGCTTCTATTTCATTAAACTTCTACTCTCTGGTACTCTGCATTCTTACCAAGGAGGAAATGCTCAAGAATCACTACTGCCTGTAAGAATTCCATCTGCCTTCACTGTGTTACCTGTATATATAATCTCCACTTCTTCCACACTCACAGGAGTACTCAAAGATCTTCAATATCCCATGCAGTGTAAAAGTTCTCCTGGCATGACAGTAGTTTTAAGACTACCTATACAGTAATATCGTCAGTGGCAAATATCTAAAAATCCTAATCTAAATCTAAAACTCCCTAACCTAATAATGTTCTTAATTCATATACAAGCTTGAACAGAAAACTCTAGTAATGGCCTTGGTATCCTCTTGAAGAAAGTCTGACAACTGCCAACCAGGCTGAAGGCAAATGCAAAACTGGATAAGTTTGTGCAGCCAGTTCAGAAACTTAAGGTGAATGTGAGGGATGTCGGAAAACAATGTGCAATGCAGCTGGAAGGAGGCAGAAGGAAAAAAGTAAGAAGACATGTTAGAGCATTGTCTTAGACATCAATCTTAATCTGTTCTTCAGACTGAACAGAATTCCAGTTGTGCTTAACACAAATGAAGAACACCTTTTGGAATAAAGAGCTGCTCTAACCTGAGGCAACGCAATCAGTAATTAAATCTTTGGTGTCATTCTAGAGGGAAGCTTTAGAAGAGAGCTTCACAAACAGTGCTGTAGATGGTGTTGCTGGTGAATTCAATAAGAACAGGGAAATTCCTGATTAAATCTTGTTTGCTGCTATAAATGCCTTTGTGCATAATCTTTCATACCATGCAACAACTTTTATTTCATGTAACAATCATCCACACTTGCTGCTACAGTACTTCCTAAAATGCTCTTCTTGTATGCCTCGAGTCCTTCTTGGCCTAGCCAGTAACAATTAGCCATTCTTTTTCATAAGACTTGTTTGACCTCCAAAGAGAGAAAATAGAAATTTATTTTTTAATGATTAAACTAAGATAAAATGGGATAGTTTTGTTAAAGCAAGGAAGAGTCCTCTATTCCACTATATCCTTTCAATGTACAGGTTAAAAGATTCATATATATGGTATGGGTAAAATAACGTAAATACACCCTTATACACAAATCACAAAATGCACGTTGCTATATTTATGAGCAATAAATAAATTATGAGATCACTGATGAACTTCTTCTCTCACTTACCCTTCTTCCTCACTACCACATCAAGCTAGGTCCCAAATCCAGCCAGATGGCTGCAGACTTGCATGGACAGCTGTCTGCATGTGAATCCCTGCAGTACTTATGTAACATGAAAATTCACATGAAATAATTAGATAGTAATCCAGCCCTGATGAAGCCATGTCACTACAGACAACTCACCTGATAGTTGTATAATACTGGCAGGTCAACATGGATATTTTTCATAGTTCCATCATGCCATTCAAACTGCATCATCACTTTCTAGAAAGATAAATAATATTTTACGTGTTTACAGAAACCTATAGGCTGCACTAGCATGGAATTCCTTCCTGGGTTATTTTTGAGAATAATATAAGCATCTGGTTTGAATACACAACTCCAATTTCAGTTAAAGCCTGCAGGATTTCATTATCTCATAAAGCACCAATTTAGTTGGAAAAATGTAGCAGTACAAAGAAAAAAAAAAAAAAGAAGAAGAAACAGGTCCCCATCACTTGCCTCATGCAGAGTTGATGATACTGTTTTTTGAAGAATTGGTACAAATTCTTCCACAGGAGAGAAAGCATTGGGAGCCAAAACTTGATAAAGGTTTAACTTCTTAGCTACAGCAAGGAACAAAGACATTAAATAAAACATGTTTTCCATCTTTAATTCCTGTTTCATACCTGTTAAGCTTTCCTTTCTGTGCTACCTTTCAATCCATTTGTCTTTAACCAGTCTGTTGAAGTTTTGGCCAGGAAGCATGGTGTTTGAATAACTAATGGTCCTTCATGCTTTGGAGGCTTTGGTAGGAAGCTGGAAGTTGCTGTATTTGCAAATTCTGTGGAAACCTAAAATGGATTTTAAGAAAAACACAAGTTTTAGTATACTTTTTTCTCCACCTTAATACTAAATATCCAGCATAGAATATTTGTTTTACTTATGCTCACTGGAGTGCTGAGATTTCAATAATCAAAATACTTCAAAAATTGCTACCATTGGTTCTCCAACAAATAGGTTTTGTGGAACAGTGCTCCATTAAATTGACTGTATTGGCCACAATGCAAAAATCCGCAGAGGAAATGAAAACATCATGGTCATATGTACTGGCTGGAAAACAGCCAGTTGTTTCTCTAAGACAAGGCAGAAAAAGATCTTCATTATACACACACCAAATCATTCTCCGTTTCCTACTCGTCCAAGCATAGAGTCAAAATGAAACACATTCTACTTCCATTCACACCAATGGAAACAAGTCAACAAACTCCTGTGAGGCATTAGAACTCTTACTTAAAAATGGGTAAGAGACCTTGCTTTTATGAGTGGATGGAAGTTTGTGGAGATGCTTTTTCATACATAAGGCTTGACTAGTAAGTTTCTGAAATGATGTGCTTTTATTTGGGGATATAGGACCTTCTAAGTTTTTTCTAGATAACTTCTGTTCCCTGTTTAGTCTATATGGTCTTTAGTAATCATGAGGTTGGAAGAGAGATAAGTCTATGCACTTTCACTATATACACCCAAAAGGCAGGATGAGAGGGAACAGAGCTAGAAATATTATTCACAGATGACAAGTATGCCTCCAACCTGGAATGTCTCAGGTGGGGTGACCAGACATACAAGGGCACCTGATGGAAAATTTCACTCCCTATTTAAAAGCAAACGTCCACTTCACACAATTGCTTTCACACAGTAGTGACAGAGTAGTGACAGAGACTATTTTGTTGATATAAAAATTCCTCCACAGCCATAGATTTGTAGAACAGTGCTGCAAAATTTTTAGCATGAAAGATTGTCAATCATATGTGAACTCAGCAAATTTATAAAATTCGAGGCTTATGGATGTGCAGAGATGAGAGTAAGGTGAAAGAGAGATGCATATTTCCATTTAAGACCATCTGCACAGGGTCAAAGAAAAATACAAATAAATAACCTATCAAAACAAAGCAGAACTAGAAATTCTCCAAACACTCCATAAAAAGAGGAAAAATCACAGGAGATTCTTTTACTTTCTCATCCAAAGTTCATCAAGAGCACTTTGAATTTATTTTATTGAAGAAAAGACATTTTGGAGAACATCTAGCAAAATGTCTCCTTTGCTAGTTTTAGCCTTATTTTGCTCTTCCAATGGATGGCCAAAATATAATATCCAGGCTTTACTTATCACAATATCCAAGTAATCACATTCATTTTTTTTTTATATTGTGAATGCTAAGAAATTCTACCTCTAATACTTCAAAGTACATTTGAAAACAAAATATATACACGTACATCTGCTATTCTACTGGTAAGTGAGCCACCAATTCGCCTTTGAAAATTTTGTTTGATACTCTTGAGCAGATCCTTAGCCTTCTGGCATTCTTGAAGTAGCAGATAAAGATCACTACTATCAGAAATCTGTATATATGAAAAAAAGGGGGAGAAAATAAGTTAACTGCTATTCAAATACCAGCTAAGCACAGCTTTCTTATTTGATGGATATGCATTCATATAAGACTGCCTGGCATTGCAGAACAGAACATAAATGTACCCAACACACTACATATAGAAGTTATTCAAAAAAATATATCATTTGATTATTGTTTTGAGTCAGTGTACAATAAATTCATCACTAGTTTCATCTTACTCATCAGCTTTGAGTCAGTGAGAAATATTTGCAATTTACAAAAACATTTTCAGTCACAGGAAGAATTAACCACAGGTTTATTGACCACATCCTCAGCACTTGTCAGACCAAGAATTTTAGAACCAGGTATTGCTATAAACTTCTATGCAGATGATAAGTAGTTTACCTTCTAAGAGTAAAGAATCATCAAATAGATGGGAGAAAAATCCTTTGCCTCTCTGGCTGTCACCTACCTCCCCCTTTGAAGAGTAGCAATGATAACGGACTCTTACAAGTTCTGCAAGGTTCTTTAGAACTGCCTACATATATAAATAGGAAGAAAAATAATTACTCCAATTTTGTAATCTCTTTTGATAACGTGGGTTGTTAGTATTCAATTCTCAACTAGAGATAGAGAAGAAATCTTTTAAGATACACGTAGCGAGAAAGCCAAAGAAGTAAGATGTTTCCATTGTTTTTTAAAATAGGAGACGTTTTCACTTCTACTTTAAGAGCATGGCTGAAAAAACTCAGTAAAGACATTTACAAAACAGGTAATAAGGGGCAATTTCATTCAGTGTGTTTATTTATAAGTTTATTCGTTGCATTAAAATGCCAGTTACTTCCTGTGAAGGCAGGCTTGTGCTAGTCAGATCAAAAGTATATCACTGAAGTCAAGAAGTATAAATATTAGGCTCTGCTTCCCCTGCCCACATTTACTTCTAAATCGTATGCTGTTTTTTCACATCGTGGTTTTGTATGAACCAAGATGAATAAACAGATGCTCCAAACAAGTTACTTCATTTGTGCAAATCTGCTCTAAAGAAAATACAACTCTACATCAGGAAGTCTTTAATGAGTAGTTTAGCATCTCCACAAAGTATATGAGAGAAGACATTGCAGCTGGATAGGAAATAAATGAAAGGACACTGGAGGAAGTGAGTATCAACACAATTACTTACGAGAGCAGCAGGACTGCTGCAATCATATATAACAACATGAGCCAGAAGTTTTCTCCCCAGCATACATTGCTGAGCATAGTCAGCCAGTATTTCCAAAGGCTGATCAGTGCTGATGTTGATAAATAAATAAACAAGGAGGAAAAAAAGAAAAAGATCTTAGCAATGACAGCAATCAAACAGGGTGGGGGGAAAGGCCATACTGTAGAAGAAATGGAAGACAACAGTAAGGAGAAAGAAATTTGACCTCCCCTTCCTCTTTCAACAATTACTGAGGTACAACTACTGGAGTTTGAGTCTGTCCTGAAAATCTGAATGTTAATAAGAGCACTAGGATTCTGTTTTGCTTCATAATGACCTGTGGATGAAGTGAGTTCTAAGTTGTTCAAGCCATGGAAGCTAAAAATCAGGAATTATGTTTTTGCCCCTTCAAAAAACTTCAATAGAAAAGTCTTCAACACAGATGTTCAAGTGTATTTACTTAAGTGTATGTCCACTGCTTTCCAAAGGCACCAAATAAAGCAAAACTTTGCTTTGTGATTAGAATTTACTGACCCCCACAGCTTTCATTCCTGGAATTTTGGTGGCTCTCCATGGCTCATAAAAGGCTTTCCTTCCAGCTACATTTCTGCCAGGGACAGAAATTACTGAAATTTTCACTTGTACATACTATAAACTTCTGCTTTTTGTTCAAAGTAGACCCAAGCTAAACTTGGAACCTTTTAAATGAGCACTTTGTATTCAGTAAATTAGCTGAAATGTAATCTCAATAAACTCTTAAATATCCAACTTGCCAAGCTTACACCATCCCTTTTTTGCACTTTTAAAATAAATACAATATATAAATACAGAGTACAGTAAAAATCCCAGAGCCCTTACTGCAGCCTTTTTCTTGTATCATGGTTCCAGTACGGCAAGTTTTCAAATTACAACAGTAGAACTGAAGAATCCAGTCCATAATTTATCTAATCTCAGCAGGGCTTGTTGACTGGTTTCTTGTAATCAACCACACATTTCAAGTTCTCCACCAGCACCACTAAGACCACAGAGTGAAGACTACCTTCCAAAGTTTAATGCTAATTTACAGCAAAATCTAGCTACTCATCTAATCTTCCCAGAAATGTGGACCCTTTCAGTGAGATCCACTGAAGAATTTTTATTGATGTAACACTAGAGCTAACAGACTCTCGGAAGATTACTGCATTAGCTGATCTGCAAATGAAAACAGTAACTTTATAGTAGAAGAGATCAGATTTATAAATAGCAAAAGTGGGAAGAATTATTAAAGAAATTCAGTGGTACCAACTTAAAAGATGTAAGACTTGAAACTTAAATTTTCTATTTATTTTTGTATCAAGTTCATATTCTTGTACCGATTCTGTTAAAACTGGTTGTTAGAACAAATAATGGACTTACCAGCTTCCTACAATAATAACCAGAGAATTCAGCTTTTTCATTGTAAAGACATGTTTTAAGGCTTTCAGTAAATTGCAGCCTCCACCAGGGGCCAGCTGCTGTACCCACTGTCTTGCTTCATGTAGCCTATAGGAGAGAAAAAAAAAAAGAATATGCACACTCTATCTGCAGATACTGAATAAAATGGACCATAAAGATTACTATAAACCAGAGGGGCTGCTAAGATATTTTATATATGAACAATCAGTGTGAAATCACCAACTGCACTTAAAATTCATTTTTTTTCCCTCTTACGAATCACAACAGGCACAAGATGATGCCTGTTAATTATTATCTCCAGGAGATTGCTTTAATTACACAAAGACATTGTCTGAAACACCTTTATTTTATAGAGAAAGTAAATTACTTACACATGAACATTGATGGTTTTTGGACTCTCCCACAGAGGTGAAATTTCTGTACCAAATGAGAGGCAATACAATTGCTTCTTATAACACAGCTGTTCATCTATTAAACACTAATGAATACAAAGTTTATTAATACTTTACTATCCATGCTGCTACTAGTAGTTATTATGTAAAAGAATAAAAACAGAAATTTACTAAGAGTAGTTGCAGCAATGTTTTCAGCTCCCACAGAGAAAAGCTTCTAAAGGAAGTCATACAGATTAAAGTATTTCCTAAGGAGTACTCAAACAAAACCTGCAAACTTTTGATAAACTAGCCAATTTGTTAATGAAGGCAGGGAATACTTGTTCTACTGGTATTTTTTTCTCTTCAGTTGATGTCCATATAAAATAGAACATACTGATCTAGAAGGGGCATGCTCACCCACCAATAAATTACAGAAAATGTTGAATATAATATATTCATGGATAGGGCTAAACAACAGATCAGGCATTAGGGCTAAGCCAACAAATTTGAGTTTTCTTAAAGCAGCTTTATTTAAAATGCACAAGTGAAAAATGCAGAAAATACAAATCAATTTTAAATAATTTCTGATTGCAGTAAATGAAGTTCTACAGACAAAGTTTCAAAATTAGAGTAAAACAGCTACATGATACATTCCTTACTGTAAAACATTTATAAAAGAAAAAGGCACAATAAAGGATAAGTTTGTTTGGGGACTTTGGGAAGCAATTAACTCACCAAATTTTTGACCAAAATTGTGATGTGCATCTTGTTTCGACAAAACATACAGGCATAAAAAACCTACATTTAATATACATAGCTTTGTGTACATCTTGGTTCTCACTCTGAAGTTGTTTCTGTTAGTCAAGTTTAGAATGTTAGAGAATGCTGGTACAAGCACTGAGAAACTTATAAAAATTGATATTATTACAGTAGGCAATGTCTAGATCCAAACAAACTCCAGTAACAAAACCTGTAATTCCAAAGACATTTAAAAAATACTTCTTACTACAGAAAAGTTCCACTGTATTGTACTCTATGAATTCAAGCAGATTTTTCCTCCCCTTAGTTCTTTACCTGTAGTTATTCCGAGGCTTGATTATTATGTTACTATAGCCAAAGTCTGCTTTGCTATTACTTACCAAAAGGTCTTTCTGAAAATCCAGTAGTCGAGGTTTGTAGTTCATATCAGACACATCAACCACAAGTCCAACTTTGGTACCTTTTACAAGGCCAAACACCTTCAACAAGAAAAGTCACTGTAAACATTAAGCTTACCTAAAGTTCAAAAATGTTTCTGTTTGTTCTGTACAACGCCATGGTAAATTCAAATACTACATATTTACTTTCAGTTTAGGCTCTCTAGCACAAAAATGAGACAGTGACAAAGACAAGAAAACAGGAGAGTACTACTGCCTCACAGTTTATCCTTATCATTGAGTCACATTGCCTCCCTTCCAAGACAACGTATTCATCATTTGGGACTATAAAATCACGACTTCGTGTATAGCTTCTTGGTCAGGTTAAATCAAGCCATGTTGTGGAAGCTGAATTTTGGGATGCTGCTCATTTCCCTGTCCTCTCTGAGAGGGAGTTATGTCTTTACCCATTTTTGACCATTAGCACTGCTAGGCACAGTAAGTGATTAACCAGCAACAGAGGGCCCGCTTGACTGAAAGACAGCTGCGTTCCAGTCAGAAGTTAAGCTCCCCTTTGTCTGCTACTGTTTAAGTGGCACTGAGAGGCCCTGATTAAGATTGCTAAAAAAAAGATCAAATCTAGAAAGCAAAAAACTCACATACCAATGAAAGATCACCAAAAGTAATAAATTGTCAAGATAAGGAGCGCTGCATATAACGTGAACCAGTAAATAATGAAAATACATAACCTTTCTGGAGGCCACTTTTTACCAGCATTCAAAGGTTAATTTATTCTTTAATACTATAAAGAGTTCCCTTCTAAAAATATCCTGCAAAGTTAAAGTTACCTTTCTGCTGTCCTTCAACAGCCACTGAATTCGCTGCTGATAAAGTTCAATCACCCTGACAAAAGGCATAGCACAGCTTTAGCCAAGACATTTTTTTGCATTCTGTATCAATGTAATATTGCACAATTTGTCTTTATCATGTCTTTTTCTTGCAGATGCAAAATCACGTTTTAAAAATACCGTTTTCAGCATTTATATAAATAGTGGTTGCAGGGCTAACCATTTAAATACCTCTTCCCCTTAAAGTGTTTAATTGACTAACTAGCTGGCTGAAAAAATGGATCACTGACATGTTTTCTTATCAGTTTTATTATTTATTTATTTATTTATTTTTCTACTGAGAGGAAGGAGAGGCATGTTCACCATGTGTATGCATGAAGAAAAAAAAGTTCAGGCAAAACTGAGCTAGTTCATCACACATAGCTTATTGCCAGGATATATATTTAATGTAAACTACACAATTGTTTAAATGGTTTAAGACACTCATGAAATACAACTTTGTGATTGGAAGGCAGCACATTCACTGAAGTTCTGGACTAGTTGCAGCACAACTTTCAACCATTTAATTTTAAAATAGGTATAAACTGAGGTAAAACAAAATACTTGCTGTCCCCAAACATTGCTTTATGTTAACCAACTTATTTTTAACACCCAGTGCTTTGTTTTTACAACTTGGAGAATAAAAGGTTTTAATCAGCACTTCAAAGTAGGAAAAAATCTTTGCCTTGAAACATGAAAGCTACTTTTTTTAACCAGATTAGCTGAGACTTTGTTTAGATGGCAGAGTACTAAAAAGGAACCTTCTAAGATTCTGGATCTTCGTGACTGACATAGTGAGGTATGCTGAAGTAATGGCACTTCTAGGAACAGTCTAACAAATATTGTGAAGACCACAAAAATTATTACTGTACAGGTTATTGAACCTATTCATTAAATGTCTTCCTCAGTTTAAGTTTTCTTCATTTTATACACTTAAAATTCATTTGGTAGTTAACAGTTTTCTATATATCTGCTATACAGGCTTTTTCCCCCCTGGTTCCAATTCAAACTACTTTCAACATTCCATTCCTTGAACAGAAAACCGAGCAATACTGCCTTTTGTAACTGGACACATGATTTGAAACTACTGTAAGTTGCAATAAACACAACTCACATATATTAGTATTACCTGCAAAAAACACAATTCATTATCTGCCTTACAAAAATCAGCTTACTGCTTCATTTCAAAACTTGGTTGATAGGCATCTTCCCCCTCTCAAATAAAAAACCTCAGCTATACTGACACGTAATCATCGCCTGCCTTGAATCTCAACAGAAAGGATTTAATATTGATTTAATTCACAGAGATAACAAATTAGGATTGAAGAAAGCATCTGTAAACACCTAAAGAAGGACAGGGATATGGTATCAGTTAGTATCAAAATTATCAACAAGATCAAAACTTACTCAGAAAGTCTGGACTCAAAATCGGTAACAGTCTCCTCTGTAAACTCTACCTCTTCAACACCGTTTCTTGAATCCCTGGAACACTATGCATAATTAGCATCAGAGACACACACAAATCAGGACTAATTAAAGGGCAACATTATACTTACGAAATAACATTGCCTTCTTTCATCAGATGTTCTAATGTTAATTTCAAGGATTCTAAACTGTAGTTTCTTAGCCATTCTTCTGTGGTTTGTACCTTTTCTGACTGTATTTTCTTCATTTCTACTTTCTATAGATCAATTAAGAAAAAAATAAATGCAGTATAAAAAATGAAACGTGCTGTTCAAATGCAACTAACATCTAAGTCCCAAGGATGTCTGCTGTGAGGCTGTACATATTCAAAAACAATGTAATTTTAGGTACTGCTACGTAGCTACATTCAACAACCAGTAAATTTTAGGACAGGGGATAGAAAAAAATACTCTGCAATTGTGATAGACCTACTATTGTATTTGTATGAAATGTACACTAAGAAAAATAGTGCTGGAAAGCTCAGTATTATCAGCATGACTGAATCAACATAGTCCAATATAACACAGTTAGTACACTATCTTGAATTTGAGATACAAAGTAAAAAAAGGTTTCAGAATACTCCAGATAGAGAGCTAAAGGAAAGAGCTTAGTTTGGAGGAGGTAAGAAGGAAGACGACAAATAGTTCAGTAAAAGAAATAAAAGAATATATCCCTGTGATTAACAAGAAAGGGAGAAAAATTAAGCATATCCAACATTTGCCTCACAGATTCTGAAGGGGTATATACTGTCTTCCATTTTTCTAAAGAGAAACACAGCAGCAATTTCCAATTTACTTTTATAATTTTGCCTGACCTGTTCACTTACTGATTTATCTCTGCAGAAAAACTTGATGCGGATTCATGACTTTTGTGATTTTATCTATCACATTATCTGTATATATATGCCAATATATTTAAGGAGACTTATCAGTTGTATGTCAGCTTATTTATTCCACACTCTGTATTTACAGTGTGTGTGTTACTTCTCTAGTTGCTCCATTTAGCATGAAAACTTGCCTACCAGGAGATCTTGTGTCTCGTTAATATGCATTACCAGCAATCCGTTATCCGGTCCTAGATCAGACAGAGTAAAATCTTGCCATGGTGGATGATCACTCTGTACACTGGATTTTGTGGTCACACTACAAGACAATGAATTTTATGGGATGACTTAATTGCCAATAATATTCCTGTACTGTCGCATGGTTTAAAGTTTTTAATGTGGGAAGTGTTTTTATATTTTGCCATTTGTTTACACACTCCATTTGATATCTGATAAGTGTTTTGGAGGGACATATTGCATAGTTTATACAAGCTACAGTTATTCACTTTATATATACTTCTGAAGTCCCAATAGAATTTTGTAACAGTACCCTTACCCGACTTTTTCCAAAAACTGATCATTGTCCAGCAATTGTGCCATTTTCCTGACATGTGTATCCATTATATGAACAGACTTAGCCTTCAAAAAAAAAAAAAAAAAGTGACAAGTGACAGTATTACAGCAAACTGCTTAAAATATACTATTCACAAAAGCACTAAAATTGACATCAACTTTTATATGATAATTACATTGCATGTAGGACAACAGAAAATTAAAAAGCAGTTGCAAAGAGGAATTACAATTATCCATCTATAGAAAATGCATTTAGAAATTACTATGGAATAGTTATTTGTTCAGGGGCTTTATGAAGCTAATTATATAAATGCACAGCCGCTGGGAGATAAGCGACAGAGCTCAAGCAGAAAAAAATTACCAAAAGCAAAAGCCAGGGCTCTGCGGGTGAGCGTGAGCTGCAGGGACAAGGGGCAAGGAGCAGGCCGTGAGGCACAGAGGTGAGTTGGGGGGGGGGGGGGTTAGGTTGACAAAACCGGCACAGGACGGTTACAGAACCACCATCATAAAACCATCTAGGCTGGAAGAGGTCTTCACATGATCACCAAGTCCAACCATCAGTCTGACCTGTTGAGTCCTATCGCCGTTCCTTCACTTCACCGGGCTCTTCCAGCTCGCCCTGTCCCATCAGGTTCCAGAGAGCCCCCTCCCCAACACCTCTCACCACAGGCGGGAGAAAGACCCCCTCAGCGCCCTCACCTGCCCGTTCCCTCCAGCGCCTCCCCTCCCCTCACGGGGAAGGCTCCCCAGCCCCTTATCCCTCCTCCGCACCCCCGGACAGCCCGCATCCCCTCCACGCCGCAGCCAAGAACCCCCCGCGCCCCCACAGCAGCGGCACTCCGAGGCGCCTCCCGGCCCTCACCCGCCTGTTTCTCCGTGAGGCTCAGGTGCCGACGGCGTGTAGCAGCCGGGAGCAGCCGCCCCCCGGCCCCGGCGGCAGCTCCGCGTTACGGCGTTGCCTGTGGAGACGGGGCGGGCCTGGCGGGGCCGCTGCCGGCCGCCAGAGGGCGGCGATGGGCGGGAAGCGCCCGCGTGTGAGGGGAAGGCACCCGCGCGCGAGGCGCCCGTTCCAGTCAGGGCAGCCAGGGCCGATGGCTTTAGTAGACAATTTATTTTGATAAACTTGCTCAATAACAAAAATACAAGTGAAGAAAATTATGTTCATTTTATACAGTTTGTATTAACATTTGTTCAGAGACCATTAATTGGAAAAAAAATAAGTGTTCTAACCGATTAGAAAACAATCCTCGGTAAGGGTGGTGCGGGGTGGACGGAGGACTCAGACAGCCAGGCCTCGAGCAGGACAAGTGGCTGGCAGACACTCTTTCCTTCATTATTGTCATCCTTCACAAAGCTTTTAAAGGACAGCTTTCATTTTTCCCCCCCTTCATTTGTTGGGGCACACAGTACTCTACAGGTGTGTTCTGGAGTGGTTAAATAACAGCTCTAAACACAGGTGTTACAGAAGGGCCCTCATCTGACCACAGTGACAGCAGCCAGGGGCTCAGGCTCAGGTGATGCTGCACCCTGCCAGCAGCTCCAGTAATGCAGGTAGCACTTGCCAGCAAGGTAACAACTGAGTGCAGAATATTAAATGGTTAGACTCACGTACTCGAGCATCCCACCCTCCTCTGAGAGGAATGGCTTCCAGCTTCCAAAGGCTTTCAGCTGAGCTCAACCATAACATTTATCCAGACAAATTAACTAGTTTCCCTTCTGAAGGTATTTTAAGCTTCTGATTTCACATGTTGTTAGGCAAATAAGTGACAAAGTGTGCACAGTGTGATGGGACATGAAATGTTTTAGAGAATTTTGAAGTGTAAGACTAGTCTAGTGATGCATGAAATAAGCTGTCCTTCAAGAAGTTAAATATAATGGCTGACAGAATTAGAAAAGTTTATGTAAACACTCAACATAAATATGGGATTACCTTTGGAGAAGAGTCATATGGAAACATTTGCTTTTCATGAACTGAAAAAGTCTACAGATGTTTAGGCATGTTCAATACGAACTTCTTGTAATTTAAAATTAAACCTTGTGCAAATAAAACCTATAAATAGTATTCAGCAGATTTTACAGTGATGCTCTTAGGTATGAAAAAGAATGCACACATCTTTCAAACAAAAGTAACAGACAAAAGTTTGACAAATGATTGCACCATAAGACAGTGTTTTATATACAGCTTACAAGATATGATTTTCTGCTATAAATTAATACTGTACTACATAGTACTTAGTGACTTCATTAGAAGCAACTGTTGACAGCTGTCTCTTCATTTACTGAGGGAAGGTTTTTTATTATAATTTATTTATTTTTACAATGCAGATGGCTGTATCTATTTATGGACATGAAATGCTCAAATATTTAATCAAACAGCCAGCTAGTTAAATCTCCACTATTTAATAATTCAAAGCAATAGCATTGGCAGATCAGAAAAATTTCCAGCCAGCCAGCCACAGACTGGCTATGCTCCAGGATAAGTGTTCATGTTTTTTATTGCATGAGGATCCATTTAATCAAAGCCTAAATCAACTGTATACATGATGTTACTATATCCAAAATAGGTAAGAAGGAAGAATCTTAGCGGTTGAGAAACCTGACCCCTTCACTCATGTTCTAGTTAAAAAATCTCCTAGAACTATTTATAGGAGTGACATTCCTGAAAACAGAAGAGCTTTTCTGCATCAGAATTCCTACGTTTTAGTCAATACTTCAGCTTTTGCTACACCACCAATAACACTGAAAATTTATACACATCCAGTATCTTAACCTGGCATTTTATCTGTCTTCCACAACACTGCTAGAGGGAATTAGAATATCTATGCAGATGAAGGCTTAAGGAACCAAATTATCTTTAAAGCATCAGCTCTAAGTAAGTGCCTGGCTGTACTTACAGATTAGTTGAGAAAAAAATTAGCATTCTATGAACACTTCCTTTTCTTTGTGAGTGAACTAACTGGAAAAAAAAATAATCACGTATAGACCGTTAAAGTAGCAAATTTGTTCAAAACCACCAAAATGTGAACTATGAACTGTTTAATACAGCAGAGTCAGGGAGAAGTTAGAGGACCAGAACCCCGTAGGATTTGAATGGCACCGAGTTTCAAATAATTGTGCAAACTGTCTTATCACCTTAAGTGTCTGAAGATAAGTGATTATTTTGGAAGCTTCTGATTATTTCACTAACATTTTTTTTAACAGTGCCTAGTAATGTAGCTCAAATAAGCTCCATAAAACAGAACTTGAGACATACAATTTTTTGATTGCTTTCATAATGGACCTCAGATAAACCATGAGTTAACTGGAAAATGAATGTAGATAGTGGCCCAGGAAAGCTCCCTGCACTAAGAAAAATTTTAATTTCTGCAAGTTTAGATTGAGTAGTAAATTATGACAATACCTATGGAGCTGTAGTGGAAAGTAAAACTGCTTTTCATGAATAATACTTCAAATTTGGATGGTCCTTCAATCCACATTTATAATTTCAGTGAACAAGGCATATACTATTTAAACAATTATACTGCTTTTTTAGTGAAGGTGAATTAATAAGCTCATCCATCTTTGCAGTGAAATAGCATTTGCATTACTTTAAACACTGCATTTTACATGCGCTAGAGAAATGTTTATCTCTGCTGTAAACTGCAGTGCTTGAACTCATATGAATATCAATAATAACAATGTTGTAGAAAAAGAGACCTTCTATGCAACAGTTGCTAATAATTTAAATAGTGTCAGTTTCCCCAAATTAGGATTTTAACTTTAAGGTATGACATGATCTCACCTTCTACCCTCATATACAAATAAATTACCATAAAAAGAATTTTAGCTTAACTTAAAATTGCACCTAGAAAGGCATGGGATCGTTTGTACCTATTACAAAAACTGTTAAAATCAAGGGCTGCTACAAAGAATGAGGTAAACTGAAGACTCTCAGCTATGTGGCCTTCAGAGAAATGGCTTTTTTTCTATTGAGTTCTAGTTTTGCACACCACAGTGTTTTGCTAGCAAAGCGTTCTGAGTTCTTTTCCAGGAACCATTTGTGTATATATACATATATATATGTATATACACACCCACACATACACACACACACTGTATACTGCATCAGCAAAATATATATATATTTATATATATATATTTATATAAATATAAGGAAGAAATCCCCCTCTGAAGTGTTCCGTAGTGTTTTTCTAGAGCTTATGGGAGAGGAGGGGATATACGTCTTCTTGCTGTTATGTATCTTTTGGAGAACAAGTGATCTATTGGCTTCTTGGTGCAGCAATGCAAGATCGATCCATACTGGTGCCAAAGGCTTTGCGCATTAGAAGGATGTAAAATACTAATCTCCTAATCAGTGAGGCCAGCCTCACTTGAATTCCTCTGCAACCCTCTGGTCTACAACAAAGTTCATAAATACTTTGACTTCCAAATTGTTAGACGTTAAAAATGGGAACAGTACAGTAAGACGGGGCATTATGCTTCTCAGTGTAAAGCATTCTTCACTAGTTCCTATCACAGTGCAGACCTGACTGCATTAAATATGCTCAGGAGATTAGTCAACGTTGTCTGTATTTGGTTATGGGAAAGGCTCTCCTTTTTTCAATCCAAAGTGCATAGTGAGAATAAGTCAAAGCATTCCTTTTTCAGTAAGTGTTTGATAGTCATATCTAGGCATCCTCCTGAGAATGCAGTTCTGTGTCTCTTTTCCAAAATAAAGTCCCGCAGTCCAGACATTCGTCAGCCAGGTAAACAAACTTTGCCAGCAAATAGAAGTCCAACTATTGTAAAGAAAATAGATAAAACAAACAGTACATACGAAGACCCAACCACTGTATTATTGGGTAACTTGTATGGTTGACCTCCAACTTCGTTGATGTAAAATCCAATTGGAAATATTAGGGCTGCCATACAGAATAGAATCACTGCAAATAAAAGAAAAAAAAAGTCACTGCTATGGGTCAGAGGAGTCAAAATATTTACAAATCCATAGAGCAGTATAGGAAAGCAAGCCATGTATTCTGACCAAGCCCAAGATCTGAGATATTCCC